GGTTCAAATCTGTTTACCGAAAACTGTTGTCATCATCTTCCATAGCACGCTTGTCCGATAACGAAGAAACACGAGTCGGACCGGATATAGTACAACTTGAACTGCAGTAATTTAATTTGAAGTCTAGTTTTGATATTTGGCAAATCCAACAAAACAAACACAATAAAATTCATAGGATGTAAACATCAAATGGCTTATGTACGAATGCTAGAAATGCAACTTATTGCGGATGAATAATGACAGCTGCTTACTGGCTTGACGGTTATACTTGAAAATTGATCGCCCCGACATGAGATTAACCCTGAGTACAAGCATAATTTTTTTCAATTTGGTGAAAATTTGTGACAGTTTGCATTTGAAATAGAGTAAGTAACCAGAGATACCAAAAAAACCAATATCGTATGCCGTGGAACTCACCATAAAATGCCGCTTGGTCGGTCACATGACTCAAAAAGCCATGAGACAAAAAGGAAAAAACAGTTTTTTTTAAAGCATCTGTACAGCTAACTCGTTATGACGGTCATTCGGGTCCAGTTCCATGAAAAGAGAATTTTATTATCAGTTAAATAATGGAGCCAGCTCTGCTTTTCACTGAGGCAAAAAAAAAGACACTTGAAAAATGAAGAAGACAGATCTTGAAGATGGCTACACCTTTGTACTCTCTTTAGTGCGCGGCGTTCAGGCGTGCGGTGAGGCCTTTGAAAGCTATAAAATTTGACGCGCAGTCTACAGGGAGGACCGTGTATCTTAGGCGAAAGGTTGTAATTTCGACCCGTCACCTGAGATCATAAAAATAGATATGTCTTAAGACGGAGAGGTGTCAGTATCTTTAATTACGAATTGTCGGTAGGAAATTAAAGGAAAATTTTGTTCAAAGGTAACATGTCTAATACAATATTGAAAAAATAAAGCGGCGTAGAATCTAATTAACAAGGGTCTTATTATGGAATAAAACTGGCAGAAACGTGAGTTACAAAGATATGTCAATTTTCGTTGGTATACATGTTAGATATGTGCGTTTTTGCTCTTTTCACGTTGGTTCAAGAAATATCATGTTAAAATAGGGTCATTAAATTGCTGATGATTAACTTTCCACATGCAACATTACAGTTTTTTCTCTATTGAAATGTGGCTATGGCGGTGAAAACAGCTAAAGTAAAAGAGGATGCTCTTCAGAACTAGACTTCGCTTTAGAAAATTCATTGCTAATCAAGAGGTACTTTCCCTCTTCCCAAAAGATTTCCGTGATTTCCATTCAATATGATAATTATTCTAAAGTGAGACACTACGTTGAGCTGAACATACATTTACTGAAATTGAAGAAGAACATCATTCTTGACACTCATGCATGATCGAAGGGAGTACTTCATGAAAGAGACTTAATGCCCAACGATATTTATCGATTTTGTCTGATTTTGCGGATTTCATAACATGTAGGCTGAATAGCCGGTGTATGTTACACAAAATGGCATCTACTATCATACAGTTGAATTCCAATTCTGAAACCCTCGGTTTCTTCAAACTCCTCGACGATAACTTGCACGAAAGTGTCTTTCCGTCTCGATCAAATACTGTGATTTTACCCCGCGTATTCCTTTTCACCCAGAGGTCTGGAGAATGGGGTTTTAATTTGCCTTCAACAAACGAGGTAAAAGAAATCGATAACTGGATACGTTCATTGTACTTTACATTTCACATGATTCCGCGAAAATTTGTTCTGCGTTTGAAATACTTCTTGCTGTCAACACGTCAATAGACCCTTAGAAACATTTTGAAAAGTTCGCTAAAGCCTCATATCTTATTGATGATCTTTTGCAACACGTTTGATAAGTTGGTTTTCGAGACGTTCCTCGCCCTTTTCAAAGGAACAGCCGGAGATATAGAGACATTTACTAAATCCAATAATTTGATGTCAGTGCAGTTTGATGTTGAGTTACAACACAACCCGTGTATTCATTTTGGTGTTACAACCAAAGGTTATGACAGCACTTTGAATGTAGCGAATCATAAAATTATCAAGCATTTTTTTTAGCATTTGACAAAACAACTTTTGTAACGCATATTATTGCTCCTAATTATATTTTCTTCACATAGGTGTTTAGGATCCTTCTTGTTCATGAAAAGAATACTGAGTAACCAAGTTCAGGGCCCAGTTGTTCAGGATAATCTGTATTCCTTTACTTTAAAGCCTTTTTGGGAAAATTTTCAGTGTCCTTTTCAAAGCATCAAATAATCTTACTCTAGACAAAAAGAATTCGATTGAACTTTCTTTTAAAGCTTTTAGATCTGAAATCGGATTTCACACTAACCCTGGGTTATCTTAACCCAGCTTTGAACAACCCGGCCCAGGATAGTATTTAAGACAACAATTTTCAGCTAAAGTAAAGTAAGATTAAATAAAAGACGTGAACAGCCAATCCTATTACGGAAGACAAAACAATTCCACTAATCGGATTTAAGGATCACCTATTGTCGTAACTTTAAAGTTCACCAAATGTTGCGTAAATACTAAATGCAATCAAAGAGAAATGACGTGTTGGTTTGAAATCACAAGAAACACATACCAGATTGATTTATTGTCAGCAGTCAAGAAAGCGTATGTTTTTCTCACACATTTAATTACGTTCATAACAAAGCGTTTCTACTCCTACATCTCCAGGTGTATGCCTAAAAAAAAAGGTCAACAAAACACAAACTCAACATGAAAGCCGGGGAAGATTTATTTTCTTGAGGTCGCTGATCAGCATTCCTTGTAAGGCATTACTATTTTTTAATTAAAAAATACTGAACGGTAGAAATTTTTAAGTGCGATTCTTTGAGACTATCGCACTGGACTATTTAATTTAAATTTTATTTCTGCTAAATAGATGCAATTTCAAAATCCAAACACTTACCGCTGTGAACCTTTGTTATTAAGTTATCGTAGCTTGAGCGGCGGTAAAATATAACCAGCGGTTTATATGGAGATGACATTTCGTAAGTTAGGCATTTTGAAAAGTAACTATTAAACTGATGAAAACTAATCACACCGACTCACATAACTCGAGTCCGAGACTGAAGAAGAAAGATCTTAAAAGTAAATTTATGGACGATAAAACAAATTGATAAATGATCAGTTTCCCACTGCCAGTAATAAAAGCTGACATCATTTCCTGGAAACAAAACAGTTCTTTAATTTTTCTATAATAATCTGATTTTTTCTGAAATCGAAACGTCCTCAAAATGAAAGACGCCCCAAAATACGGTTGAGGAAAGCGTAAATTTAGACGTAAGTGACTGTTAACATTAAAAGTTTTTACGTGCAAAGTTCGCAGAATAACTCCCTCACCACTTCGTTAAATGGATTAGACTTAATCATTCAAATTTTGCAGTGCTCATGCAACCAAAACGCACTTTTAAATTTGATATAAAGAATAAATAAGCCCTTGTCAATAGCTTTTGTGATCGAAAATTTAAGTGTAAGTAAAATATCTCACACTAAGGTAATCATAAAAATTGATCACTGAAAACGTTACTTTCTTACCTCACAAATTAAAAACGCATATAGAAAGTACAACTTGAGAGCATGCCCTGAAATTCATCGCTCGTTCCTTCCTCATTAACCGAGCAGGTGAAACAAGAACAATACGGCTTTTTTTTTTCGCAGATATAGCTTTTATTTTCATAGTTTGTCTGCCTCCTTACGGCTTCATTGTGAAGCGGATATTTGTAGCTATTGGAAATGGTTTAATTAAACCTTCGCTGTTGGCAATCGGCAAAACAAAGTCATTGTGAAATGCGAGTCAAGAAAATTTGGTATTAGCATGGCGTGAAAATACTTGCTGAAAGGTCAAGCTCTAACCCAGCGTGTATACCTCTAATGCTTTCAATTTCAGTTTTTTTTGTATGACTTACATTAACTCTTCGCTTCACAGAGCAGTGGCTATTTCGACCGACGAAATCAGCTAAAATGTGTGCTCATTCCTGTCGGAGTCACAGTTCAAATCAACACAAGGTATATCAATAGTTTTGTTCGAAAATAATTTAGAGCATCGGAGGTATTAACGTTAAAAACCCGATAGTACCGTTGATTTCAGTTTGCGGTCTGCTTTCATTTTTGTGCACTTCGATCAACAAAACAGATCTTAAATGTATCTCACATGTACTTAAAGAAGTGTTCACCAAGCGGTTTTCTAGCATATAGTGAAGTTCCAAAGTTATACTTTAATTCTGAGGAATGTTTTTCTAGGCAAGATATCCTGTTGTTGTGCAGATTGTTTTAGGACTTATCATATAGTAGTCCACTGAACTCATGTTATTCAACCAGACTGCGTCAAGAAAAGTAATTAGATAATCGGCGTCTCCTGCTACGCAGGGAGGAAGTTCAAGTTATAAATGCAAATGGCGTAACTCGTTTTTGTTTTTAATGAGAAGAGTCTATCTGATAAGTTACCTAAATTCTCAGTGTTTTCAAAACTAAAAAGCATGGATGACACTTAAACATTATTACTATCATTATAAACCGAAGGAAACGGCGACTGAAAACTGAAAACATGCATTCTCCATTATCGCAGAAAATTGATCCTGCATGGAAGTGCCACCGTTCGCGGCGAATTGACTAGAAGCGAGAGTCGGTGTATTACAACATCCTTTCAAAATTCTTAGCAACAATCGCTATTTATTGAATGTTTTCAATTATCTTACAAAAATTTTGCAAAAGTTCATTTCAAGAGCGTTCATATAAAGAAAAACTGAATTCAATACAGTTCAAATTATCGGTAATTGATATGTTAACATCATCGAAAAGAAAATCTGGGAAAAACTAGTAGCGGGCCGTGGTTTTCCATAGGGCATGAAGTTCTGAATCAGTGACGAAAAATTTAGCAGAAACGTCAGTGAAAAGGATCTTATAATTAAAAATGATCTAATACTTTAAGTTTGCAAGCCTTCATCATATCAGATGGGTTTCTATTTCTCGCAGAACGATAAGCGATAGACATAAAACACTGAATTGATGTATCATGGCCGACAACAGCACAACGTCTCCTACTCCTTCTCAGGCTTCTGCTCTGACAGCCGGCAATGTTGGTCTCATTTTATATCTGTCTTTCTTGGTTGTAATTGCTTTGTTTGGAAATGGCCTGTTGTTAACAGTAATTGTCAAGAGGCAACTTCTACAAAACGTTCATTACTATTTCATACTCAGCCTAGCTACGTCAGATTTCCTGAACGCTTTGCTGAAGATTCCCACCACTATTCTTGGAAAATTTGATCGCGGCTGGTATCCAAGTTACATCATCTGCTACTTTACTACTCCTCTAGGGGTACTTTTTGGTGCAGCGTCCGTTTTCAGTTTGTCAGCGGTAGCCGTCAATAGATACTTTGTAATTTCGTCACCGCTGAATTACTCGGACAGAATGCCGCCTTTACTAGCCAAGATCATTCTGGCCGTGATTTGGCTCAGCAGTTTTTGTCTCGCGACTCCACCTGTGTTGTGGAGGGAAAAAGAAGCAATCTGCCGTAGTGGAAACATCTCGAAAGAACATTACACTTCTGAAGTGTTGTATTTTTTTCTAGCGTTATGGCTATTCGTGATCCTGATTCCAAGCATAGTTATGAGCGTGTCGTACGTGAAAATTTATTTGATCGCTCGTTATCATGCTTTACAAATAGACTCACAAAACCAGGCCAGTACACTGTGCCAACAGACAAAGAAAAGACGAAAGGATTTCAAAGCTGCTGCGGTGTTAGCCGTGATTGGTGGAATTTTCATCCTTTGCTGGTTTCCTTTCTTCGTCGTGCAGACTGTTCACAAGTTTGGTAAAAGTAAAATCAGTCCGATCTATTTTAACGTTTTCTTATGTGTCATGTATACAAACTCGGCGTTAGACCCTATTCTGTTGTTTCTTTTTAACGCCGAGATACGAAGAGCATTGATAAAAATGCTCTGCAAAGCGCTCTTCAAACCCAAGGCACTCTCATCTCAATCAGAGCTGTCTTCGTTTTTAAATCAAGGAACATGACGGAAGGAAGAAAGACCAAAGAGTGATCCCGAAATATGATCAATAAGAGCTGTACTTATGTAACATAAAACGGCGGTAAAATGTTTTAAATCTTTCTATTACAGGTCGTCGTAATAAAATGCTTCGACCAAGACTCTTATCTAAAACACACCCAAGTAAACTAGCGAGGAATGTGACACTTGTCAGAATATCAAAGGAGGATACACCAGTAGATTCTATGATGCAAAGTTTCTGAAAGATAACCATCACTAACTTAATTACACATGAAACCGTTAATAGACAATAGAACACAAATGTACCATGAAACATTTCTGAGGGAAGAAGTGAAATGAAGAGCGTCGATAAACACTTGGAAAACGGGAACACAATATGCCCAAAGCAAAGGGTTGTAACTTTTAAGTGATGGAGAAGTTTTAAGCTCACAAAATCGATATTTCAGATTTAGGCTTTACTTCAGATCATTTCAAAAGGATAGATGTTGATGCTTTGTAAAGAGATTGATGTTCACATTAGTCTTAAATTTGTTTAAAGCTCACAACTAGACTGACTGAACACAAACGAGCGACAACAGTCCTTCTCAGGACTACACTCATGCGGATGATCAAACTACACTATTACATGTTACCCCTGGGTTAAAACCATTTACTGTTTTAAATTTTAATTCAGAATTTTTCTACCAAAATGCCAAACACTTGGCTTAATCTTTCGGTCATCCTTGCTTCTTCAGTCATCTGAAATATAACACAAATAAAATTATTTCAGTCGAGGGTAGTTTACACCATAGGCTTTTGAAAGCAATATAGGAGTCATACCGTAGTTAGGTTTTAATTCCCATCGTATATTGTGGATCAAAAGCGGGAACCTTTCAAACTCCTGCCCATTAGAATGCTTCTCATGAAATTTGAGCATGCGCAAACTTTACCACCTCAGGTAGCGGATGACAAGACACCACTCTGCTCCGCCAGCCACACCCTACAAAATATGAAATTTTGAACACGCACCGACATGTTGACCCACCTAGTTGAAGCAGAGTCCCCATTTCTTGTCCTTGCTGTAACTAGGAGTTGTTGAGCACCATTTCCTTTTGTATCTGTGTCCATCAGTTGTACAAGAATGGTATAGTTTATCTTTGAAACGGAAAGGAAACTCGCAGCATTTCCCACGTGAATTCCCTCCATACGTATCGACGCCGCTTTCGCAAGTTTCTAAAAACAATGTTCTAATGCTTGATTCAGCTCTAAAAATGTGTTCTAAGATCCCTTTAACATTCTGATATTTAAGTAGTGAGTACATAATTCCTTAGATCGTTCCCCAGTTGAGCGTGATAACTAAACTTGCCGCGCAAAATTTGGAAGAGGAAGCCTCAGTAACTGTTGGCACTGAAAATTCTTTACGTAATCACATGACAAAGGTTCTTTTACAGTAAATATACTGAATTCGCCACTCAGTGGACAGTCTTGGGTACCTCTGGCTACATTACAGCGATGCTTTATGCCCAATTATTTTGTTCCCTCTGTGTGAAATCTTCGGCAATCTCATATGATATTATTGTAATAATAACAATTCTTAGTATCATGGTTATACTGCTATCATTATCTTAATTACTATTAAAAAAGTATACTCCAACACTTTCTTGTGCCTACATTCTACAGCATACACCAGTACGTTTTTCTTTTGTGACTTTGAATTCAGAACATAAAACTGACTTACCAATCCAGCACTTGTGAGCCATAAAAAAACTCCCGTAGTCATAAACAGAGCACTTTGCAACATTGTTCTTGAAGTCTGACTCAGCCACTTGGTTTCCAGGATTGAGTTGAATTCGAAGAAAAAAAGCTCCGCTGAAGATGCCGGTGTAGTCGATCCACTGACAGTCAATCTTATGACTGTAAACATCAAAACATCCGGGAGATAAGCCTTGGTCACCGCCCCTGGTGCAATCCCATTTCTTCTCGAAGCCCGGATCACAATCTGTATCTTCCAAACAAAAACTGGCCTTATGCCCGTCAGCGGCTTTTCCCCAGTTACCCCGACCTTTAAAGCAAAAAGCGATTTTGTTATATATAGATAAAAGATTGAAGTAGCAAAATTGTGGAACAGTGAGAATATTTCGTTCCACCTCTTTGAAAAACTAATCGCGAAGAAACTTTTGAGGTAAAAAATAAAATTAATCAACTGTATAGCGATCTGACGCCAATAACGCTTCCAACAAGAGGAATTAGTTTCCAAAATGGTGGATTCGAATCGCGAATTTTTTAAACCTGGAAACATACTTTTTCCTTTTCTCGAGTTATTTTTAAAATGATACCCAATTTTTCGTAGTTATTTTTCCAACAACCTCGGCGATCTTTTTTTAAGCTCCTACTGAGTGTGATATCGATTTCTTGTAGATTTCGACGGTGGAGTTTTGACAAACTATATGAGGATTTTTTCCATTCCTCGCAAGAGAAAATTAAGGGACATCATTCTTTTCTGTTGTTCTACGATTCCTCATTATTCTCATTATGAAATTGAAATTTAATGAAGATAAGTGGTTCAGCCTGAAAAACTCTAGGCGAAAATCTCGCCGAGAAAATGTACTGATGGATGGAGCGTGTCATTTGATAACTGAGTCCTTGCGCGCAACTGAGTTAAAAATTAGATTTCTAAAATATATTCTTAAATTTCGTTACAAGAAATAATTTCGAAAAACTATACATCAGCCGGTCAGATCGAAGGAAGTGTAATGAGCCATGAGAACAAAGATGTTGTTCGTGAGACGAGCACTACAAGCACGGGAAAAGTGTACATCTGCTGATACTACTGAAACCATTTCGATCTAAGTTAGACACTCAGTAGGAAATCTCTCTATCCCAAGAGACTAGCTGACAAGAGCAATCATGGCTCGTACTCACGTAGCAGAGCATAGGTAGCAAATGTCTCCATAGAGTGATGGTGGCCATGACACTGGTGGTACTGCCAGGCTGACCTGGGCGAGTTCGGTCGGAAATGGTCCCATCCTCTGTTTTCAATCTTTGTTGTAAATCGTAACAGTTTTCGCATCCGGTTTCGCCCAACCCCACTTGAACTGAGTGGCAAAAATGATTAGGATAGGTTAATTTGTTCTACTATTAATTCCAAATTAATATTTTTATTAATTAATTAATAAAAATTCCAAGCGTGAAGTAGAAAGGGTTAATGGGAAATTATTGCTCACAGTCGTTAATTGTGGAAAACTACCAACGGAGCTGGCATTAAAAACATTTGCATAACATTTCCTCTTTAAATTTCCTGAACTGGCCTTGTAACAGAAGGCTAACTCTGAGCAAGGTCACTAACGAAATGTCGTTGTCAAATAAGTCCAGGAAATGAAATATTATAGTCAATTTTAAGCAAACACTCAAGAGTTTCTGGAAGATTTTTCGTGAGATCTCGAAAACATCTGGACAACATACCTAAAGAGAACATCTGCACTTTTTGCCAAACATTTCTCCTCATATGCACATTGCAGAAAGTCAACGTGGAGTGACTGCGTACGCATCTCTTCTCTCAAAGCTTCAGTATCGATGACGAGATCTGGTAACTCTGTTAACCAAAAGACGGTACACTGATTAGTCCAAGCTGTTATCGTTCTCTTTTTCTTTCCCTTCTTTTCATCTGCTGCCTTTACAAAATCATCTGATGGCGGATTTTTCATATAGATTTATCAAGATTGAATAATCAGCTTGGAATTATTATTAACAGATGTCATCCGACTCTAAATAATTCCTCTTAATATCCTAATTCTTAGGATACTCGCTATTGCTCCATCGACTTCCTTAATTTCAAAAATATTTCTTCTGTCATTTTAATGTAAAGCGGTATAAGAAAGTGCCCCATCATTACATCACCCTTAATGTCTACTGTCGAAATACTCGAGCTTGTTCTTGCTTTTTTCCACGTGTATAGTCCTTGAAAGGGAAGACAGCTTTTCTCTTGTGCATTGAACAACAAGAATAACCCAGAAACTGTAATGAATGGATCTGAAATCAGTGAGACTTATCTTCTACGGAAACTGATTTCATTTTGTTTGCTTTTACACCAATTAAAACAAAATTCGCCCAGGGATACAAGTTCTCAGGCAAATCTGAACGGAAAAGTTATTGAACCTTACCATCTATGCAAATGACTCCTGCTAATTTGTGTTTGTTGCTGCAAGTTGTATTGTCCCACTGATGACGTTGACAGTTGTAAATGGAGATCTCGTCCACGCGACATATTACTCCAGACATTATAACTTTCAGATTTGTGGGGCCAAAATAATTCTGCGTTGCTGCTTGACTAGCGTATCCAAGATTCAACTGTCGGCACACCACCATTGCTTCTTCTATTCGCCAGTTATCTGCACAAACAGTTCCCCATCGTCCGTCACGAAAAACTTCCACTCGACCTTCGAAGGAATTTGCACCACCAGCGAGCCTAATCTAGGAGACAGGAACAGAGCTTGAAATTTACGACTCGAGACTCGATTCCTGTTAAATTGCATCATTGTAAACAACTACATATCACGTTGTGGTAAAAATGGAAAGAACACTTTTGAAACCCACCCTTGTTCTGCATATTTACATCATGAAGTTAGGTATGTCCTTCGTTGGTGTCCCCCCACCCAACGGCACTACTTCAGGATTCTTAGACAGTTTACCAATAGCTATCATTTTTTCGTGGCAATAGAGGGGCGCTGTAAGACAAACTGACCACTCAATCCACCTTTTAGCGCGTCAACCAAAGGCGAACGCTTTTTCTAGTATCTTACATCAGTTACCGTGATTCTCCTTTTCATGGTACATAACTATTTTTGACGCATTTAACTTTACATGATTTTTGAGGTTTACCCGTCGCATCGTCGTAATATACCAAACTGAAAAGTCGTGTGCCTGAGTTAGCCTCTCATATAGCGCCTAACTTAAAGTATCTCAGCCAAGTATTTGGGTCGGAGCGACCACTTCACACAGCTTTAGCGCAGTCTTGGATCAGCAGGGATTGGTCCTCCATCAAATTTGTATTTAAAATAATTGCAACGGAAAGTTGTTCTTCGTTTGTTTGAAATTCTCGCTTCTCTATGGTGTTTTGATCCCTTACCAAACTATTTTGTCACAAGTAGCTTTGTATAATTTGAAACACATCTGAAAAGAATTGTAGTTCCCTTGAACGGAATTTATGAAGTAGAACCCTTTGCAATTGAAAAAAAGTTTAATATTTGTTATTTAAACAAATCAATAAATTGTTAAGAAATCCAGGGATATAACCTTATGGCCTTGAAGTTTTGGAGAATGACATTTGACGCTGGCGTCTTCATAGTGATTACATTCTGTTCTGCGCCAACCGTGATGTTGACATTGGTTGATGTTTCTCTCGTCACCCTGACAGCGTAAATTGTGCAGCATCTCCTAGAAAAGTACACAAATACGCTTAGTCAATTTTGAAAAGACTCATTTGTCATGCTTCCATGGTTTCATGATAATATGAAAAAGAAGTGCGATTTTTTCCCTATTCCGTATTTGAACCTTTATCTTAGCCCCCTTAGACCAAACTGCCTTCGACTTTCACCCAACATCTTTCGCTAATATAAATATATATATAATAAATATAAATAATATATTGAAAAACATATCAGTAAAGAACTTTACCTTTCCAATACCTCTCCCAAAGTACGCGCTGTGGGCTGCTACTGCCGCTGACCCATAGCCTAAAAACCTGCAGATTACATTAGCTTCCTTCAGTGTCCAGTGGTCGTCACATATGGTTCTCCATTCATTACGGTACTTCATTTCCACTCGCCCCTCAGAAACCATGGCACCACCTCGAAGTCGCACCACTGGAGGCTACGAATGTGCAAGTGAATTTTTTAACAATGTTAACTACCTGTCCAGGTAAAATTTAGAACCGAAATTCTTGCTTCTGTTTTTGATGTTTATTTGTTTGTTCAATCATCTCTGAAATCAAATTAATATTTTGACAAATGTTATTGCCAAAAAAACTACTGAACAAGAGCTTTAACCACCTGCGTGATATTTTTGCGCGCGCATTTGATCCTCAGTGCTCCTCCAATCTCACATTTGCGGTGAATCCAACCTGCATGGTCACACGACACAATCGATGACTCCCATCCTTTGCATGTGACTTGGTCCAGCCAATAGACGGGCTCCAAATCTTGGATGGTTTCTGTATAGGACCCATTTTTCTCAGCATTAGGAAATCCCAGTTGGCCGCACAACACGAACGAGTTCAGTTGAGTCCACTGAGAAGGACAAATGTAACCCCACTCTCCCTCGTGCTCCACTTGAACGACACCTTCTGATATGTAGTCATCAACAACTGGGCCTTGTAACTTTAAGTTCACGTGTACCACCTCAATAAAAGAAGAATCGAAATCATAACTTAAATGAGCAACAGATCTGATTTTATTACATCCTTGGGGTAAGGAATTAATTAATACTTTGTGAGTTTTCGTCAAAGAGACGGAGATATATAAGGCTTATCATGAGCCGGGTTAACCCTTTTACACCCTATCATCAGTATGCATATTCTCCATACTGTTCTCCATACATTTCCTAAGATGCTGACGGGGAGAATTTGGTTAACAATCAAGAGCTTCTTCAGTTGGTAATCATTTCCTTTATTCATGTGACCTTAATGAGTGATGCAGGAGCGATATTGTACGGAGAAATTAGATACTGGTTACTCTTACGGGTCAGAAGGTTAATGTAGAGATGTGATAATTAAGTAGGACGGTATGTCCGTCACCCAATTTATTTATTCTATTCTCTTTTTAATCTCAGCTTCATTTGGTGCAAAGTCATGCTCACCGAGACTTGAGCCCAGCCAAGTCTATCGGATGGTGCACCACTCAGAGTATTGAAAGCCACACGTGCTTTTTGAATACCCTGCCAATGATGTTAAGAATGCTCATTATGGCTCGCTTATAAGTGACATAGTATTCTTCATACCTCTCCGCTGGCTGATGATGGCTCGGGCTCGAATATTGTGTCACTTCGATGTAGCTTGCATATAACACCAGCCTGATTAGTTGAACGACAGTTGTGTTGTCCCCAGTCTCTGTGTGAGCATCTTTCAATGTCATATTCTCTACCACCGCATATGACGTCATCTAACCAAAATTTTCCATCTCCACGACCAAAGGTTAGGTGTCTAAGGACATTTTAAGCAAAATGTTAAAAATTGTTATAGATGCTGTTTGGTAAGTTATCCACACAGGGAACTCCACATAACATAAGTTATCCGCATAGGGAGATTCATTTTCTGCATACAAACCTACACACAACCCACAATTCCTCCAATCGCTCTGACGAAGGGCTAACGCTCGAAACGTCAGCCTTATAACTCTTTACGGTGGCCTATTCACGTTTTCAACTCAGTTTTTAACACTAAATTACTTGCTATTCTCTCCCAGCGACACAGCACCACGGTCTCTTTAGAAACCTACCCCTTTTACACATAGGGAAAACTTTCCTATATACTTTCCAAATCGCTATAGGGGTAAGTTTCTAAGGAAACTATGGAAGTGCGTCGGTGAGGGGTAATTTCGTGTCATCACCTGAGTTGATAATGTAAATTGGCCCAGAGAAAGAAATTTTAAAGCTGACGTTTTGAGCGTTAGCCCTCAATCAAAACGAATCAAGGGGTGGGGGTTATGTGTGGTTTAGATACCGAAAGATGGAGCTACACCATTGGTTGGGACATATGATAACGTGAAAAACACAAGAATAAATAAGTAAGTTTTTAAGTTAAAATAATCATCTTTATTGTCAAACTTCTCCTGAATTGTTCAAATGGACAATTTCATATGGTCGACCTTCAAACTGCAGTATGCATGACAAGCGTGGCGAGTGCGAGACAAACGCGAAGTGCTTGACTTGCCCTTCGTGCTGTCATCGCTCATGCCTCGCTTTTGTTATCGCTTACCTGAAAATTGACAGAAAATTAACGCTCTTTCTGTTTCTGTGTTCCCTATGCACTTAGGAACCTTTAAACACCACGCATACAAAAATCATCAGCACAAAACACTAGAGGATGACATTTGCCGACCCACAAGATAGAAACGTATGCTCACCCTTTTGTAAAGCGCAACGCATCTGGATATCCAAGCATTCTACAAACTACATTGGCCGCCTTCTTGTTCCATCCATGGTCACAAACTGCTCTCCATTCGTCGTCGTATTTCACCTCAACTCGGCCTTCAAACTCGTGCTTTCCACCAATAAGTCTCACCTCTGTGCCACCGGCAAACCTCAGGCAAGAGACGAACGCGATAAGCAAAACACACATCATGTTGAGTCGATCTTCATTTGGTGCCGTCCGTTGCATAAGTGAACAAAACAATGTACTTTTATGGGTAGGCCCGCTGCCAGAAGGGAAAAACAACTATCTTTTGTATTTGAAAATTAGTGTCGACATCAGACACGCAAGTAAAAGTATCAAATTCCCTTTTGACATCACGCAAAGGTTACTAATAAATACTAATACAGTATTTATATAGCGCTATTTCTATTGCTATTCAATAGCGCTTTACAATTCATTTATAAAAGACATTGATAAAATTTATAAAAACGTAAACATCACTAAAATATGAGTAAAAAACTAGCTAATAAAAAATCTGTAATGATGAGAGTAAAAAACTGTGAAACTTATAATAGAACTAATTCACTAACTAATTAACTAACTAACTAACTAACTAGCTGACTAACTAATTAACTAACCAACTAACTAGCGACCTAGCTAACTATAAAATAGCTAATTAACTCGCTAAGCTAATTATAAAATTTGTTAAGAAGGTTAATTATAAAATTTGTTAAAAAGGTATGTCTTTATACAGGTCTCAAAGTCTGATAGCGAGCTGCTCTCTTTTATGATGTTCGGAAGAGAGTTCCATAGAGTCGATGCTACAAAAGAGAAGCACCTGTGACCATAACTTACTAGCTTGACAGGTGGTACTTTAAGTAAGTTTTTGGAGGAGGACCTCAGATTTCTGGTTGGTACATAAGGCTTCAGCAGTTCAGTGATGTAACTAGGGGCTTGTCCGTTGAGCGCTTTGAAAGTCAAAAGTAATATCTTGTAATCTTGTAATCTTGTAGCCCATAACATTCCAAAGAACGCACGCGAGGGAGACTACAAGTATGAAAACTTTCCGCGAGGAAGGATTTGAGACAAAACAAAACAAAGGTGCTTTCATCAAGTTGTAATAAGATTATCAAACCATGGGGATCTTAGAAAAGCCTAATAGACCATGATGAGATTTTTTGTAATCATAATTGTCAGTTACATGTACTAAGAAAGAATATAAAAGCGGTTTTATTTGAGAGTTGCAGTGCTTGAGTAACAACTTGGAGTTGGGTTTGATTCGCTAGTTTAATATTCAATATAAATTCCGTGTTTCGAACAATTGACTTCGGAGTCATTACATTAATTATCTATTTTTGTAACGTTCCGCAAACTTTACTCGTGATTTACCTATTCGCTAAAAAAATACCCTTAATTCAAAACTAGAAAGAACCATTTCTCTAAAAATGAAACCACAAAAAGTATTACCTATGTTTGTGATTCATTCCCCGGTCAGGGGCGCTTCCATATCAATAATCAACCGCTCCTTAAAATAATGATCAGTTCCTCTTCTCTCATGACCCTTACATTTGATTCGAGCGTGATATTGTAAGGAGAAATTAGAAATCAGTCACTCTTTGGAGCTAAAGGGTTAAACAGCAACGTCTTCTTTACACTCATCCTTACTTTTTGGAAAATAAACAAAATAACGTCGAAAAGACGCCGGCTCAAAACCAATAGAGACCCCGATTCATCTATTTCAACGGCAGTCAACAAAATGTTGGTGTGCTCGCAGTAATGCGAAACTGCTTCTCAGTGGTACTGTATTTCATGGGTTGAACGCAAATTGCAGCAATATATTGCACTGAAACAGTTGGCAATTGATGACGATGGGGGAGGGGGGGGGAAGGGGGGTGAGTGAAAGAGTAAATGATTTGGAAACAAGACTAAAAAAAATGGTGAGGGTAATTTTTAACATTCATTCAGAACACAAATAACTTGCGATACGAAATGAAAAGTAAAAGCAGTGATATTTATTTGAACAGCAAGCTCATTAAGATAGAGAGAGCACCCACGCTGAGAGCATTACACAGCGAGCATAACTACAGAACAAAATGAGGTTTAATTGTGAAATTTGATCTAAAGAATGTGTTATGATGGAAGTTAAGGAAAGAAAGATAAGATAAAATAAATACTTACTCGATATTTAAGGAAGGGCAAACATCGATTGTGTAAAAAGAGTGAAATAAATACTAGAGGAGTAACGATCACATGAGCATGTTCACACGAAGCTCCCTCGGACATCTTAGAAATTATAGAGATTAACGATTTTTTTGAGCGGCTTAAGATCTTAGAGCTCTTTCGTGCCTTTAGAGCTCTTTCGTGCCTTTCTTAAGCTCTTTCGTGCCTGAATATTTCTCGTATACGTAGGCAGAAAGATGTTGACAATGTAGTGTCAAAACTTTGCTTGTAATTTGTATAAGTTACACCAAACTCTCTCAACATTGAACCATGTAAACCCGGAGAGCGTGAGAATTATTATCTCCTACTAGCACCGAATTAAAATTTCCTGATAGTCATGTCTCAAGACATCCAAACGGTTAAAGGCGCCCAATTACTTAACTTTCTCTGGGGTGGGTAATCTAAGAAAAATGCGCTCTACGCTTCCTTATACCTGGACAACTTGAACAGGTACATTAGAAATGTAAAATTTTTTCCAGAGATTGTATAATTTCTTTTCGAGGCAAAAGCTTGTAGGAAACAAATTCAATTGGCAGAAAAAGGTTTTGGAATAAAAACACTGTTACACCGAGTAATTCGCAGTATCTTCAACTCCTGATGCGATAAAAGTTATACAAAGAGTTGCCAACAAAAGTTGCAACAAAAGTTGCAACAAAACAGTTGCAACAAAAGTTGCAACAAAAGTTGCAACAACAGTTGCAACAAAAGTTGTAACAAAAGTTGCAACAAAAGTTTGCAAACAGTTGCTAAGGCTTCCGAGGGAGAACTGCCACCAAACGTCCAAGGCTAGACATGATCGACGTAAACCCCCCCCCCGAAGGTGCTAAATGTTAACTGAAGGCTCATTTGAGTCATGTTATGAGATCGACAAGTAATAGTAGCAAAGTAATAATAAAATATAATAACTACTTTTTAAGCTTACGATAACTCTATGGTTGATATATTGCCAACATTGTAGGACACAAAAATCCTTGGTTTCCACCCCTTCCCTACTAGCAACGACTTGCACCTCCCTTCCCGCCTTGAGCAAAGTCATACTTCACATTGCATTCGATATATGGCTTTTGAAATAATCATGTTTGGGATGCAGGTCAGTTTAATATTTTAATCGTAACATATTCCCCACTTTTTGTCTTTTTTAAACTCATAAGTGGTAGAGCACCACCTTTTAATAAAACCATCCGTGGTACAGTCATGATAGAGTTTGCCTTTATAGAGGAACGGGAACACGCAGCAGTTCCCTCCGGAATTTCCACCATGTGTATCGATCCCACTCTCACAGTCCTCTGCGAAGAAAACAAACAAACAAACTCCGACTGTTATTTAGAAACCCCTCTGAGCAGTCACAGAGTCCAAAAACGGTGTAAATTTGAAAATATATATGAAATTTTTTTACCTTTATTTTCTCATAAAAAAGAAACTTTTTACAAGAAAACAAGATATATATATATATATATATATATTTAATATATGTTTCAAAATTACGACGTTTTTGAAAACGGGTGTATATATGTGTATATATATATATATATATATATATATAAATGAATGTGGGGGTAGAGTCTATCTTGGCATAAAGTGCTGAATGCTGTGGTAGTAGAGCTAAGTATTTATACGTTAAAGAATTAAAGAAGACGCATCGATTCCCTGTGACTCTGAGTTTCGCGCCTAAGCGCTCGTCAGACAGACGAGCGCTTAGGCGCGAAACTCAGAGTCACAGAGAATCGATGCGTCCTCTTTAATTCTTTAACTTATATATATATATATATATATATATTCGACGACCTATAGTCATCGATGAAAATGCCTTAAATTGGAAATGAAGTTGATGAATACGGGAGATCATCATCTGTTACATCAATCTTGCATACCAATATTTTCAGTTTTCCCGAAACAGATAAAAAATGATAAAAAAAAAATTGCGCATAGTTTCCACAAAACAAAACGCTGAAAATCTACCATCTTCCTTCAAGAGCAACAATCGACGCAGGACACTCTGCATCTCTTTACTTAACTGTAGAACTTGAAAAGTTCGAAAATTGGAACATAGTAGGTTTATTGCTTCGTTGATGTTCCGGTACTTAAGTTAAAAAATCGCAAATATTAGTTCGTAGTTGAGATATCAGTCATCTCTAATGGAAACTAGAAACTTTCCGTATTTATTCAGTTACCACACTATTGTTTGCAAGAAATAAATTGGATTCTAAATAAACGCCGCCCTCGAATAAACGCCACACTCGAATCACGAAAAATATAATAAACGCCGCGGCGTTTAATCGAGTAAATACGGCAGTTCCCTCAAAACACAAAAAATTGCCAGCATGTAAAATAGCACCCCTGCAAGAATTGAATACTTTACGGTAGCAGAAGATTCATCACGTTATTGTGATCTATTATCAGACTCACCCAGCCAACACCTGAGTGCATAAACATAGGTTCCGTAATCATACACTGAACATTTGGCTACGTTGTTCTTGAAATCTGATTCAGCCACTTGGTTGCCTGGATTGATGTGAACACGAAGATAAAACGCGCCGTGTACGAAATCAGTACAGTCCACCCACTGGCAGTCGATGTTATAGTGATAAATGTCATAACATCCTGGTGATATGCCCTGATCTCCCATGTCAGTACAGTTCCAAACTTTGTCAAACCCAGAATCGCATTTGGTGTCTTCTAAACAGAAACTAGCTTTGTGTCCTTGGGAAACCTTTTTCCCGCTCCTCTGACCTAAAACGGAAAGAGTGAAACTTAAAGACTTTATTTAAGCCCTTATGGTAGAATGAAACAGCTATATCATCACCTATCAAAATTCCTATCTATTGGCTGACTCAATATTTGCCCAGCTTAAGCGAAAGGAGGATCTATGAGGATTTTGAAATGGTTTGTGATGATTTCCGGAAACGTAGCACATCCCACGCTAGCATCTCTCAAAAACAACACAAAACGGAACTAAAGCACCGACGAACAATAGCAAAAAAAAAACACAATTGTGTGAAACAAAAAGGTCTTTATCGGAGCTTTCTACAATTCTTAAAAAAATGAAATAAAATAGGATACAACAAAGATCAAAATATAGTTAACCAAAGGGAGAATTTGATCGTGTTCCATTTATGGAACTGATTCATTTCGTTCAAACACCGTCAGCAGACCCAATACATTCGCAATTTAAAGTGTCGCCATGGTGATTGACTATTTCGTTTTTACCTTTAAACTGACCGTAGGTTCACGGCATCAGCAATAATTTGTACTTACGAAGGAGATCGTAAGAAGAGAATGTTTCCATGGAGTGATAATGTTGGTGGCATTTGTGCCACTGCCAAGTTGACTTGTCAGCTTTTGGTCTGAAGTGATCCAACCCCCTGTTTTCAACTTGAACGCTGAATCGTAATAGTCGCCTGCGATAAGTGTCTGAATATCTGAAACCGACATGAGAACATGATCAAAGTCATTGTGTAAGTCGTAAAACTGTTGAGTTAAGGTAGAACTAAGTTCTTGTCTACAAATATTTTTGAAAATTTTACCTTAAAAAACGTGCTGCAGACGGACTGAGACAGTTTTCTTCCATAGCACATCTCAGCGCCGATAAGGGAAAAACATTCAATTCCATGTAACTTCTGAGAATATCGGTGTTAACGACAAGGTCAGGTAGAGCTAAGGAGGGAAAGAACACTTCAATGACGCGACTCTATTTTCTGAAAGAGATTCATAGATCTCCAGAAAAATAGATAACTAAAAACGTAAGTCGGGAAGGGATTTCGATCTCGTTTGAGTGAACAAAGGAAAGGTTACGAATGCGTGTTAGACAGTTACATCTCTGTGAAAAACAGACCGAATGAGTACAAATAGCTACTCACAGGTGCACAAGAGAAATGCAAAGTCATTGTTGAAAATTTTCTGACCGTCATCTTTTTTTTTATCGAGTGGCTATGGCAATGGTATAACTTATGATGTTAAAGTGCGAAAGCACACATCTTTCATCATCAAATGACCATTTTCTTAAAAAGAAAACAAGTTAACTTCACAACCACTTTAACATTTCTGCAAATTTCTTTCGTTAAATGATAATATAAATGAAAAAAATCACACGCGTCTGATTGGCTGAAAACAATTGTATTTTTCATGTGACAAGAGTACAAAGTTGCAACAAGTATAAAAGCGCGCGCGCTGCCAATATTTCGTCCGTCTTGACCTTCTGTGATGCGTTTTTCATGTAAATTATTAATAAGCAACATCATGACATGATTTCTCGTGCAACTCGGTGAAAATAAGCACCTGTAAATTTTCAAAGAAAAAAAAATTGCACGAGCCCGTTTGAAAAATTTACTCGTGTTTATCAACCCCAAATTGCACGTGAAATCATATTGCTACCTGTACGAAATGAACCGCTAAGTGCCACGTGCAAACTCTTAAGAACCATAATACTGAGTGTTATTGAATATAGCTTTTGTATCACACGTGACTGAACATGCAAAGGGTGGAAAAGTCTTACCACTAACGCACACGACTCCAGCTGACTTCTTCTTGTCATTGCAGGTGGTGTTTTTCCACTCATCATGTTCACAATGGTAAATAGAGATATCGTTTATATGACATTGAACTCCAGACATGATAACTTCAAGATCTGTTCGACTGAAGTTTTGTTCCGTAACTGCTTCACTGGCATATCCAAGATTCAACTGTCGGCAAACTGTCATAGCTTCTTCTATTCCCCACCCTTCAGCGCAGACGGTTCCCCATTTTCCATCATAGAAGACTTCAACCCGACCCTCAAGATGGTTTGCGCCGCCCCTAATGCGAACCTGCAACATAAGGCCAAAACGAAATTGTACTTGTGTGAACTTGTCGAATCCAAAGTCAACATGCTACTGCCTTCTTAAAACCAAACGTTAGTGTAAAGGCCTATTCTCATTTGCTGGCCAAATACAAACCAGTATCTTTTTAACCACATCAGATACACAGTTTCGTTATTTACTAGAACAGTGGATACCGTGGAAGGTGCGCTCTGATTGGCTACTAGAACTCTGAATATTCTTTGTTATTCACCTCTAAGCAACTCGCGCCGGATTTGCGCCCGAAAATATTGGAATCGTCGCAGGAATAAATAAGTTAAAATCATCTTTTCATGTTATATTTTCTCATTGTTTTAGTCAACATTAGTATATCATATCAATAAAGGAATTCCACCAATATCCCTTTTTAAACACCTCAGGTGGGAAACACTGATTTCCTTCCTTGCTCCCAGCAAAACAAATTGTCCAAGTTACCTTTTCACATAAAATGTGATTTCATTTACGGTGAAATACACAGACAGATGTATTATTTTATTTAACATTATATTACCTACCTCATGGCCTTGAAGGGAAGGCACGTGACATCTAACACCAGCGTCCTCATGATGATTACAGTCGGACTTGAGCCATCTTCTTTTCTTGCACTGTCTAATACTCTTCTCAGTACCCACACAATACACATCATCGAGCATGATCTGAGTTCAAAATTCAATAACGAAATCAACGGTTTTCATTTCCTATATACGTTAACACGTAAAGAAACACAGCTACCTCTCGGCTTAATAACAAACCACCGTTTGGGAAATGAGCTCACGCTTCTCCTCCTCCTCTTCTCTTGGAAAGGCACAGACTCGAGAGAGATGGACATCGAGCATACGGTTCTTCCCAGGTTGGTCCATTGCAAGTTTCTCCGGGAATTTGTCATGATGGCTTGACACATTACTCCGCCCATTCCGTATTGTGTGCTCGCTTTTTTTTTTTGGATAAGGCTCTTAGAGAATTTTTTTCCCGGTACAGTCGGCTCTCACCTTGCGGACACCTCGCTATTATGGACACCCCGCCATTGAAGACAAGACAGTCCCCCCGGCGAAACGCATAAAGAAATGACTGAAATTAACTCTCGTTATTACGGACTCTCTCTATTACAGATATGATACCTTTCCAATTCCTCTTCCATAGTACGCATTCTTTGTTGCTATTTCCGCTGTACCGTAACCCATTGACCTGCAGACCACATTAGCTTCCCTTATGGTCCAGTGATCATCACAAATGGTGCCCCAATATCCGTTATTCTGTACCTCCACACGTCCCTCCGATACCAGGGCCCCGCTTCGCAATCTCACGTCTGGTGGCTACAAAGAGGAAAAACAAGGTCCAAAAGTGCTGCCTAATGTCAAAAGGCATAGTGGAAACCGAAACCTCGCAGTTTGGCTGCTTTTGCTAACATTAAGTTTTACGTCTAGAAGAAAAACGGGTGTCACGTGAAGAACGCTGTCCGATCTCTTGAAAGGATAAACGCAACAAAGAGATAAAAAATTGATACAGACTTTTGTTCCCTGGCTAACAAACTGATCCTCATCGGAAGTTTAAAAACGAAACAACCCCCCCCCCCTCCTAACTCTTCGGTAAATCAGAGTGTAATGCGCGAGGCTATAAAATAGTCCTGAATATCTACTTTTGAAGCTTCTCTTACTGCGCTTATTCGCGTTGTGCAAAACATGTAATCTGTTAGTGAATAAAATTATCTTTCTGGTCCCGTGCTGCCGATCCGACGATAACGGGCGAGAGAGTTGGTTTTTATTCGTATTCAGTGCTTCAAACAGGCAGTATATAACTTTCACATTGCGCTGTCATCGAGAGAGAGAGCCTTGAAATTTATTGAAAATCTCAGAAAACAATTCGATCAAAAATTGGCCACATTTTGAATTGTAACTACCTTGCAGATTACAGAAGAATACGTGACCAAAACACCTTGAAATCGTGCATTTTGACAACCACGCGTTCTGCTTCTTGTTAATTACGATGGGGAACAAGAGCGATTTAACGCCTATAAGAGTGAAACTGGAAGAACTCAGTGTGCAAACCCACAGAGTGACTTAGCCTCTTCAAGTGAAATCCCAAAGCAAGTTAAATTCGATCGAAAGGAAAGCATAAGACTTGAAAAAAATAAAATTCCAATAGCTTCTTTAAGACTAGAGAGATTTAATTCCTTTTTGCTTCCCTGTATCTGTTAACTGCGATTTGTATCAGGATACTCACTTTTTTGATTAATCGCCTGACACACTCGATCCTCACCGCTCCCCCCTCTTCACATTGATGACTGTTCCACCCTGCATGGTCACATGACACAATCGATGACTCCCATCCTTTGCACGTCACCTGGTCCAGCCAATAGACGGGCTCCAAATCTTGGATGGTTTCTTTATGGGACTTAAGTTTCTCAGCGTTAGGAAATCCTAGTTGGCCGCACAGCACGAACGAGTTCAGTTGAGTCCATTGAGAAGGACAAATATAACCCCACTTTCCTTCATGCTCTACTTGAACAACACCTTCTGATATGTAGTCATCAACAACTGGGCCTTCTAACCTTATGTTGACTTTTGAAACCTGCATTGAGATCAGAAAGAAAGAAACTTGTCATGCAATCTTGGATTCCCTTTGCGTGAAGGAAACATGTACGGTTTTTTTCACCATACTTAAGAGGAGGTCTATTCCAACAGAACCAACACAGATCCGCCCACAGTTTTGACCCGTCATTACGATGGGATGATAAAGGTTGTTCTTTCAGGCACTATAAACAAAAACGTTTCTTAAATCATCAATCGGTAGATACGTATATTTTTCGGCACCTTTTTTGAAGTCTGATCGATCATTATTTACGCTATAATCTAGACTGGCATTTTTTTTCATCATGGTCCGGAGAAATAAAGCGTCATATAATGATTGATTTGTTCAAGTAATGCGCACCCTCTGATTGGTCGAGGATTACGTCGTATCTTGCTCGCTCTCATTGAATCTACAAACAAAATCATTGGAAATTTCAATCTAGTTTGTGATTAGAAACCGGATTAAAAAATGATGTTATCGACTAAATTTAACAAGATTATACCTGACCGCTGGCTTGCGAAGGCTTGGGCTCAACAATGAGGTCATTCAAGCGCTGTCTGCAAACAGCACCAGCCTGACTATAGATTTGACAGTTGTGTCGGCCCCAGGGCCTATGCGAACACTTATCAATCGAATCCTCCTCTCCAGAGCATTTGACGTCATCAAGCCAGAATTTCCCATTTCCAACGCCAAATGCGTGATGCCTAGGGAGCCAAGCAAATGGAATACTCAGAGTTAAATTGAGTTTGGGTAGAAGTTGTGAGATTTAACCAACAACTAGCCATATGTTGTGATGATGTTTAAGGTACGAGTGCTTATTTTTCAATTTCCTCGCCATGCAGATGACTTTTACTACGACTCAAACTTGAAAGGATGACGTCTTTGAAGTGCTTAGATTGAGCTGTTACACGGAGATGTCTGTTGGGAACTATAAAAAAACCCGGTTCCTGGTGATTTGACAATCTGTGTACCTTAATAACAAATTTCACAATGATCAATTGTATATGGACTTTATGTTAAGCAATTCTTAAAGTGTACATACATTAAACATCCCCGCAGACTTTGCGGCGAGTGACAGCCAATGATGGTCATGCTGACTTGCATACCGTAGAACTTTCCAGAACATTTCATCTAGTCACGAATTTATTATGTAATATTACTAAACTGAACAGTTATTATATAAGCTTCTGGAATGTTCTAGAACACTTTGTGAATATACATAAAGACTCACTCATCTAGTAGGAGAAGTAGCTGTTGTTGTCGGAGCGACGACTATTTTGAAAGCTATAACTAGAGAGAAATACTGCGGAAGATTGCTTATTTCAAGGAACTTTGGAGACAGCAGTGAGAATGTGTCAGTGGTGAGCCAGGATATAGACTGTGGTGGGCTTAATTAAGTTTATTAACGATAAGTATTGTATTGTTTTTAGAAGTCGCTCATTGTTAAGAACATTACTCGCTGTTTAATAAAGTAGTTGAGTTTGTGGGATTGTAGTGTTTTTCTGTCCGTTAGATTATACCATAACAGTGATTTAAAATCGATTACTACCGAATTTCCGTCATATGTTAACAATGATTTCATCCACAGTAGCTGGAATCCTTCATGGCAGGAACCAGTTTTCATTTTCCTTCAGAGCCCAAAATAGAAAATAAAATAAGAACGTTCAGCCTCAGCCCCAAAGTCAGACGTTGTTATAAAAAAGATCGCGTACTGTATGATAGTTTTTTTTCGGTCAGAGTGATTCTGTTTAAGTTAATGCCAATTAAGTTAAGTTAAAGCCGTTTTGTGAAACAAATAGCCGAGATTTACATGAATATTTGGAAGGTGGAAAGCTGAGAGCTAGAACGGTAAAAATTCCAAAAGGAAGTCATTTCGACAAACGATTATCATTCATCACGGACCGTTTAACAGCAAACATGTCAATTAAATTATGGTAGCGAATCACTAACCATCCTCGATCTTTGATTGAACAAAGAGAAACACAAGAATGACAGAGGAAAGAAAGCTCTAAATATGTATTTTTCCTTAGCATGACATCTTTTGGTTCTCCAAAATTACCAGCTATGCAGGATGCAGGCTATTCAGTGCTCAAAATTATATACATGTACCAGATGTAAGTTACGCAATAGTTTAAGACTGGTAACAGAAGGCCAGCACTTAACGACATACTTTGTAGAGCAGATACACCAAGTCACAAATGCATTAATAGTAGCAGGAGGGTGTCTGAGAACGTAATAACATCTCACGCAGTCATTTTGTTATCTGACATGAAATATTTTTCAATCAATGTGTTGCCCACATATCTTCACCGCGGGCATTTCCGTGCGAAGACTTAGTGTCACACAACCTTTCCTTAAAGGGGCAAGAGATGAGCCCAGCAGAAGATCCCTACTCAGACCTGTACAGACAGAACTCCAGCTCAGTCGCCTCCCAATGACTCGTATTCTCAAGGACAATTTAAAATGGCTCTAGCGGATGAGCCCTAATGCTAAACTTTAGTCCATTACGTAATTGCTGGGTTCTTTTACAATTAAAATTAAAAATAACATTAGCCATACAGTTTCTTAATTTTACTTGTTGAGTAAACGGGAATTTCCTCTTATTCATGACATTACCAAAATGTAAACGGTCTTACAAAGAGTCGCAGACTGAGCTCAAAATTATGCTACTTACAAAAATTTCAGTGCAGCCCTAAACAGAAACTTTTGACCATCAACCTAAGATGTTTCTTCAGGTATACAAGCAACAAATCATATGATACAGACCCCTTTGTATACCGCAGCACATCGGGAAATCCAAGCATGCGGCAGACTACTCTGGCCCCGTTCCTGTCCCAGCCGTGATCACAAACAGCTTTCCACGTACCATTGTATAACACCTCAATTCGCCCCTCGTAAAAGTGCTTTCCACCTTTTAAACGAACTAGAACGCCTCTTGAAATCTCAATGCTTGTCAGTACTAATCCGAGTAAAATCCAATTCATTGCACTTAAAACGTCGATAACGAGAATTCCAACGACAACAACAAATTCGTTTCGATCTGTTCCACCAAAATAATTCGAATCAGCTATGTAAGCAGCGCGAGGACAAAGGTATATGCGACATTTCACTCAATTTATCCAAAACATGAAATCAGATCTCCCCCGGGACTGTTGGTGAGTTCACTGAACAGACATCCCTTGTTTCCATTCCAGCAGTAGTCAGAACACAATAATTCTTTATGATGTCACAAAACGCTGAGAAGCGTGTTCACAGTATCCGGTTCCAATGTCACGTTCAACAGCTTTTGGAAGCAGCGGGGAATGAAAAAATGTGTTTTTATCATGCATTCTTTCTAAATGATTAGTTGCAAAGTCTGAGTTTGAACGAAGACGAATCTAAAATAAGAAAATTGTGGCCATTATTTCATATATCAGTTCATATCATCACCAAGAGCACGTCTTCTGGAACTTAGTTTTTAGCTTTCTTGACAGTATTCATTCATTTACCCACCCGTTTATCCACTTCTCGTTAGTACGTTGGTTCGTTTGTTCATCAGTTGCATACATTCTTCACTTGTTGTTGTTTTTGCTTTTGTTTTTATTTTGTATGCTTTGCGCAAACGAAGGAAAGGTGGACAATGTAAGCAATTGCAATCAGATGAAATGGATTCAATAACTTATTGAATTTTTGTTATGATTAGTGCGAAGCCGAATCTTCACAAAGCCTTAACGTGCTTGTGATAAGTCATAAAATTTTTGCCCTAAACTATTCAAATCAACGCCTTTGCTCTGTTGATCTTAGAAATTACAGGAGCCCAGTAGGGCTCCTGGTTGTGGTAGGATCGTACATGTTAGTGGATGCTGACTGAGAGCGCGGAATGCAATATCTGGATTTTGTCTGATATCATTGAAAAACAAGGTGAAAACATTGATCATTCACTTGAGCAGGGATTATGTCTCAATAAAAGGTTTTTGTGTCAGTGTCATTCATTTAGCACGCGAAGAATCAATTAACCGTCATTTGACCCCAGCTCACGAGGTCAGTGAAACACACAGACCAAGAACCTGATGTTGTATCTGGAAGAACAGAGAACCCACTTAGGAAGCATTGAAAATAGTACGAACACAGCTCTGAAAGATTGTTAAGAGATTTAATCAAGATTCTTAAATCCCTCTGAAAGTGATTATCTACTTACTGATGATTAGATTAGGTTCTCTCTAAATGAGCATGTACAGGCCTAAGGAAGAGGGCACAAATGAATATGTGGGAAGTCACTCGCATATTGGGAAGAACTTTTTAGAGAACGACCTTCTATTTTCAATAGCTTTGAGTTGTACAAGGAGTTATTTCTCAATGTTTGCTCTAAAAGGATTATTTGGGCCGTTTCCACCCTGCCATTTTATGGGCAAATTGTGGGCCAAAGATTACGCGATAAGGTATGCGAAGCAGACAAAGCAATGACTTTAAAAGGATGACTTAATGGTTTTGAGAACTTTTCTTATCTTATAAGGCTGTCTTCTTAGCTCAATATCCAAAGATTCACTGCCATATGGCTGTGTTCCCAGTCTGATGAGTGAGTGATTGTTTTCTGATCCTTCAAGTGCCTTCTGAGAGGAGACGTATCCAATTTCATTTTAGGGCCTTTCGTACGACTGTCATTTGTCACGCGCGGTTGGCGCCAGCCAAGGAAAACCTTCATCGTGCAGGTTTTTCTTTGGTTGTGCGTTTCCGAGACTCCAAATTTCCGCTTTGGATTCGCACCTTTTCATTAAAGAAGGCGTATCCCAACATAACAAAATTCTTTCCTTGATATTAGGCCAACATATCCCATCGTATTGACCCACGAATCGCTGTTGTATTCGTTTGTATCGTGGTGAGTTCAACCAAATACAATATGGCGCTGTTACGGTATACATGGGTAGTTCTTCTGCTCGCCGGCGTTACTAGTGCTTTGACTGGAATTCGCCTCAGAGGAGGGAAGCATCAGCACGAAGGTCGGGTTGAAATTGAACATGATGGACAGTGGAAAGCAGTATGTGACCATGGATGGAACAAATACGCAGCTAGAGTGGTATGCCGAATGCTTGGGTTTCCAGACATGCTGCGGTACACAAAAGGGTTAGTTGCACAATTGTTTTCCACCTAAGTTGTCTGCGGGTTTGTTATTACTCAAATCGTACAAAGAATGGTTTTCGAATATTTCGAGGATTTTAGTAGTGCTTGCGAAGATATATCCTTGTTGAGCAAGTTCTGCTGACACCATGCAAACCAGCGCTGGCTTTTCGAAGGTTCTGGCCTCATTCTACGAGATTCTAATCTACCTCACCGTACACCCTTGGATCTTGGAAGTCGAATTGTCTAATTTCATTATTTTTAGCTCCTTTCTAGAAACAAATTATTACATAATGTAGTAGATACGCCGGCTAAAGCATGCAAACTCAATGAACAGACTAATTATCGTACATCAAAACCACATGCACCCAGGGTTTTCCGATTACGTTAGTGTCTCGAGCAGTTTTAGCTTACATTATATTTATTATTTATTTATATAGTACGTCATAAAATCTCGCGCCATTACGCGATAGGGACAATCGCCCTTTTGTTTTAATCAAGACATTCCAGCTGCTCTGTAGATTCAAAACAATCATGGCACAGATTACTTTCTCATTTCCTCCGCGAATCGTTTCATACTTCTCATTGGATGGATCGAGTCAAGGTTTATTTTTTTGTACTTTTATTAACAGTTGAACTTAAAAAAGTCTTCAGAATACTTTTTGGTTATAAAAAAAGATAAATGCTCCTTTCAATTCCCTTTGAAGAATAATGCTTTGCGGCACAAGAAAGAAAGAAAAAGCTATGCTTTGTAATGTTCTAACCGGCCTTCCTTAAATTTTCTTTTCTTTTTATTTTTAAGTCAGTCATCAGGTGCTTTGCGTTTCCGTCAATTTATCTAAATGTGGTTTGAACAAATATTGTCACTTAGATGTCCGAACCACATTAATTTTCCATTGGTGACGTAATTTTTCCCTTTGAAGTCTAATAGAACATAGGTAAGAACAAATCAATGTAGTCTTACTGTTTTATGTGAATTCCACCTGTAGAATGAACAAAGCAGGTTTCGGTTTTCAGTGTGCCCTTATTCGCTGCTCAAATATAGCATGTTACGTCATCATGTTGACGTAAAAAAAGAAAAAAAAAAAAAGAACCGATTTTCTATCTAACGGCTCTTTTTTCAGGCCGGCAATACCGGAAGCATACCATGCTTTTCAAAGACAATGGTTGGAGATGTACCAACTTTGTTCATTGTTTATTGTTTGAAACCGTTACTCGAAAATTCCGTTCTTAATTAGATATGCTAGAGCTCGGAAGTACGATGCTTTCATCCTCCCCCGCAAGGAGTTCACTGGAAGAAGTTTGTCTTTCTCTTCCTTTGTAAACTCGCCAGGGATATGTATATGCCGGAGTTGGGTTTCTGTTAAATTTGTTTTTAACAAAACAATTGTAGGAAGAATTTTTTTGGCTTTCATATTTTTCAATCATTTTTTTGTAAAAGAGCGGGCGTGTTTCGAGCTCAGAAACCAGATAAATGAACAGCTCTTTGTATGTTCGCTATATTTTGTTGTTTTGAAGGCAAGGGCAGCGATACAGGAATGAAGCATGAGTCGAATGAAAGCACTGGTTTATGACCCTTTTTCCAAAAGGCCGCTTTTTCGCATGTAAGCTGCCCTTGTTCGCTCTCAGTAATTTCTAAATACAATTCTACAAAGAACTGTGCTTTCCTGCTCAATAAAACAGCGCCTTACAAAATGTCTTCTTATCAACAGGATTGTAAAGAGCATTATCATTTTTTAAATCTAGCGCCTCTCATTATTTTTTGTCAAGCCTATGCAGTGGAGCACCAGTTAAGAGAAGTCATATTCTTGAAGCATGACAATCAAAGCTGATGGAATCCATGGAATATTAATCAGCGAACAAAATAATTATCACTGGCACGAATTACCGAATGCATTTATCAAATACCTTACATAGGTTGCTTGATCTGAAACGTCTCTCTCTGAAAGTGTCTCATTCATTCACTTCCATTTTTAAGACAAGACAGATTTGGCCAAATAACTTACAACTACTGGTTAGACGATGTCAGATGTCGAGGAGATGAAGAATCTATCGAGCAGTGTTCGCACAGGGAATGGGGGAAACACAACTGCCGTAGATATAACCAGGCTGGTGTAGTTTGTAAACTGGGTTTGACTGACAGTGTGACTTTTGCGGAGCCACCAAAATCCATAAATAAGGTAAGAAATAATCACATATATGGACCGAGATTCTAAATCGATCGGCTCTGAATAACAAAGTGCTTTTGGTCGTGTGATTTTCACCCTCCGCGCCTTAACAAGCAATCAAGAGCTTCCTTAGTCATTTCCTATTTTCTCGTGACCTTAATGTGGGATTCGGGGGTGACATTGTTAGGGAAGATCAAATGCTAATCGATCACTCCTAGAGTTTGTGTTAGAAAGAAAAACAAATATGCCTATGAGTACTTACAAACTGTTCACTGTTAACAGTAATTAAAGTTACACTCATTTCTCTATGTACTCGAGTAACAACTCATCATGTCCATCGCAGGTTTTGAGCTTGAAAGTCAGGTTACAAGGCCCAGTTGTTGATGATTACATATCAGAAGGTGTCGTCCAAGTAGAGCACGAGGGAAAGTGGGGTTATATTTGTCCTTCTCAATGGACTCAATTTAACTCGTACGTGCTGTGCGGCCAGCTTGGATTTCCTGACGCTGAGGAACTCGAGTCCCATACGAAAACCATCCAAGATTTGGAGCCCGTCTATTGGCTGGACCAGGTGACGTGCAGAGGATGGGAGTCATCGATTGTGTCTTGTGACCATTCAGGGTGGGGACCTAAGCAGTGTGAGGAGGGAGGGGCAGTGAGGATTGAATGTACCAGGAGACGAGAAGATAAGGTTAGTTGATCACAACACTTTATAGTAGAAGGTCAGGCCATAATTAATAAGCCAATTATGTTGATTTTCAAATCAAAAGCTCGAATAGTCAGCCTCAGTTTTACAGGGTGTCTCATCCTCTCCCCTCGCTAATGAGTCGGAAGGAGAGAGAGTCTGTGAACAAGATTACGCAGTCGAGTGTGTGCTCCATGGACAAAGACCTAGCTTTAAGCATTATGTATGAAAATCTCCAGCTTATTATTATTTGGGTATGGAAGGGTCTCAAGAAAAGTCTGTAATTGGAGAGCCTTATGCAATGTCAACCTTCATTTGTTTAAAGTGAGGTCATAATGTATTTTTCTCGTCAAGCCACACTCCATTCGCCTTCGAAGTGGTGCCCAGATGTCCGAGGGGCGCGTAGAGATCAAGTACAAAGGGTCTTGGGGAACTGTATGTGATGATCATTGGACACTTAAGGAAGCAAATATTGTCTGCAGGTCATTGGGATTCGGTTCTGCGGCAGCAGCAACGAAGGCAGCGCATTATGGCAAGGGTGTGGGAAAGGTGAGTAGTTGAATTTAACTATTATAATAACTGACTCTGTAAATCACGTGTGATAGTTTTGAGAATTACACTCTTGGATAAAAAGGAAATGTTTGCAACGGAGTCGAGGAGTTTTGATTTGCCATCGTTTCTCCCGCTGTTATGAGCACAAAGAGACGATAAGCATCAGTTTTTGTTTAAGTGGGTTGTCGGTCCATTGCAGGCCACTCTCTGGATCCTTCAGCGTTTCGCTCAGATTTCGTTGCAGTTACACTCCTTGGCGAGAGTAAGAGTACTGTTGGAGTAAATGTTTGTCCCCAAACAACGATACTATGACTGAGCACGAGATTAAACGCGAGAGAGTGAATCTTAGAGTAAACTGAATTGTTCCTGATGTTTGAGGTCGCTATGGTTGTTACATAGGAAATCGTCAAAAGGAATGAATTTCTCGTAAACATAAACAACAGTAGCAACAGCAGTAACAACAACGACACCAAAACAAGTAAATCTCAACGGCTCCTTCTGCATCCTACCTGATTTCCATGAAATATTCTATTTCAGGAGGGATCATTTACAGGCCAATTTTCAGGAAAAAAATATTTTTTATGATGTGTACGGTGTTTTTTGTTACAGATCATGCTCGATAATGTTCGCTGCGAAGGAAGCGAGCGTAGTATAACCCAGTGTCGTCACCACGACTGGTACAAAACAAATTGTGATCATTATGAAGATGCGGGCGTCAAATGCCACGCCCCAGAGCTTCAAGGTCACCAGGTAAATAATTCCCGCACCACTGAGTGGAACTTCGTTTTACTTACTAAAAGGCAGCTTTTAAGCAACTCCCTTAAATAAAATTACCACTAGTTATTAAACTTTACTCAAACATCAGCCCTTAAAAGAGGCCATCATTACAATTCCCTAATTTATGTAAAAATGCAACAATTTATAAAACGAGGAAATAACGACTTCGAATACACCGCTATTGTTATCCAATGAAAATACGGAAATGAACTAATACTTATAGACGAGGATCCACTTTAGATCTTAGGATTTCATTGATGGTTGCATTGTCACCATCGGGCCTATTTCTTTTGGCTTCACTCATTGTTTTAATGTTATTTTGGAAGTTTTATATTCGTTGGCTATTCGATGTCACTTTTAATTTCTTTGATTTTTTTCATATACCTTAAGATAAAATGACAAGCGAAGCTCTTTGGCTGTCATAACTAATTTTTCATCCTAATGAGGCCTGAAATGCTCCTCTCTTTTAACAGATCAGGCTTAGTGGTGGTGGTAGCATTTCCGAGGGTCGCGTTGAAGTCTTCCATGATGGCAAATGGGGAACCGTTTGTGCTGATGGATGGGGAATAGAGGAAGCCATGACAGTTTGCCGACAGTTGAATCTCGGATTTGCTAGCCAAGCTGTTATCGAAGGTAACTTTGGGGGAGAAGTTCTTCCAGCCATTTTATCTGGAGTTCAATGTCGAGTGGACGCGATATCCATTTACAACTGCGAGCATGACGAGTTCGCGAACACCAAATGCAGCAGCAAAGGCAAAGTAGCTGGCGTCGTTTGTGTTGACGGTAAGGCGTGACTAATTTAATATTGTGTAATATTTAAGGGGTTACTTACATTTTAGTGATTTGCTTGTAGTTAACACGATTTGAATTCAAAGTTCGAAGATATTTGGGTTTTAGCTATCGCGTTGAGTTTCCTATGGTGATTGTCTCGTCTAACTTCCATTAGTTGACTTGCACAGTTTGTCCACTGACTCTACCTTGGACCCACATAAAAGTTTTTGTTTTGGCCTTGGCAGTCAAAGTTTACTTGTTTGATTGGATATTAAATTGAGTCGATTTTACATTTGTAAACTTCTTGTCAAAGGGTTATTGTTCTGATAACGAATGTTTAATCTTCGAAGGTCAGTGGGCCCGCATACCTACTCATGCCTGCCGATAGTAAATATAAAAGCGTGTACTACAGAGTTCGTAATCAATGTCAATCAGAGTAAGAGTCGGTCGACCAGAGTAACTCAGAGTAAGCAAGAACCGATCAGTCAGTCAGAGTCAAGAGTGGTTGAAGGGGGAAGAAGTAATAGAAATTAATTGTGCAGTAGGTAGAATTTATCAGAGAGCGAAGACTAAAGAAGACTGAAAGACTAAGCACGGTGCGCTCTGCAGCTGGTTTCCCCCAAAACACGCGCTAACGGAAGGATCAATATTTAATAAAATTTGTATTTTGACACAACCTCCTTACCAAACCACGGAAACCTTAATACAGAGTTAAAAGAATATGATGGACAAAGCCAAAGAATGCCTTCAACAAATAAGATTAAGGTTTTAAAAAAGGCTACTGCGGTGTTGATGCCATTTTAAATTCTGCCTGGCTAGTTTTCATGATCCGACAAGCAGATGTTTATGCACCGAGAACCTTTTTCCATTTTCTTCCACAGCTCTTCCTGATATAGTGCCTGATGTGGAATTGCTACGAAAAGACATGAAGATGCAGAGTATTCCTATGGAATACTTGAGGTGCTCTCTAGAAGAGAACTGCCTTTCAGACTCTGCTAATTACATCCGGTAAAAATTAAACCTAGTTTAACAAATCAAAAGAGAAAACAAAACAAACAGAAAACAAACAAACAAAAAAGTTATTGGCGGTCTCAACATTGCTTGCTTTCAAACAAGAGAGATCAGAAGACAATTTCATAAGATTGGAACGGCTTTAAAAGCGTTTTCCCTCTGAAATGGCACTGATAGCGAAGACATTAGAGAACTTAAGCAGAGTCCGAACGATTTTGAGACGCGGACTGAACTGGGAGACGAATAAAACTAATTCCGATGCGCTTTGACGCTCATGTATCGACGGTGAGGTCGTTTTAGTATTTAAACCAAACTTTGCTGACCAAAAAAGGTGTAGTGAACATCAGGAGCGAGACCTTTAAACTTCTGGCTGCCGTCCGCGTCTCAAAAAGGTTTGGGCTAATGGCTTTTATCAGCGGGAACGTCTTGGTCGCTTCTACATTATTCTAAACCTACCTAGTCGATCAAACTGATGACAAAGTGAGAGGTCACACTGAAGTTACATCTACTTCTACCAATAAACTGCAGTGGCAACCGCTTTAAATTTGTTCCATGAATACTTACAAGGAGGTCTTTGTTGACGCTACGCGTAAGTGGTATGTTAAGCTTTCCTTTCCTACTGAAAATGAGAACAAATTAGACGTCAGGTGATTCGTCCTTAATTCAAGTCGAACTACGAGTTAAAGTTTACCTTGGTTCCGAGGTAGACGACCTGTCTCACTTGCTACCTGATAGAGAATTCATTTCATTTGTGTCTCACCTAAATGAAGTTCCCTCTTCCACTCAGATTTAAAGATGAACAGATCGAGATTCCATTTGTTCTACTCGAATTTCAGAAATCCAGGATACCATTCAAGGCGTCTTTTGAGATTCAGTGTCAAAATTGAAAATCAAGGATTGGCGGATTTCAGACCGAATTTTCCCAAGTCTGAGTGGCAGTGGCATAAGTGTCATAAGCATTACCACTCTATGGAGACCTTCACCACTTATGATCTCATCGGTAAGTTTAATCCATTATCTCCCAGGATCTTAGTGGTAATTCTCCTTACTGTCTGCCATACAATTCTTATGATGCTAGTTTGGAGAATTTGGTATTGGATCAACTAATTACCCCGTTAATTGATATTTTTCTCTCTTCTCATTACTTGTCTGTTGGATTCTGTAAGGACGAAATGGTTACTCGTGAGAGCTTAAGGGTTTGTTGGATAGTTCCCTTAGGTTTTGAAATCCAACAATTTGATTGGTCTCAAGCCATATCTGACACTATAAGAACGAAGGTTAAAATCCAAACAGTTTAATTTTTCTTCCATGATGTTTGTTTTCTGAATTTCAATTTTGGAATACAGCTGTCAGTGATTTGTTGCAATGAGGTATTTTAAAAGAATTTTACTTCCTGTAGAGCATTAAAGTTAATATATTTTTAATCTCATTAAGATAAGGATTCAGGAGAGAAAGTTGCTCAAGGCCACAAGGCTAGCTTCTGCCTCGAGGACACAATGTGCGATCCAGGCTATGACAAGAAATTTAACTGTTCTGAAGAGGGCGGTCAGGGGATTTCTCCGGGCTGTTACGACATTTACAACTGGAAAATTGACTGCCAGTGGGTGGACTGCTCGGACTTCCCACACGGATCATTTTATTTGAGAGTACATCTGAACCCCGGCAACCAAGTGGCTGAATCAGATTTCAGGAACAACGTGGCGAAGTGTTCCGTGTATGACTACGGAAATTATATCGTCACAAGCAAGTGCAAAATCGGTGAGTCGTTCACAGTTTACATTGCTTTAAAATGATACAGATGTCGGTCGACATGTCTCGATATTTGGAAATTCTGATAAATTTCTAGCACGTGAACTTTCATAGAGCATACAACATATTTACGAAATGCTCTCCAAGACTACCTTGCCATATGATACGTGATTTATGCAAAGTGCAGCAGAGAGTCTGTACTTCTCAATTTAAGATAGGATGAATTATTTCTTTCCTGCTGCGTTTCGTAGAGGATTGTGACAGCGGTGTGGACACCCATGGCGGGAATTCAGCTGGAAATTGCTGTGTTTTTCCATTCCGGTACAACCGTAAACTGTACCACGACTGTACAATGGACGGCTACACTTTGAAATGGTGCTCAACCACGTTTGATTTCAAACAAGATGGCAAATGGGGACTGTGCTACAACTAGGTTAGTTTTTTCCTTCAGTTATCTTTCTCTTTATTTTCCTGTCATTTAAACAAAGGACCCACCATATGACAGTTGCAATGCTGAGAAGTTACAATTCCAAAGCTCAGAGTTTGATCAGCGATGTCGATTCTTCGAGAAGACAGGTTCTTGTGTGCAATCGACAACCTTCCTCTGCAGACCACAGAAATTTTCATGTTGAAAGTTAATTTGTAAACAATACTGCTTGGATCTCCCGTGGTCCATAAAGCTAGGTTTTGAGTCAGGTATGTACCGCATGGTAATTTTTTCCTTTTTATGAATTACAGGTCAGCGAGGAAGTTGGGGATCTTTTTCTACTCTTTTTTACAAGGCTTCAACGCTTCTGCAAATCTTCACCATTGAAGAAACGCTTTTCAAGTTTTCATCTATCTATATCTGTTAGTTCCTATTCAAATATTTCAATGTTTACGGAAGAGTACGTTCTTTGATGTTCGAAACTCTATGTATAAAAGGGGCGCTTAAGTAAAATTAAGTAATAAGGGTTCTTACCATCCTTTTATCCTATTAACAACCAGCAAGCATTTACTTTGCACTAAATTCTACGTTACTACCAATGAGCCAACTCATGAACTAGACCTGTGACAAGTGTCCTCGAAATTCCAGAGATAAGCAATGTCAAGAGTATTGAGCATGAAAAAAAAGATGCTCAATAAATTTCTATTTTTAGCATCAAATAGTTTACCGAGTAACGTTCGAAATTTGGTACAAGGCGCCATAGCTTTTGAAAGCCTCGCAAGAAATACCACTTATCAAGGGAAGAAGGAGGTGTTCTCTACAATTCGACAATCTACTAACTGCTATATACTACTATATACTATATATAATTTTTTTACAATCCGAATGGTATATTAAAGTGTTTGGTAAGAACTCTCAGCTTTGAATCAATCGTATCCCAGTCCATGTAAATTAACTCAAGGAAGCGGCTTGATGTCTCGGTGAGTTGGAAGGCGGATCTACCGTGAAATACGCGCTTGTTGTTGAATGATATCACATCACCAGGCACCATTTTATATTCTATTTGATTGATCGGACCTCTGAGAATTCGACCATACTTGAGGTAAGCTTCGTACAGTTCCACAGCTTTCTCCGGGGGAAGATTCATGAAGGAGTCGCGTGCATTATCGTTTAAAGCGAGTCCGCTCAATTTGCCATTGTCATCCAACCTGCAACAAAAGCGTCTTTCTTGTAAATATGGGCCACATAGAAGGTTGAAACAGGAGACAAATCAAAAACTGAGAAAAGCAAAAAAAAAAAAGGAAAACAAAATTGTGATACTGAAGAAGAAATATCGTACTTTTTGAACGTCGACCTTGATTTTGTTTTGGAGTTACCCCAGCTTTCGATAAAATGTCATTCTTTTGTATTGTTTACTGTGTAGTCGTCGCATTGAGGACACAATAAGAGTTTCAATGTTATTTTTAAGTTTAGTGTTCCTGTTAGTGGTGAAAACAAACACAGCCCCTCAGCTTCTTCTTTTGAAAGGACGGCCTCTTCAGGAATCTTGTTCAGGTCACAAAGGCATTATCGTTCAGTGACACCAGTTCCGTAACCCCTAAGTTTTATTTTTGAAGACATAATCGATAATTCAGAGGGCTTCGGAGCTACCCTACTTTCTACACCTATTTAAGGTGGATCCGAGCCATTTCAACAGCAAACTCACTCTATTGTGGCATGAGAGGATTTCATGTGAAAATCACCAAACACGTCCTTGCCACGGTCCCTGAATTGAATTGGAGTGGTAGACAACAGCTTGAAAGACTCTGGGTCAATTTCTTTCAGTTTCTTTGCAGCGTGAAATCCGTCGGAAAACTGATTAACGCCACCTTCGCTCGACACCTGCTCGATACAGTGAAGAAGTTGTACCTTAAAGAAAAAAGCAAAATGCAGCTTTCCCTCTCACGTTTAACCGAAAAAAAGTTCAAATTTGACGAGTGCAATAAGGTTCAAGTGATAAATCGAAGCTTCTAGTGAGTTTAAAATGAAGACGTTTTAACTTAGATTTTTATAAAGCTTTTGGCCTCCCAAAAGCAGATTGGGGCTGGACATAATTGCCTGGAATAAACAGATGTCATAAATTTACATGTTATTCTCTTTTTCCCTTTATTTACTTACCCCGGGCTGATAGTCCAAATAAGGCAGGTCACCATGAAGAGGAATGCCGTCTGTGGTATAAGCCAGGTTGTTAGCGTCAAACTTGGCCCGTATGTCGGAACTATGGCTGCAAGTTAGAACACAGTCGCAGTTAGTTATATTATTACGCTTGTTGCCAAATACTACGTTGATTAGAGACAACAAATTTAGACTGGGCATTTCCTTCTCATACCCAGTGGGTAGGGGGATAAAACATTAAACGATGTTCTGAAGACTTAATGGCGTCCATCCCCCCTTTTAACACATGGATCAGTTACCAGAGCTCTCTTAGAGGTCTATTTAGCAATAAACGCGCATTACTCCGAAAATAGATCTGGAACGGGGCATACAAAGTAGACCTTGTCTCTTAATCAAATTGAGCAATTTGCATCTTTTGTCCAGTCAAGGTCGACAAGTTCAAAATGTTTCCTTTTCAACAACTTTTGAAAATTATTCACTGATACGTAGCTAAGTGAGCAGCGTCCTGAAGTGAATTTTATGAGTGTTAGCACCGATTGCACATTCCTGACAGATTTGGCCGCTAGTGCAACATTTATTTTGATAATTTCTTAGTCTCAGTTACTTTGAGGCTCTTTTTACAAAGCTATTCTGTTGTCAGCAATTTAGTTATGTTCTAGGTTATTTGGGGTTCCAATTCAGATAAGTATATAACTGCTTCAAATATTATATATATATATATATATATATATATATATATATATAGGAAGTCTGCAAGTCGATTTTCGCGTGGAACAGTGCTCAATACGTTGAAGCAGAGCAGAATAAATATTATGAGAGGAAAAACCGACGCAACTACATTTCCCGACAAGCCTGTTTCGTGAATCGCTTCACTCTTCAGGGGTTTAAACCCCTGAAGAGTGAAGCGATTCACGAAACAGGCTTGTCGTCCTTGCTTGTTTCCTCTCATAATATATATATATATATATATATATATATATACAGTAATTTATTATATTGTTATATTTGGATGATATACCACAAAATCCAAGATTCTAGTTAAGGTCCTTGTTGACATACTTTATAATTTCGTCCACTATCTCTTTTATCCTTTCCCACATACTGCAGCAATTTAATATGGTGGATTCCCAAGTTCTTCAACCTGGAAGGCATGCGAAAACTGGTTCGAGAAATTTGAGTTTGAGTTCGAGGAATCGGGAGTAAAAATCCATGTTTGAGTGAAACAAATTCAAGGGAAACAACTTTTGCTTTGAGTCATCAGGATGTTCTGGTGTGTATAGGAAAATTTTAGAAAAATATCTACAAACATTACTAAAAGAAATTAAAAAAAAGGAATAACAGCTTAATTTGGAACTGTGCACAACTAATTGTAACGTGGTTTTAGCAAATAATTCTCTTTGTTTTTTGTTTGTTTGTTTGTTTGTTTTTCTAATATTTGTTTGGTTAATTTTGTGGCAATAAAAGGAAAAAAGTACTGTTCATCGAGTATTGTAAATACCGATGTTTATTGCATAGTCTCCTAACAAGTTTAAGCACCTTCAATTTACCCTTTTCAACCATTCGCAGGTATATTCTTCTCTCTTTCCACTCCTGGCTTTCTTTTTTTAGATCTGAGTCTGCTTTTTTAGCGGACAATTTTGCAATAAAGACAAGAATACTTCCATTATTCCATACTGTGTATGCCATTTATAAATTATATGTTCTAACTGGCTAAATCTGGTGACACGAAGATAAACAGATTGGGCCATGTACTTACAATGCTAGTACTTTTCACTTCGATCAATTACTCACTTTAGTATCGTAGTCCAATTCCCCCCCTATGAACCGGTCTGAACATTTCTCATTTTTAGGCTTTCTATCGTAACATGAAACAACACTATAAATGTCTTTTCTTTTCTTGAAAAGAATAAGGGGGAGACAGCTCCTTCGATTAATTTTCTTTGCATTGTGGCTACTTTGGTGTTATGAAACCAATTTAGACGAAGATCGTATGACCCGGATTTCTTTAGTCTTCAGCGGTTTCATTTGGTAAAACCTCGAAAAGTGTGTGTGGGTGGGGGTGTGTGTGTGTGTTAGCCTTCCCAAGGGGATATACTTAATTTGGAGCGTAATATACTTGATATACAGCGTAATACATCCAGGACTGATCCCTCTTATTACTTGTTTCCCATTGGCATGCACCGTATTTGTACTGAGCTTCGAGTGTTTACGAAGACTTCAACACCTTTCAGATCATTACAGACAATCTGCAGCAAATATTTGCCAGTTTCCATAACTTTCTTGTCATTTTAATAGGATATTGGCATCAACCCACGCGTGGACTCATTTTAACGATATTAGCGAATTTCCTCACCTTCGTATGATTTTTTATGGGATATTGCTGTTGATCTTCACTGGGACCCATTTTAGCGATATTGGCGAGTTTCTACATCTGTCCTATGGTTTTGATGAGATATTGACCTTGAGTCACTCTTGGACCCATTTTGGCGATATGAACTAGTTTCCACAACTTGCTTATGAGTCTCATGGAATATCGACATTGACTTGCACTTCCCATTTTGGTGATATTGGCGAATTTTCCCATCTTTTCTTTGATTTTCATAACCTCGCTATCACTCATCCCGAACCCTTCCAGCCGTCTTCCCCTGTAGTTGACCTGGCGTTACAAAAGACCAAACAATGCTTCATGGAAACAATAACTTTTTTTAGGGTAAGCATGCATGTTTTTTACAATACCTCTCTACTCTTCAAAAGTAGTCAACGGGGAAATGTTTCAAAAAACCCGACATGAAACTGTGTCCATAGCAGTGAAATACAGGTATCGCAAGAGTAACATTTTCAAGCAATGTTTCCTGGTGCGTATTTTACAGAGCAGATAAATAAAAAACAATAAGGCGTCGTTTAACAGGCAAAAATTCCAGAGTACCAAGACCACAACTTAATTCAAATAAAACTGCCAAAAAATCTTTCTCTCAAATGTGTATCCAGCACACATGCAATATCATAGAAGAAGCGAATGTTGATAGCTTTATCTTGCACATGATTTTTAACCCATCTTAACAAATACACAGCATTTCTAATCCTGGTTAATACAATTATATTCATTATTAGCCACAATGTCCATGCAGTAATTTATTTGTGGCCTAGTTTCATTGAGTACCCTAATTATTGTTAGTGAACACCTACTAAAGACGCCGGCCATTGTTTCGCTCGCAAATTTTCAGCGTATGCAAATGTTGCGATTTCCAAGACTCGCATTTGATTGGCTATCTGTGAGTTCCTTTGATTATTAACCAATCAGAATGTCTGGTTTATTACTTCTTTGCACTGAATTAACCCTCGTTTATCTAAACCAATCAGAGCTGAGTAATTTTTTCATGTATATTATTAATTTCCTAATTTGCTGACAAGGAGTGTTGGTTTAACAATCAAGAGCTTCTTAAGTTGATGATCATTTCCGTCATTCTCATAACCTTTATTGGGATGATATTGTGAAGAGAGTGTAGATGCTAGTCACTCCAAGAGGTCAAAGTGTTAAATGATACATGCACGTAGAAGGAATAACTTGGCCACTATGAAGTTGTGATAAGTTGCATTGCTGGGATAAATGTGACTAAAGAAATACCGCTTTTAGAACTGGCAAATTTTTGTGGTGAGAAAGTAACTCAAGAGCCTGATTTGCCTGTCTTCTTTCTAATCTGTTACATTAGATTAGTTTTGGATAACCTCACAAGTGATGAAAATGTTGAAGAGCTTGCTGACCAAGAAAGAAAATTGCCTGGATCATACTTACAAGAAAGTTTGTAATTTTTGAACAGTGTCAGCGAGGGGTCCCTAAAAACGGTAGAAGACAGTCAAAATAAAGAAAACATAAACGACTCTGGTGGGTTTATTGTGCTAGTAAAACAGTTTGCTTTCTTCCCATCTCTCGGAATAAACAAGTCATTCTGGATTCTTAATAAAGCAAAATCCTTTTGCTATGTAATAAATCCCTCATTGACCAAGCTTTTTCCGTCAAGATCATTGGATATTAGCCTCGATCTTTTTTTCTGTTCTTACAAACCTTGACTTCATCTCAGTCCATAAAAATGTAAAAAGAAGTCGGCTGATATCCAGTCATCTTGACCTCATTCTGGGTGAATAACGCATATATATTGCGCAGGATGCAGCTGGGAGCAGAGTCTCTACTTTTTCAGTTTAAGATAACATGAATTATTTCTTTCCTCCTGTGTTTCCTGAAAGATTGTGTTAGTTCGAAGTAAAATGTATTTGAACATTAACTAATGAGTATTTTCTTTGATTTTCGAAGCTCTATGTTTTAAAAAGACATTTTAGTAAATTTTGAACCTTATGGACAATGTGCATTTATTTTGCACCAAATTCAGTTACTACCAATTGATGAGCCAACTCATGAACTAGAAACGTGACAAGTGTCGTAGAAATTGCAAAGATAGGCAATGTTAAGAGCAGCGTTAGGTTAGAATAACTTTTGAAATTGCAAACAAGATGCCGTAACTTTATCAACTAACTACATCTTGCTAGATTTAATTTTGCTTGCTTATTTGTTTTTTTTACAATCCAAATGGTATGTTAAAGTGTCTAGCAAGAACTCGCAGCTTTGAGTTAACTGTGTCCCAGTCCATACAAAGAAAATCAAGAAGGCGGCTTGAAGACTCAGTGAGTCGGAAGGCGGATCTACCATGAAACACGCGGTTGTTGTTTAACGATATCAAATCACCAGGCACCATTTTATATTCTATTTGATTGGCTGGACCTCTGAGAATTCTTCCATACTTGAGGTATGCTTCGTACAATTCCACGGTTTTCTCCGGGGGTAGATATAAGAAGGGGTCGCGCACAGCATCACAAAAGCTGAGTTGGCTCAATTTACCATTATTGTCCAACCTGCAACAAAGGCGTCTTAGTTGTGTAGGGATCAAGTAAAGTGGCTAACTAACTTCCAATTGTTCAATTCTTCACTAGTTTATTCACCCAGAAAGTTGAAACAGGAAGCAAATTAAAAAATGAAGAAAAGCAAATAAAAAAAAAGAAAAAAAAGCGGTGACATTAAAGAGGACAAATTAGACTGTGTGAATGTCCGCCTTGATCTCTTTTTTGAGTTTATCTCCTTCAGCTTTGGGTGCAGTTATTTTTTTACATTGTTTGCCATGTATCCGTGCACTGACAACATCTTTTTTTTTTTTAGTTTATTTCCATCAGCTTTGAGTGAAGTTATTTTTTTGTGTTGTTTGCTATGACAACACGATAACGGTTGCTACGTTACTTTAAACTTTAGTGCTCCTGATTTTAATCAAAACAAAGACAATTGAGGATGGGTTCTTCGTTTGAAACCAAGTCGTTGGCCCCTAACTTTTAATTTTGAATACATAATCAATGATTCAGAGGGGTTCAGAGCCTCCTTACTTTCTACATATATTAAGGTGGCTCTGAGCCATTTCAATAGCAAACTTACTCTATTGTGGCATGAGAAGATTTTGTGTGAAATTCACCAAACACGTCCTTGCCACGGTTACTGAATTGAATTGGAGTGGTAGACAACAGCTTGAAAGACTCTGGGTCACTTTCTTTCAACTGCTTTGCAGCGTGAAATCCGTCAGCAAACTGATTGGCGCCACCTTTGCCCGACACTTGCTCGATACAGTGAAGAATTGTTACCTTAAAAAAAAAAAAAGCAAAATGAAGTTAAAAACAGGATTTCGATAATACTTTTCCCGCTCACATTTAACCGAAACTAATAAAATTTAGAAGCAGATTAAGGCAAGATATTATTGCCTGGGATAAACAAATGTTATAAATTTACATCTTATTCCCTTTTTCACTTGATTTACTTACCCCGGGCTGATAATCCAAATGAGGAAAGTCGCTGTGAAGAGGAAGGTCGTCTGTGGTAAAAGCCACGCTGTTAGAGTCAAGCCTGGCCCGTACGTTGATGCTGTGGCTGCAAGGTTGGATACACTTGTCTTGAGGATTATACTCAAATAACGTTACCTTAAAGCAACCCTTGAAATACCAGATACTGGCATTTGATCAGAATTTAAGAACCTCAACTTAATCAGCCATCACAGTCGCAGCTAGTTAATATTACATTACACCATGTTCTGGAGACTCGATGGCATCCATCTCCCCATTTACACACAGATCACTCACCTGATTTCTCTTGATATGCTGGAATGCACAAGTCCTAAAGGTCTAGTTTGCAATAAACAGTATTACTTTGAAGATAAATCTGGATCTGTTCACTCAAAAGCAGAGTCTTTCTCTTTATCAAATTGAACAATTTGCATCTTTTGTCCAGTCAAGGTCCGTAATTTCAAAATATTTCACTTTCAACAACTGTTAGAAATCATTTGCTGTTACATGGGTAAGTCAACAGCATACTGAGGTGAATTTTGGGAGTATTACTACTGCAAGTTCCTAGACACGTTTGGCTAAATTAATTTTAATAATTTCAAATTTTAAATGCTTTAAGGTTAAGTTTGGAAAGTTACTATGCTTCAGAAATTTCTTTACTAGGGTTCAATATCAGATCAGTGCAAAACTGCTCCAAATCAAAAGAAAAAAGGGAAAAAAAGAAAAGTAGAAACAACGACAACAACAAATACACCTACCCGTAATGGGTAGTTTTTAAAAATCCAACTCTACTGCTCAATTTCAAGCATTCACCACTCTGCAGAGGCGTGTTTGTTAGAAGTGCAATGCCCAAGCTATGAAGTGAATACAGCCATTCATACAGTTTGTAGTCATCTTCTATCACCTCTTGAAAGTCATAACGAGGTATCTTGCCTTGAAGCTACAGTAAAATTAATACCAGTAGTGTTAACCTGCATCACTGTATTTTTTGTCATCTGTTCCACTGTGAAAAGCAGTAAACTATTGGGAAACTGTCCACTACTCGAGTCAATGTCTGGGCACAAATCTCTGAGCCAACTGGGTTTATATATTGGAATGTCTTCTTTGGAACACCTTTTCATAGTCTTGAGACACTTTCATTCAGCAGACAGAAAATTTAATCCAGGAAAAATAATCGTGTGACCTTTGTATTTGTTACCTCTATTGCAGGAACACCTTTATTCACAACAAACGGTCACGTTTTCAAGGTCCTAAGAAAACGTGCCCCCAAGACCTGCCCAAAAGCTCCATCCGGGAGCACCTTAACCAGCGGTCAACCTGTATTAAGCGGTTACGCAGCCGTTTTCCGCTTAATACAGGTTCGACGGTATTTCTATTGTTAATTCTTTATGAACATCAAGCCAAGCACACTTGCCCTAGTCCCGTTTGTGCTCCAAGGGTGCCCCTGAGTGGAGGTTCCACTGCATAATGCAGCTGTCTCAAAATGGATTGTTGCGCCAATGCCGAAAGGTGCTAAGAACAAGAGACTATAAACTATATTCTCTTGCCTAGAGTTCTACCATATCACGAGTCAACTTTGGGCCCGAGTCAGGCGATGGACAAAACATTGACCCCAGTCCAGAGACTACCCCAATGGACTAGCTTAAAATGAACAAATCTTTTTGGTCTATTGTTTTCGCTAACCACAACAAACACCACGAAACTTGGGCGATTATTTTTAACAATCAAAGTCCTTCCCTCGGAAAATATCTCGAAGTCTTGTTAATTCTCTCAACAGTACTTTTTTCTGCTTCAGAAAATAGATTGATGCAGATATTTGCTATGTTCATTGGAGATTCTACACAGATAGCCATTCCTAGATTCAGCGATCCATGTAGTTTACAGCAACGCGGCATGTTGCATAACCCGACACGCTCGGCGCGCTCGGTCCGTACGTCATGACCACGAGCTAAGTAATTTTTCTTCCGGCCCTCCTATTCAGTCAGTAAGTGTATTTTGAAACCCCGGTTAAAGTGATACTCATATCACATGAGAAAAAAAGAAAAGTTTTCATTCCGGTGAAAAAAACGTTTTACCGAGGCATAATATTATTTGTTCTCCACAATTTTGGGCGAGGAAGGAATGAAATAACTTGTAGTACTGATCCTTTAGCTATGGGATTCCTGTTGTCGCAAGATGGCGGTCGAGTGCGAGAAAGTGCTGGATTCTTTTTATAATCGGAGTCAGTTCCGAAGATTTGTTGATGAAATAGATATTCCGCCTCAGGTGTGTGTGTTTAAAAGAAGTCAGAATCTTTGGGGAAAATTGGTAGATACCTTGAAATGTTCACTTCCTCGAACCCAGCTGTGAACCAGTGTAGGAATAACCCTTGCGAACGGCCGTGAACAACGTTTTAATCCTAAAACTTTGTATACCTGTATCCCTGGTACATCATTTTGACACCGAAATAAAAACAATAACAATAAAATGACTAAAACCAAAAAAAAAAATTTAAGTTGACTCGAACTTGACTTAGGCCTTTACTTGACTCTTGATACAAATCACTCCCCTAAACTTTATCATTCTTTGCAGGTCTACTGTAGGAGAAATTCTTAACATTCTCAAAAAGTTAACGCGGCTCTGAACTGATTTAACTCAAAATTTGAAAACAGACTTATCTTGAGACTTTCAATGCAATTTATTGATAAAATGGGGGAGGGGGGGGTCAGTGTATCCGTTGCTGCATTCCGTTCCGCATGAAGCACAACATAGAGTTGTTTTCAAGGGTCTGTAGTGCTGTTATTAATTAAATTAATCACAACTTATTCAGTTCTATATACCACTTCCTAGGGAACAAATAAAAAAGTAAAGGTTAAGATCCATCCAAGAGTTGGAGATTAAACAAAACACAACTTTTTGAGCCACCTTGCAGGAGTTTTTATGAAGACGGCTGAATAAACCAGTTGGTACATTATTTTCCGATAAGCACAAATCGCATAATTACCTGTTCAGCGTTCCAAAAAATTACACCTTCTTTGTTTAGTGTCGAGTCCTCTTTAGCTTCATCTTCCTGCGGCTTCTCAGCTAAGCGCCGGGAGTGAAGCCACTCAGAATCAAACACACTGACATGTTCATCTGGCCAAGTGACAGCAATTTGTTTACCGCTTTGCAAAACTTCGACTCGTTTTGGTTGAATGTCCATCCTCAACTGGCCCACTGTATCAAAGCTTCGTTGCGAAGAAGACTCGTGGAAGCATTCAGGGCATCGACAGATGTCGCGAAGGAAGACAAACGGATAACGGTTTACTCTGTTGTCGTTCCATGTTACATGTAAAGTCCCATCACTTTTTGTTTCTCGAACGCTTAGCGCGGTAGGCACAAGGTTTTTTGGGTGAGCCTTCGTTGCGAAATTCACCCTAAAGCGCTTTGAAGAGGGGTGAAATAATCGCTGACATGTAGAGGCAAATCTACAGACATTCCTCAATCGAGAAAACATGCCCGCAGTTGTTGGTGGAAGACAATCGAGTCGGTACTTCCGCCCTTTCTCCCTCTTTTAATCCTCTCGCGTGCTCGCGCGAGAGTACCCGCTCGAGCTTATGGTCCTTGTCAGCGGTATATTTACCAAATTGTATGTCATTACTTGGCAAGTATGTTGTTTATATGACAATGAATGTACTCTACGTATTTGATTTCAAAATGGCAGGATGTGATAAAGGTACTTGATGATTTTGTTGTGTGTAATATGTATGCCGCCGTTCCTCCGCTAGAGCAATCGATTCCTGAAAGCAGTACGAGCAAAGAAAAAGAAGGTTCTCCGCGTGGGATATCAGAAGAAACGTGGCAGGTATAAAGTATATATCTATTAATAGCTATAGATTTGTTTACAATTGCATTGCTTGGTCGGTGTCGTTGGTCTATGGTATCATTGAATTCTTTGAATTTTTCTCGTCAATTTTTGGCATGTATATTGTTACGGATAATAAAGCAGGTCCACATCAGCTTGCTCTTTGGATTCTGTGCTGCGATGCTCTACCACATAGCTACAGAGACTCCATGGTAAGCAAGGCTCATTATGAAGTTCATTTATGTGACACGCATCCTGTATACTGCCAGGATCAGCAATATTGATAGTGTAATGTTTCTTTACCAAGCTTAAAACTTACCATCTTTCTTATTCCACATGTATTTACAAAACTCGACACTACAACATTGCTGGTCCAAGCAGTATGCAGTATGTTTGTCATATATATGAACTTCGTAATGGTCCTTACCATGGAGTCTCTGTGCCTCATTGGTAGAGCATCGGAGAGTGGAATCCAAAGGTCTGAAGTTCAGTTCCTCTTGGGGACTCAGAATTTTTTCTTTGTCCCGTGCTTGTAACAAGATGATAGACATCTTTCTCTGTCTAGAACTTATTTGACATTGTTTTCTTAGGAATAGTTATTTGATATTAATGGGATCTTACAACACTCTGTATGTAAGCTGATGGCCTTCTAATTTCTAATCCACATTTCAAGCAAAAAGGCATTTTTAAACCCATCACTTTCTGATTATTTTTCTATTTTTGATGATACTCTGTTGAACATTATATTTTTTCTTAAAACTTCAGAAATTTCAGCAGTTGAGGGAGCGTAGACTGCAATGTTGTAAAGTTTCAACAGATAAGAGGGTTAAAGAACTTAAGAAGAAAGCAACAAAGTCAGGTGAATTTTAACAAAAGAAAAATTAAAATTTTTTCAGTAGAAACAGAGATACTTGCATTGGGAGCTTCAACAGATAGAATATTTATAATCACTTGAAAAGAAATAATTATTTGTTTGAAATGACACATTTATCAACAGATTGTATTGCCCTTAACTCTTTATCCTCTTGATTCCAACATCAATGAAGGTATTTGGGGAATTATCCCATACTAAAGAAGCTCTTGATTATTAAAAAAGTTATTTTTGTCAGCACATCAAGAAATGTAAAGAAAATAGGATAATATGTGTACAAATATTAGGGTATAGAGGATTAAAAGTGTATTCTTATTCAAGAAAGAGATCATCAATTTGAACCTGCAATCAGAATACTTCACATCTTCCTTGTTTTTCTAATTTTCCCCTAGAACAGCATCAACTCCTATTTTACAAATTTTTCCATTAGTATAAAATGTCAATTGCTGATGCGATATTTATTCTTATCAATAGTGATTTTGTAAAACTTTTGACAATAAATTTGAAGGGTAAAAAACAATGTTTCAACCAAACTTTGGTCATTTTCAAGTGAATAATAAGAATTTCACATAAATATATAATTTATTATATGCGTGTAAGAAGTGTAAAATTTTTTGGAGGTTTAAATGGACAATAAGAACATACAAGGAGATGAAATAATAAGAAGCTAATTACAAACCAATTTAAAAATAAAAATAAAAATTAAAACCTAATTAAAAACCTTTGCACAAATTGAGTCTGATGGCACATTGAGAGCAGGTCTCAGTTCTTGAATAAAAAACACTTTATAAAGTAGGCAGTGAAATTTGTTTTTATACTTCTTTAAACAGTAAAATTCTTCGTAAGATCCCTTGGGGTCAAAGAATGCTTGTCACAAAAATCAATCGGTGAAGTGGGGTTTCTGTGTTTCTGTGTTCTTGAACACATTGGTGCAGATGGCAGTGCATAAAACCAACATAAACTGCATTGCACAGGTCACATTTAAATTTGTAAACAAGGCACTGTTGGTTCACAACCTGTGGCTTCGCTTCTTGTAACTTGAGATCTTGTACGATCTTCTGGCTTACAAATACAGGCTGTATTGGTTGTGTGGATCTTCTAACTTAAATCTCTAAGCTGGATGCGTACAATATCAGTTGAGACCTGATCTTTAAATGGTGGGACAACGCAAATGGGGTCTGTTCAATTGCTGATAGTTGGTGAGGAAACAGGTTGATTAGATGCTTTGGTGGCAATAAAACATGAGAAAAAAAGAGTTGACAAGTTTGTCAGGATATTTTATTCCAGAAAACAATAATTTCAGTGAATCACATTCTTCAGAGAAGTAACACCAATTCAATGAAAGTTGAAATACAAGTCATGATCAAGCGTAGTTTTTAGTAACCTGTTTTTGTATTGTTCTACTACATGGCTCTTGTAGTGCAGCAGGAGGCCAGTGTTTGTGTTTAATGTACACCTTAGTCTCAGCACATGAGTGTTTGTTGAGCAGCTGGGTACTCAAAAAAGGAAGTATGCTTTTACTCTCTGTCTCCATGGTAAACTTAATAGAAGAATGGCACAGGTATAAAATCTCAAGGAAATTGACAGCTGATGTTATGTCTGGCATGATAGTCATCCACATATCTCCTGTAGTATGTGGGCATCTTGCCTTCACGCTTCAAAGTATCCTCATTATATTTATTCAAATAATATTCTGTATGAGAAAGGTTATGTTCATGTGTAAAAGACACAATTTACATAACAGTCGAAGTAAATTTCTAGAATGATTTTATTGCACTTTACATCCATTTTTAATCCAATTCCGTAAGAAGAAATAAACAACAAATAAATGTTTTTTTAAGATTAACTCTTTAACTCCCATGAGTGACCAAGACAGAATTTCTCTTTACGATATCAATACACTATCAAGCAGACAATTGATGAGAATAAAGAAAAATATCAGTCAAAGTATCATTGGTTGATCCAATACCAAGTTCTCAAAACTAACATCACAAGAACTGTATGGCAGACAATAAGGAGAATTAATAATGAAATCTTGAAAGTTAAAGGGTTAAGACAGTATTATCTTGCTATTAACCCTTTACACCCTAACATCAGTATGCATATTCTCCAGACCATTCTCTATAGATTTCCCAAGGTGCTGACATGGAGAATTGGGTTGACAATTAAGATCTGCTTTAGTTAATTATCATTTCCATCATTCTCATAACTATTATTGGAAGATATTGTGTGGAGAAAGTAGATGCTAGTCACTCTAAAGGGTCAAATGGTTAAGTGGTACATAGAGGTGAGAGGAATAACTTGGCCATTATGTCATTGTTGCACAGGAAATACTACTTGTAAACCAATTTTTGTGGGGATAAAAATAATTAAAGAGCCTGATTTGCCTGTCTCATTCTTAATTTGTTCTATTCAAATAAGTTTTGGATAACTTCACAAGTGATGAAGAAGTTGCAGAGCTTCGCAACCAAGGGGTGATCTTTAAACAGGCCAACAACAAAAGCAGACCAACTGAATTCTCACACAAGCAAGAGAAGTAAGTTACAGAAATATTATTATTTAGATATTTCTGTTGTTGTTGTTATTGTCAATAAAAACTTACTAAAATACTATTTTCTGTGGTTTTGTCCTAACATGAATAGTAAAATGATATCAACAAATTGTAGAAGAACAGGTTTTTAGAAAGGGTTAAACCCCTTTGAAATCTAGAGGTTGGAAAATACTGTTTGTTTTATTAGATATTTCTTAAAAAAAATCCACTTGGATGATGCCTCCCCTGGCATATCCTTTAAAGTGTGGTACTGTTCCACGCTTCTACACCAGCCACCTTCCCTTGCATGGGAAAGAAGCATCTGCTGGGAAATATTTCAAATACATTAAGAAAAAATTTGCTACGGCTTTTGTTAAGGGTTAAAACTTTTTAAAATGTTTTCACTAAAAACAGGAAGGAGGATTCAAACTCTTGTTCAAAATAGTTTAGTGTACAGGTAAATCTATAAAACAGTGATACACCAATCATACACTTAATCTGGTGTTACCAGTATTGCATTCAATTCATTCATTAAGCATTTAAATGTGATTCAGCTTCATAGTAATCTGACATAAAAATTATTTGAATTTTGGCTGGAAAAAAGGACTAAACACAGAATCCTACAAATATTTATAATTTTCAGGGGTGTAATCAGGGATGTAATGTGCATTCTCATGTAGTATGCACCAACAAAAAAGTTGTTGAAATCCACGCACCTACAGAGCTTTTTCATAATGTAATGTAATGTAAGAGACATAGTCTTTTCAAAGGTCAGCCTCTGTAAAGATTAGGATTTCTTATGAATTTGTCGAAAATGTTCCTTTTGTTAAATTCACAGAATCAAAAAGCAAAAGGGTGATGAGAAAAGATGGAATGAACTTCAACAATATTTAAATTCAGCTGTACATTCAGAAGAGCATGAAATGGATCACACAAAACACACACCAAAGGTAATTTTAATTGGTGTTACTCAAATTTTTATGTACACCTATTTTGGAAATTTTATAGCATTACCAGCCCTAGCAGTTTATTAGGAACATAGGCATGCATAGCATGTAAGAATTATCTTTTTAGCTAGGTCACTCTGTGTTCCTAATGTTTTCATAACTATCAAAAGAATGAAAATATCCCATTACTTCACTTCAAGAGAAAGAGAAAAAACATAATATATCAAAACTCATGCAGGTATTTTGTGGTCTCTATTTTGTCTCTATTGTCCAATTACTTCTGAGCAAAAATAAAATGCCTACTGTAGTCTCCTTTGCAGCCGTTGTTTGGTCTCATTATGCAATGCCCTCTATTCCCTGTTGGATGATGAGACCAAATAACGGTTGCAAAAGAGACTATGCTTACAGCCACTCCTCAAACAGAAAGAAAATCAAAATTATTTGTCTGCAGTTAGTCACCTCAAAAATAAAATTCCACATAATTCTACTGGAAAAAGCAGACTGAAACTGTTGAATCTCCAGAAGACCTTAACCAAAGATATATTGTGATCTTGTATGAATGAAGATACACTGAGCAAGAGAAAAGGATAATATTTCAAAGAGGGCTCCTTGATCAGTTGTTGCCTATCTGGACTTTGCCCTCCTTGTGTGAAATATGTGATAAAATGCAAGTTGTTTACGAGAAATTAACTTGCAATTGGGTTAATTCCAAGGTAGCTTAAAGGCAATTTTATTCACATTAGTGAAAATGTGTGAGAATGCATGAAAAATTCACTATTAGTTGTCTAAAGTTTCATGTGAATTTTTTTCAGTGGTGTTGGATAATATGGTTAGAATACGAGATAAATGCAGGTTGCTATCAAGGAAATGACATGTGATGGAGCGAAGTCTAATGTGGCAAAATAGAATTTGATTGGTAGAATACAATTCAAGCACTTGAAAAATTGCCTAATGTTCATGTAGTGCAATGATTGGGTAGTTTCTGATTGGACTTTGGATGTTGTTTTCACAGTGTGTGATGAAATGTAAGTTGTTCGGCATGTGCATTGTGAGAAAAGGAGTGGAAAAAACATGTTTTAACTTTAAAATTATGCAATGAAAATAAACACAAACCTTACTTATTCAGATAAATCTCGACCTCATTCGATGAGGCTCTTGCAAAGGCCACAATCATAACACTCATCAAATGAACCCAAAATTTCTGGTTAATGTCATTTTTTGTGCACAGCCCCCTGATTCCATGGCATCATTAACAAGAAAGCAATACCCAAATGCTGTGATTGGTGCATGATATCCAAATGCTGTAATATGATTGGTACAAGATATATACCCTAATGTGGCAATCTGATTGGTACAAGATACATACCCCAGTGTAGCAATTTGATCCATGCAAGATATATAACCTAATGCAGTGATGTGATTGGTGTGGGTAACATACCACTCTACATGCTAACATAGTTATTTTTTTAATTAAAAAAATAACTCAATAAATTGTATCTAAATCCAATAAGTGAAGGAGAATGCTTGAAATAAACACAAGGCCATAGATTTTGAGTGCTTGCTAAAGATGGGACCTCAACATACAATTATTTGCTTTGATTTTCTTTCAACCACTCTTATTAAATACTACATTTAACTCTTATTTTTGGCTTTTCAGGATGAAATTGAAAGAAATTTGGAGGTTGCACTTAAAGAGAAGAAGTTTGAACTTTCAGAAAAACTGAACAAGCAACTTATGGAACATGACTTTACATTAAAAGTTGCTCAAGCTGTTGAATGTAGAGACTATTCAAAGAGAAAAGCTACTGAGGATGAAAAAGCTAAAAAGAGAAAACGATCAAAACCTCATTGGGCATTTGAACAAAAGGCAAGATGGGAAAGCAAAGGAAACATGTAGAAATGAAGTACAGTCTAGGTGGAAGCAGAAATGGAGCCAGATAAGGCTCCATTTTTTGTGACTGTTTCATGTCACAGAAGTTTGAGGTAACCAGCCTTAGTGAATGAGGATGAAGCTGCAATTGATTGAGAATAACATGGAATCAATGCACATGTACCTGTCAGCATATCTGATTTGAATCCCCCCATCAAAGGCTAAGCTCAGGCAAACTTAAATATTGCAAAGGGGGCCTTGATCCTATTTCATGCACAAATTTTAGAAAAATTGTACATCAGGTATATTTTAAACAGCATTTCATGCATCAAAAGTTAAAAGGAAAAACCTCAAAAATCTCATCTCGTGTACAAGATTTGAGGGAAATATTGAGGTTTTTGCAACATGAAAGAAAAACTTCATGGGTCTATTGTTTTTCCGGAGGCATTCATGCCTCTCACTGGTTCATAAATTCACAATTCAAATTAATCTTCCAGTAAAATTCACTTGTCACATATAAATTTTGGTGTTGATCTTGTATGACATGTAAACCCATTTGCCACCCAGTTGAAGTCTATCAGTGAAACAAGGCTAAAGCACAGCCAGCTATGACATAGAATTAGAAACAATTGCAGAGATCTGTCAAACTTAAATAAAAGAAAATTTGTTCTGTGCAATAGTGAACCATCTTCATTAACTTCTTATGCTGCTCATTGTCCAGCGTGGTTAAGATATGGGAAAAGATTGTGGCTGAGCCAATGAGCTGCTTGGTACAAAAGCTCAAGGGGAAGGGGTAGAGTAGAAAATTCCTCACATCTTATCGGCTTAGATGTCTTTTTAGAAATGTCCAAAATCTAAGCAGCAGGAACATTAAGTCTTGAGATATTGCCTGTGGAACTAAGCATAATATTATGTTACTAGCTTCCAACATGCAGGGTTACACATTGCAGGCCTGTCAGAATTCTGGGGCATACTTAGGACAGAGAATAGTTGCTAGATTGTTTTTGAGGCTGATGAAGTTCTGCTTTGCTGAGTAATGAACTTAACAATGGTAGTTATAAAATAAACAAGGCTTTTCATTCCATCACATAAAGATGACTGTGTTTGTCGCATGCCTATAACAGATTGAGCAGTTTCATGAATAGCAGTACATATGGTTTTTTCTTTACATTGAAGCTTAAGAATGTGCATATATGACAAATTGTTAAGTTAAACAACTTTGTACACTTTTCAAGAAGTCGTGATCATGTCATAGCTGACTGACTTTCAATAGTATTTCATTGTACCTTTATTAAAATAACATTGAAATACCCTGTGGATTTTAGCCTCTGGGGAACACATCCTTTATTCTTAATCTTACTGACTTTGTTAGGGATTAATTTGACAGTCTGAAAACAAACAAACAAAACAAAGCTCATGGATATCTTTATTAGATAAATTTGCATTTCTTTCATTCCTTATTCTTGGGTAGGAATCCAATATCTTACCAAGATTTTCACAAACAGAAAGCTTGATATTGATTTAAGATACTCTTAAAATTAAAGAATTTGATCAGCATCATTAGTTTTATTTTCTTTCCTACTGGTATTTCATGGAATGACGTCAATGCAAATGTTCATAAGCGTAACCCACATTGAGGAAAGAAGCAACGGGAAATATTAGTAACTGTGAATAAGAAGTGAGAACCAGAAATGTGGTCATGTGCAGATGTATCCCTACTCCTTGGTAAAACCTTTTCTGGAGAACCATCTTGGTTACACCTCTCTCTCTCTCTCCCTCTTTAAGTATTGCCCATCACAACAATGATACTTATGATCTTCAGTAGATGAGCAATATTTACTCTGATCTATTGTTCTCATACAAGTTGTTGTACTTTGTGGTGTATCTATTTGAACTTTTAGAGTTAACTTTCACTCTGGCTCTGTAACATTATATCCCTGGTGTATTTCACCATTAGTAAATAATATGCTACTAAATTAAGAGTATGTGAAGACTTCTGTATGTTACATGTAGGTCACTGTAGGATGTCACAGTGGATTTGCTTCGCTTCATCTCCATGTTTCCTTTAGTTTCAAGCATGACAGCCCTTGTTTATTAATGCAAAAACTTTTTTGCTCGACTGTGGACAACTTCTACTCATGAATAAAAATAAATCTTCACGAAAACTTTCTGTCTATTTGGAATCCTTATGCTATTTTTACCTCAACAGGCTGACTTAATTGCTAAACTAAGCTGAATAACATCAAACCAAGCGCATTGATATTGTTTATCTGTTTGGAAATAACAAAGCACGTACTGGATATTTGTATTCCTGAGGTCATGTCAATTTGTCAATGTTTGATACTTAAGTTTCAGCTTCATTATATTTCATCAGGAAGTGGCGTTTTGATAACTAATAATGTACATGAGAAAATTAGGTGCATCTGATTGGCTGAAAACAAGTGCATTTTTCATGTAACAAGAGCACAAAGTTGTAAGTTGAGTGAAACTACAAATAGCACACATGTGCTGCTAAAATTTCGTCTGTCTTGCCTGTGATGCGTTTTTCATGTAACCTGTCAAGTAATAAATTGCACTATTCTTATGGGCTCCTCCAATTCTGCTGTCTCTACTTGTGAACACCACAATGCACTCAATATCATGTTGTTAACTGAACTTAATTCATGTGGCCATAAATGATGACGTAGGTGGTACTATTCTTGTTCATCCCTAATCTTCTTGAAATTTAACAAGCAATAATGGGAAACCTCAAGGGTGGATGTAGACTTCTGGTTCAGAGTTGCAGAGTTCTGCCGCAAGAGCCATTAGATATCAATCAGCAGACTTCGGCTTTTCTGTCAGTCTATTGCACCTTTTGCTTTATGGTAAATTTCAAAATGGAACACAGAGAATAAGGTTTATGTATCATGTGTGATCAAAATGGGAGGCTGCTATCTTATGATTACCCTTTGGCAGAAAAATTAAAAGAAATTGTGTCAATCTATTGACTGCCCAACAACCTCAAAATTCACCAGTACGCTTGAGCACATATCATGCCCTTGAGCTACCTCATACTGGCCCAACTACAGATCACGCTTGCACTAACACAAACATTCAGAGTCAAATGTTCGAAACGATTAATTTACTTTATCTCTCCGTTTACATAACCAATTATGAAATAAATAAGATGCCAACTCGACTTTGAATACAAAATGATCTATACACGAGTACAAAATTCTTTAATAGTTAGCAACGTACGATGTTGTTACGAAGACAACTCAACTTACGAGGCTTGACTTTCGCCTTGAAAAATTAAAAATGACTATACTGACCAAATGATGCCGGTAAAAAAATTCAAACTCTCAATAATATTAAGTTTGAAGAAGTTCGAACTACTTCTGCTAAAATAAGCATCCTGAAACTTATTGACGCTATAAGACGAGGGTTAGAGTTCGATTCCAAGTCCTTTCTAAGAAGTTCTCGCTAAAATCTGATTTCAACTTGACACTTTTCAATCTTTCATTTCAAAATCCAAGGCCCACATATCTGTATTGGATATGCCCATAAACGTTCAAACTACTGTTATTATTATAAACCCACTCTCGAGATTTCCACTGGTTCGGTGAATAGCACATAACACGATAATTGTCTCCACTATTATTGTCCCAAAATTCTACTCCTAGTACCTTGTAGCACACGGCAAACTCCAGTTTGCAGTCTTTGATAAGAGTTGTCGGTATAGCTATTTCAAATGAGAAAGTATCTGTGATTCCATTGTAAGAGCCATGTACATAATTACCCACTACATCACGAAAACTTGACCAGCCATCGATCGTGTACCGCACTGTAATTCTTTTTTCGTACGCCAGATTCCGAACTTTCACTGTTCCAAAGACCCCAAAGTTCCGCAGAACAATATTTTCTAGGGAAACGTTAAGGCTGTTAAGTCTTTCATTGAAGTCTCTTTTTTCTACTGGCTGTAAAAAATTTAATAGTTTAGCTTTCTCTTCGCATCTTCGCTGTTGAGGTAATTTCGTTCTCGTAGGAGGTTGCGGTAAATAAAATATGGATACGAGAGCAAGTCCCATTGAATCTGCAAAATGCACTCTTTTATCCTTTTTTACAAGCTCCGAGTCACTTTTTCTGCAAGAACCTAATTTAACCACACATGATTTCAAAGACTGAGTTGGAGGCATTTTTCCTCGTGTACCACCGTGTAGTATTAAAAAAATTATCCACTATTAGAGGAGGCCAAGAGTTTCCCACACAATTATTACAGGGGAATTTGTAATAACGTACACAGTTTTCTCTGGCTCAATTCGAACGACAGCTGTGAAACTCTGCAACCGGCAAGAATGGGCTCTGCGCAGAATATGTCCTAATTTAAACGAGCCCTAAATATCTTACGTTTCATTGCAGTACAGTGTCTGAGTTTGTTTACTAGTCAGTATCCTTTCACGTGAACATTGTCGAACAAATCAAAAGCGACCAATCGCAGTGAACTTCCTCTCCACACGCACACGTGAAATTTGCGTAATGACTTATTGTACAAGGAAATTTCGTGCGTGAAACCAGAAACTATGTCCTTAGTCACTCTTCCGGTAACGCTTTGTTCTCGCTCTCTAATGAATATACCACTAGGAATTCGTCGACGGTGTGTTAAGTAATATTATATGCGGTCAATGTTTGACTCTCAGTCCTCTTAAATTCCGACTTATCGGCGAATCTTGCTATGCGATTTTAAAGTCGTCAAATGTTTTTCTTACTTTCCTGCATTTTTTTCGCGATCTTTCATCGTCGATTTCACTAACATGTCCAGTTACAACTACACCACGTGCTCGTAAATACGGTGGTACCATATAACCACGTGCACTTTCATTTGCTCTAATTTTCCCTCATAGTTCTACTTCCACGCGAAAAGCTTGTTAAAGACCATTTGAATAAAAACATATTTTGTAAACATAAATATTATTGCGACAGGAACTCCATTTACGACCTTTCTCGGGGTGGTTGGAATTAGTTACGTAAGGGCAGGTGTAAGGGAATGAAGTTATATAACCTAGATGGCACCGTGATGCTGTGCGTGATGCCATAAGGAAGTCTAGATAGCTTCTCATCGCTGTTTTAGTAACGAAATAAATGAAAACCAGTTAAATACCAATTAAGTGCGTCTTTAAAAGGGACCACACTAATATTAGACGCTAAATAAATTGTGCGTCTTCAAAAGGGACCACACTATCAGATGCTGAATAAATAGTTCGGTCACGCTAAGCCAATTTGCGTGCGGGGATGTCAAAAGGGGGTCAATACCTCCTCGATTGGTCACGAGAGGGTCTCAAATCCTGTGTTACACGTTCTTTCAGCAACACACATGAAACATTTCATCAGGTCACAACGTATCGCAAAATAGCTGAGTGAACGTGATTTTGATAATGCGACGCATGATTCGTGGTCAAAATTTTTCGCAGAATGCTCACAGGTTCTTAGCAGCTCTTGTTAACTGATGACGATGTAGCGCAAAGTTCTATGCCAGGACTGTCCGACCTGACTTTTCCGATCTCAAACTGTTTGTAAATCGGACGGGCCAAATTGTACATTAGGTAAAAACACTTAGACCAAGCTAAGAAACAAAATCAAGGAAAGAACAATTGAGTACGAAGGTTGCCTATTACTCTAGCTTCGGTTTGAAATGGCACCAGCGAATTAGTTTAATGGTCCAAAGTAAAAAAAAAAAAAAAAAAAAAAATATAATATATATATATAGATAGATATATACACACACACTGCGGAGTTTTTGTAGTTTACGTCAAAATTCAATGATAATCGCGTTCGAAATTTAAAACCTAAGAACTCTATTGGACGCTTTTGAAATTAGTTCCACTCAGCCATACTGATGTTAATTAGTACAAAAACTTTTGTATAAATTTCCCAAAGTTTCCGTTCTTGTAATAACTACATCAAAGTGCTATATTTTCCACAATTCGGTCAAAATTCGCTGGTTGCATAATAGAGGAGATCAGCTATATCTTGCAAAATAATACTTCAAAAATTCGCACGTTGCGACAAGCAGAAAAAAACGACGTTCTTGAGCCGAAGAAAAAAGGGAGACACTCTCCCTAATTATGCAATATGGGTTTCAACACCTCTATCTCCTCTCAGGTGTTGGAGAGCAGCAAAATTTTTGGTCTAAGTTGCACGCAATCTCTCTCTCCATAGGATTGTTGCAAAGGGCACTACGTTGTACAGGAATGCCGGGAGAGTCTGGCGAGCAAAGATTTTTAACTCCAGTGACCAGAAAGAATTGAAGTATTGATGAATCTTCTCTCTTTCAAAGAAAGAAAAAACCGTTTTCACTTGTAATAAAGAAAACAATAGTTATACTGTAATAAGGCGTCGAGGGAAACTTGCTTGAAAATAGGAATTGAGGAAAGTGGATAAAAATTTCGCTCATGAATTTTCTTACGCGAAGCCTCTCGGCTATCCAGTTCCCTCAAGCAACCTACAAAGTTAAAATCGCAGCCGAAAATCTTTTGTCTGCAATCACTGTTTGTAAACATTAAACATCTCAGTCAAAGTAGACAGACAAAACACAGTTCATCCAAGTATCACAGAAGAGATACGGATCCATTGGTGAGAAGTGGTGCTACAGCGCTGTAACGCATGATATATTGTGCTCTGTCCTCTAAGTCAATGGGTTCCTCACTATGAAAACAAGCAAAGGAAGGTAACAATAGTGAGTGTAAGATCAATAGCAGCACGAGGTCACGGAATTTATCCATTTTGCAACTGCAGATGAATTAGTAAGAGAATACATGAAGTTTGAATACAGTCGATCTTCAAGGCTGAAGTGGACCTACAAGTCGCACAAAGTTAGGGTTGCACTAATAATACTCACTCAGGATCTATCATGATTTGTTCCTGATTTTCCAGAACCTTTAAAAACACATATTTGTCCATGTTTGGCCGTGGAACTGAAAAGAAATTCATTTGATAACAATCACTCTTTGCCCCACATGGTGACAACTATATTTGAAGGGTCATACACTAAAGGTGATTTTCAACTGTTGCAAGAAATAATATAGGCATTGAACAGCGTCCTAACATCAGTGCAACAAGAAATTTGCCACCTTTTCCTTTAACACAGCTTAAAACTTTTCCATTATAATCTAACCTTTATTAGTTCATGACCCAATGCTGTCATGTCTCTTATTATTTTTCCTTTTAACTATTTGAAACTTTTGACCAACTACTGTTGAATAATTGTGATATTTTTTTCACATGGAAGGCTACCATAGCAACACTACAGACTCTAACAAAAAAACTCTTGTATGTTAGTAGGCTGTGCTTTTCACTTAAAAGTGAATTTAGTGACCTCAGTAAATTCATTACCAAAGTACAATCAGTATAATAAAATCTTTTTTTGCAAAATTAAGATAGCTTTAAGCCAATGACACACTACAATGTGTCATAATGACTAGAGGTTAGTTTCAATTCATTAGCAGATTGCAGAAGGTAAAAAATATGGTTTAATTGATCCATTAAAAACATATGTGCTAAGACAATAAGAAAAACGTTTTGGGACTCTTTGTCCTCTTTAACAAAACAACAGCTCTTCAACATAACAGTATCTTAATAGTGAGCCCTAAGTGGAAGCTCCCTTTTAATATTCATACTCACCTGCTTTTTTTCTATCAATATTCTGCATGTTGGCTGGCATGTGTTGCAATGCCAATGATTTCAACAGACCTTCCATGTTGTCTGCATATCTTTAAAAACAAAAATTAAATTTATTTGTTGAGAAGCATTTTTTTAGCTTAGTTTAACACTTTTACACTTAAAAGAAATACCTCAGCATTGTTTAAGTTAAACTGCAAAATAATCAAATCCACAACCCAGAGATGTCTACTATTTAAAGCGAGATAGCCAGTTGACTCACTCCTTGGCATACTGAAGTTCTTCTGGAGACAAACATGAGGGTTCATTTTCTTCTCTTGCTGCTTCCTGTTCAAGCACATGGACAACATGCTTTTCAATCTAGAAGATAAAATTTCACAACATAGTGAAGCTTGAAAACAACAGCAAAAACTTGAAATTGTGTGACAGTGATATAATACTTACCTTTTCTAACCTTGTTCTTGTGTAACTACACAGTACAAATCGTATTCTGTCAATCTATGAAATAAAGCAAGAATAAGTCACGTGTAGCTATAAACTGCTGTTCACAGCTTAAATAATTGATAACTTTGACGATGCAGAACAATTCAAAGTAGTTCACAGGCCACATTTTAGAGGCAATGTGAAGAGTGTTTTATTGTGTGAGAAAATATCAGTCTCACCTCTAATTTATGCAATGATGCTACAACATCTCCCTGCTTTATTTTCTTTAAATTTCCTTCCTGACACAAAAACAAAAACTGATAAACTAAGGGGTAACATTAGTATTACTAAATAAAATTAAGTAACTGACTACAGTGCCAGTCCCCTTTATTATTTTAGGAATTTTCAATCCTTTTACTGGTTGAATTTTCAAGAATTCCAAGTGATTTAAGGCGGTGATAAGAGGTACTAAACAGTCACAGCTTAAAGTGCTGATATGTGGATAGGAACTGATAACAGAAGTGAGCAAAGTCAAATTATTAGGTCTTTGAATATGAAAAGTATACATACCTCTTAACCATGTTCAAGGTCTGACCTGTAAGTTACAGACCAATTTTTTTCTGCTCTGATTTATGACCCAAGTGTAAAGCACACAAACCATAAATCCCGGTGGAAAAAAATTAGGTTTTGTAACTTACAGTCAGTACACACCAAGAAAACTAGGTTAGTAAGAAATTTATTATATCTCTGAGGAACATTTCAACTTGAACAAAATTTTGAATTTACAGCCTGCTAAATTGACTTGTCAGAGCATAGCAACTAACTAAGAAATATAATAAGACATAACACAAACTAAAGTCAAATATTCATTTCTAAAATCACCATTTCTTTGATCTGATCCAGCATGCACTCTACGAGGTCTGCTTTGCTTTCCAAAAGCTCAGGAGCAAATTTTTCATTCATCCAGGCCTAGGAGATACAAAGTAGTGGTTACTGAAAGATCACTATAACTTCCTTGTGCCATAAATGCTTGGAAATGTCCACCTCTCTAAAGATTAAGGTTAACAAGAAATCCACTGCCTTGAAACCCTGAAATCTGACATTCCTTGCTGATTGAAGAGTTGGAGGTGATGGGCATTTTGAGGTTATTGTTAGTTGCCAGTGATTAAGAGTAAAGAACATTTGAGTATCTCAAGAGGGTTTCATGTTCACTCTCCATCATCTTCTAATGGGTTGACGACACACCATAATTTTTTTTATCACCACCCCCACCCCAAAGATGGCAAATTTTGGGCAAAGGGGATTCACCTAAAGAAAGCCAACAAGTTTGGACCCATCAAGTATTTTTTCAGAGGTGCTGGCAAAAAAAAATGAACCATTCAAATTCTGGAGGAGGCGTGGGGATAAACAATGGGCGAGGCTTCCAATGAACCCCTTACATCAGTATGCACACAGTTATTTGGTTGTTTGCTGTGGTTCTTGCTTGACCAAATGTGTTGAAACGAATTATCTTAACACTGATTTTCGCGATGAATATGAAGAAGGTTTATATAGGAGCAAAGACATGTATTCGTTTCAAACAAAGCACATGTAAAGAAATCTCGAGGTGCATTGATTGTCTAAAGCCGCGGCGAGAGTTCGACTTCGTTGAAGAAACGGCCCAACTGGTATATACTGAAATTATGATCACGGTGTAAATTACAATAAAACAAAACCCACGATAAAGTTATGCTTCTGTTTAGGTGACATTTTAGTCGTTAAAATAGAGAATCGGTCAGCCTTATCGATAAAAAAGGGAAAACAATTACTGAAATCGATCTTACATTTTCAAGTTGAACGAGAACCTCAGCGGCAGTAACTTCAATTTCTTCATCACTCTCGTCGGCTCCTGCAGTTTCCCCGCTCAGTAAGAAATCAGGTTCTTCCCTGTGATCCATCGAAATAAGACGGAGAGGTTGCTCTTCAAGTCTTTTACAATATACTTTTAATTGAAAAATGAAGAGAACTCACAAAAATTTTACCATGATGGAAGCAAATTTGGCGCGAGAGGCACTAGTGCCCAGGCTGGTGCAGTCCGATGTGACCGAAATTGACTCAATCTCAATTTAATAATGGCGTCGTTTTAAGGAATCTAAAGGACGGAAGAACTAATCAAGCTAGAGCATTTTTAAAGCACTTTCGTCAACCATTTAGTTTTTGTTTACAACTTGCAGTTAAATTTTCAGACTGCTTTCCCACAGGCAGTTTGAAACTGACCGGGTTGTATCGTATTCTGTGGGTCATCTTGTTGGTTGTAACCGGTAACAGTAGGTAGATCACTTGCTTTAAAATCATGGAAGGGGTGAAGAAAATTTACAACAACATTACGAAATCTCCGCGTGACGATCGCATGTACCGAGGTGTAGAACTCTGTAACAACATGAAAGTTCTTGTGATCAGTGATCCATCAACTGATAAATCTGCGGCAGCTTTGGATGTTCACATTGGTAAGATTTCCATGAAAAAGTACGACAAGCTTTACAATTGGAGTTTAATTTGAAAACTTGGCTACGACAATTGCACGAAAGACACCGTAGTGGGGCCGTAGTATATAAAAAATGTCAGGTGGGGACCCATCAGAAACCGAAAAAACTGGATTTAATTTCCATAAAAGCTGAAAACTGCCATCAATGACTAGACTGAAGTTAAACAGAAGAATGTTTACCCTCTTACTAGATTTCAAGGCTTATCAGTATGAAATTCCATCGAAAAGCATTGTACATGGCTTTTGATCAATAATGTATTATACAAGATATGTGATGAACATGGAAAAAAGATGCTTTGTATAATTATGCTCCACTAAAAGTACTCAGAAAAAAGGTGAAACAGAATCTTTGATCTTTGATTGCTGTCATTAATAATTCATTCTTGTCAGAATTCAGACTTAATTTTGTAGATGACACCTCATCAATAACAATTTAAACAATAATTAAATATATTTCTAAGTATAGCATTCATGCATTTCTGTATGTTCTGATTCAAATATTCTTTTAGTTTAAAATGTTTCAAACCATTTTTTTGCTTTTATTTTGAAAAAAAGTTGAAGGTTAGATTTAGTATTTTCCTGTAGTACTAGTTAGTTCTGTTGAATTTTTTTGTTTTTTTTTAATTTTTTTGTTTTATTTTTGATTACTGCACATATTCTTAAATTTAAGGTAGTATGAGTGATCCATCTGAACTGCCAGGGCTTGCTCATTTCTGTGAACACATGCTGTTTTTGGGCACAAAGAAAGTAAGATATGAGCCACCAGTCTATAGTTTTATCTGTGATACCTTTTTAGGTGGAGAAATATAAACACACTCTTAATGGAAGTAACTGAAACTTTAACCTTCTAACCTTCTTGAGTGACCAAGACTCAATTTCTCCTTACAATATTATAACAATATCAAGCAGACAAGTAATGGGAAAAAGATAAATATGAATCAGGGGTTTATCAGTTGATCAAATACCAAATTCTCCTAACTGACATGATAAGAATTGTATGAAAGACAGTAAGGAGTACTAACAACAAGATCTTGGCGGTGAGAGGGTTAAGGGTTGATTTTTTATGATTTTTTGAGGTAGAATTAGGATGATTTATAAGCAATTTAATTCCTAAATTACTACATGTAGGATTGCCAAGGTTAAATATTGCAAGAATGCAGTTGTATGAAATACAGTGTTTTCACTTACATTTATTTTGGAGGGGAGTTGGTATGTTACTGGTAATCTTAATACTAAACTGAGTGAGGTAAAATTGCACAAAAATTAATGAAGACTTCTTTGGTGACAGTTTTTTTTTTTTGACTCTTTAGTATCCATCGGAGAATTCATTTACTCAGGTATGAACATTAAGAAGTGTCTGCTAGTATGTCAAAAACACATATGTCTCTATGACTGTGCAAAGTTCATGACAAATTTTAAGAGATCTTAGCTTGGATGAACTTTGTTTGTGCTTTTATGAATTTATCTGGTTTTCTTTTTTCAGAAAGTCAAAAAGAACTTTAGCGAGTTACCTTGTAGTTTGAAGAAATTCACTTCAGTTCTTTTCTATTGGCCCAGAAATTTGATGTATTATAAATGTTTCAAGACATCCTTTCAAAATGTGGTGCCCAGTAATTGGAAATAATTAGGTTGGCAAATTACACATTCTTTGAAGTGACCATCAACAGGATGGAACTGATTGGATTTTGAAAACTCAATTTTTGGTTGTCTGTTATGGATACTGGTAGTAATTTTTTGAATGTTGACTTGTACCTTACAGTTTTTAAGTGAGAATGGTGGATCCTCTAATGCTTTCACTAGTGCAGAACACACAAATTTTTTCTTTGACATTAAACATGAATGTCTACAGGAAGCCTTGGATCGGTAAGTCAAGAGTAGTTTTAAGTTTTTTATAAATTATAGCAGTCATAACCAATTATTTGAGACATAATATTTTAATTTTTTTTTAAATACAATTCTTTTTTCCTTTTCTTTTTTAATTGATTGATCAGTATGTGTTACCATTTTTCATTGCAAAAAAGTGTTCTTTTATTTTTTAATGTTGCTGCCTCAACTAAGAATTATGTCATTCATTCATTAATCATGCTCATGATCATGTGAGAACATCTAAAAGCATTAGCAAATAAAATGGATTAAAGTTCCTCAACCATAATTCAAGAACATGACTTTTTAGGTTATCTCAAACGTTGCATATGTATCCCAAAGAGGTTTGTAACATGATTGGTGGCAGTTCACCATTTTAAGTGATGCATCTTCTACTCCCATGCTACTCTGTTATTAAGAAATGTGGTAACTTCTGGTGATGGGGTTTTATCTGATGTTAAATTTGAATTCTCTTTGATGTATGTTTGGATTACAGGTTTGCACAGTTTTTTCTATGCCCACTGTTTAATTCAGATGCAACAGAAAGAGAAGTCAATGCTGTTGACTCAGGTGAAGATGTTATTCAATAATGGAAATATATTGTTTATAGAATAAGATATTGATAATATTTATAAGCAGTAGTTTAGTATATCATAGTATATCAAATTATATTGACATTATAGTCTTGCAGTTTTAGTAGTAATTTAGTATATCATACATTGATGTGGTCCTGCTGAAAAGTCTGGATCATTTTCAGTATCTGAGCAACTGTGCAATCTACCCCTCCCCTCCCCTCCCCTAATCCAACACTAATCCTGACCAGTTGACTGTTGTTGTGTTAGGGGAGGGGTAGGTGTGCAGTTGATCAGATACTGAAAATGATCTAGACTTTTCACCTGGACCATATCAATGTATGATATACTAAATTACTACAAAACTGTAAGACTATAATATCAATAAAAAATTCTAGAAACCATTATGTCTGATTAATTGGATGGTTTTATTTTATTTCTCCTTTTTTAGAACACTGTAAGAATGTCTTGAGTGATTCTTGGAGACTAAACCAGTTGGACAAGTCTTCAGTCAGTCCATCCCATCCTTACAGTAAATTTGGATCAGGTACATGATTTTGAGTTGATGTAGATTTTATATTAAAATATGTATTAAAGGATTGAGTCACAATGCTACATATTTGATTGAAAAATATTTTGTTTCGGTGGCTGCCTTAGTCAGAACACATCTATCTCTTTTCCACTGGTTCACGGGCGTGCTAGTAACTGATACCTTTACACCTAACATCAGTATACATATTCTCCATACTGTTCTCCATACATTTGCTAAGTTACAGACAAGGATAATTTTTTTAGTAGTCAAATGCTTCAGTCTTCAGTTGGTGATCATTTCTTTATTCTTGTTACCTTAATGTGTGATGCAGTGGTGATATTATAAGGAGAAATTAGATGCTGGTCACTCCAACCTATAGGTTAAAGAGATGAGGGAGTACACCAATCATGTATCACTTATGGTTTCTAAAAAGCCAGGTATCCATCGGTGTGGACTGAGGGGTGCTTTATGACAAGCCAAAACAGCTACTGGTGATTGGGAGTGGACTATGCACATTCCTTAATCCCAGATCTTTTACATTTTCATAACTGGTAAAACTGATTTGGATCTTTGTTGCAACAGGTAACAAACTTACTCTTGACACTGAACCAAAAAAGAATGGACTTAGTGTGCGTGATGAGTTACTGAAATTTCACAGTTCATATTACTCAGCTAATATCATGGCATTGACCATTCTAGGCAGAGGTACTGTATCACTATATATGCGTTTAGGTATAATTACAGTTAATAATTGTGAAATATTGTGTATGATATTTAACTTCCACTTTTGGAACATGCAGTGACCCATGCTTGTATCTTCCAGAGGTCAACACCGATTCATGGTCCCAGCTACATACAAAAACCTTGAGTTTGGAATGTTTTATTTTCCTATACAGTAGGAATCAGATGTCTCTGAATGCACAGATTTTTTCATGTTTTAAAGTGGCTAAAACTTATTTGTTGTTTTAAAAGCCACATGTACATTTCACATCTTTGATGGATTGATGCCATCAAAAATTTTTATTTGTTTCCTTAAAAATGATATCAAACTTATATTAAATTATTGCTCCACAAGCTGTGCCAATTCCTGTGACATGACATGTTTCCATAGCACCATCATATCCTTCTTTAAAAAGCCTCTTTGTTTCACCTCTAATGTTGGTAACGATAATCTGAGGTTACTCTGGACCTACCCTGACTGATTTGTTGAAAAACTCCTTTGGGAATGGAAAAAAAAACTTGATAATCATCTTATTGCAATTTGAAAATTGGTGATCTGTAAATTAGTTTTTAAGCTAAAATAAGGAATGGTTCAAAAGAATGTTTGGTTGTTATAGTAAGGCCTCTCTTTGGGAAGGTGACCTTGCTTTAGTTTGTGATTAGTATTAATAATTTTGTATGATTACTGGCATTGAAGCTGTAAATAGAGATGTGTGGTTTATTAATCCATCTTTTTAAACAGTTAATTTGATGAAAGGAGATTATTTTGAGCACCTTAGAGCCTTATTGCATTTGGAAGATTTTTTCTCTTTGTCAGAAAAAAGATAATTAATGTCCCCAAAATTTTAATATTGTGAAAGAGGTGATGTAAGTTCAAATGAGGCCCATAATTGTGTGTGAAATTAGAGAAAAAAACCTGTGCTCTTGCCTTTCTAGTGCATTGTTAGCAAGTGCTAGGAGTTTTTAGTTACTCCTTTTTAACATTGGCTAACAATTAAAAGCTAGGATACATAGATGAAAGAGATATGACTTCATTTCTTAGATTCTCTTGACGACCTGACAAACCTGGTTATAAAGCTCTTTTCAGACACAGAAGATAAAAACGTATCAATTCCAGAGTTTCATGATCATCCTTATGATGATGAGCAAGTACAGGTAAGAGATTTTTAAGTTTAGATAACACATTTTAACAAATGCTGAAAGATTCTGTATCCCAGGGGGGCAGAGAAATCTAGTGAGACTAGAATCAGTTACCATGTAACAAGGAATATTTGATCTAAATTATAATTGGTGTTGCAATTATTAGCTGAGTATCTGATGATCCTACAATGTCAGATTGTTGGTTGAGTTATTGATTTGGGTCATTCTTGTTTCTTTTCATTTATGTGATTTGCCAGCTTTTACTAAATACACAGTCATATTATGATTTGTTTTTCACATCACCATGAACAACATTTAGCTTTTTATCATATAAAACAAACAGATTCCATGTTGCCTTGGGTCTGTGCAGTACCTTTTGTACTAGATCATGAAAGGCCTGGAAATGTGGTAAGAGCATCAGTGATGCACTCACTTGTACTGCCTTGTGTGCAACTCTTTTCTCTTTTGTCCTTACCACATTTTGACATCATCTGCGATCCATTACTGAACAGACACATGGCAATGTAGAATCTATTATTTAATTTTATGAGCAACTATAGGGATGATAATCATGGAGAAATGACTGCAAGGTTCTTATATTTATTGTTGATACTGGTCTCTTGATTTGTTTTGAAGGTAGAATTGAAAGTGGTGCCTATCAAAGACATAAAGCAGTTAAATATTTCCTTTCCAATCCCTGATGTTAACCAGTACTATGAGAGCAAGGTAAGTTTTCTCATTCATTGTGCTAATGATTGTGTGACTCTCACTCATAGTGATCTTAATAATGTGCCTGTCAGATGTCCAAAATGTGAATGTTAGATTTAACAAAAATCTTAACTTAATGTTATTGGCTATGAAATTGCTTAAATTATTTGGATTGCAGCCTTGTCATTACATATCTCACCTCCTTGGTCATGAAGGTAAAGGAAGTTTGCTTTCAGAACTCAAAACCAAAGGTAAGTTTTCAAATGATGGAAGATTCTTCTAAAGGTTAACTTGACAACTGAGTGACCTGGAGTTTCAGTCAGGAATATTTCTCTGTATGATAACTTCTTACTTGGAAGAGAGGAAAAAAAAAAGTGGTAAAAAAGGCAGAGCTTTCACCTTTGTTTTCACCCCAAGATCAAAGAAATGGTTCATTTATTTTGGGAAAAACACTCAACTTATTGGTCAAACACTAATAAAAGCGTCTCTTCTTAAACAATTGTAATTGTAATTTTCTCAATTACTGTTATCATGATAATCATTTTATTTACTTTACTCTTTAATTCTACTTACCACTGCATTCAATTCACACTTCATCTGGCAGATGCTTCTGCCAACTTCAATCATTACAAAAGTTATTCATTTGCAATGCAAAGGTTTGAAACTTTTTTGTACAAAGTATTTGTACTGGTAAAGTATTAAATCCTGTGTAACTTTTCCAAAGGGTAATTCAAGATCTTTGCTAGTGCCTTATTATCTAGACTTTGTATCTCCTTCACAAACTGTTAGATCTGTGAACTGCATCTTGTCATTTGCAGTTGTTAACTGATAACTTTCCTAATATCAGTTGGCAATTACTCCAACAGGCTGGGTGAATGAACTTGTTGCTGGAGGAGCAAGTGGAGCTAGGGGTTTTATGTTCTTTATTTGTAACATGGAACTCACATCTGAGGGACAAGGTAATCATGTTTAACTTTATTCATGTTTGCCCTTATAATCTGTTTTTATTTTTCCCATAATTATTAATGTCAGCCTTTTTATTTGGTGATTATTTGGTTGATGTTCCTAGCATGAAGGCCTTTTAGCACTGAAATGAACACATCAAAGCTTGCAGTTACAACAGTTACTTAACATTAAAAAAATTGGAAAACATGTCACTTTTATTACATTATACTCTGGAAGATGCAATTGTTTCCAAAATTTTGAGGGTAATCCCTCAATTTTGTTATCTGTTTGGAAAGAGCTGATGGTGACACTGGACATGTCATTTAACAACAAAATAGGTTTTCAAGATTTGAAACTGAATTATAACTTTAAATTAACAATTGGTTCATACATCAGCATGCATTCATCGAGATATGAACCACGCGGGAAGTTTGGAGAGCACGAAAGATGTTTAAGAGTTGTGTAGCCGAGAGCAACTCTAGCTTCTTGAGTGCTCTCCAAACTTCCCAAGTGCTTCATATCTTGATGAACGCACAGCTGACATATGAACCAATTGTTTTATAACATTTTCAACCCAATGGAAAATTTTTTTTCTCAAGGGACTTGTTTACTGATGTCATGAGTGTGCACAATAGGATTATGAAGCACGCTTGCACAATTGAATTTGATTACACAAATTTACTAGCTATGTTATAACACCTATTGTAATTAAAAACGATTCAAATTCTCTATAATGATGTATGATGTCATTTTTTTGAAGACCATGCGTATGAAATAGTGGCATGTGTATTTCAATACTTGGAAATGCTCAGAAGGCAAGAACCTCCAGACTGGATATTTAAAGAGTGCCAGGTACTTTCATCAAACTCTAGCTATTAAATAAGTATAGGCTAAATCTAGTCTAGACTGATAGTTATGCTGCATATAAATTTTACATTAAGTAAGGCATTGTTCCTTAGCAATTCACTGTGATAGTAATTACTTCATTCAGGCATTTTCCACCATTTTTTTTTATCTGTAGATTAATGAAATTAGTGATCAAGGTTTAAAGAAATAATTCCTATGATGGTGTTCTTTTTGGCATGATCTTTTGGTAGGCCCTTTGTGAAGTTAGATTTCAATTTAAGGACAAGGAGAATCCTGGATCCTATGTGTGTTCATTGGCCCGCTGTTTACATGTAAGTGTTGTAATCCATTTGAGCAATATCTGATCAGTGTTCTCTGAGCTCCAAAGCTCAGTCTTTCTTAAAGAGTCATTTGGTGACCTAAAGTCAGCAAAGTATAAAACATAAGTTGCTTGAAGGAAAAAAATGGGAAGAGGACATTTTATATGATATTATAAGACTTCCTATACTTCTTACTACACCCCTTGCCTGAACTAAGCATCATGGCTGGCTGACAATTTTTCTAAAGTCTTACGAAACAGAAACATCAAGGAGTTAGGTGCACATTTTTATCAAGGAAAACATGATTCAGAGCCTTAAATATTATTTTTGAAAAATACTTGTCTCACATTGATTTGAGATGTTGAAGCATTAACTATGGTTAAAAAAGAAAGGTTACAACAGGTTGGTAATTGGCAGCCTTCCTTGTAAATTTAGTCACCAACATTTCCCTTAAGTTTCCTTGGCAGCCAAAAAAGGTGACAACTTGGAACACTGGGTGTTATATCCCCCACCAAGTCTAAATTTCAGTTGAGAGTTGAAAGTAATCAGCAATTGCATTGGGTTTGCATTTCTGGGTCCAATCTGTATTCTAGAAGACTAGTGCCATCCTTTCAATCTATTGGATACAAAACTAAAACCAAGTGTTACTTATTTAGTCATTGATAGGCAGTTGGCTGTTTTAATCTTGGAGATTGTATTGGCTTCTTGAGATATTTTCATTGTTTTTATCTTTCCAACACTCAATTGAAATGCTGTGTGAACCTCAAATAGTTTGACCGTATATTTTTTTGCAGGAGTTTGGAATAGACGATGTCCTACAAGGACAATTTGTAATGAAGTATTTTAAACCTGAATTGATTAAAATGATTCTTTCCCATCTTGTGCCATCAAAAGTGAGGTGAGATGTAATTTGATGTACAGGTAAATAATGATTATGATCAAATTTGGGAGAATGAGGTTTTTACAAGGGATTTAACCACAAGCTGTGGCTGAATTATTTTCCCTAAGGTGTATATTGGGAGTAGGTTTATGTTTTGCCAAGAATGCCCCAGCTAATTGTAAGATGATAAGTAAAACTTTCAAACAATCTTGTGGTGAAGAACAAGTTTTAAATTTTTTTGTGCTGGTTTCATACTTCAATGAGTTAACACCTGGAAAACTGATCTGCAACTTATACATGAACCAACAAAGTATATTAAACAAATGGATGGAGAATCATACAACTTTTTGAATGTTTTTCATAAAAGATGGCAATGTTAGCAAACTTCAGAATGATGTTATTGATTATAACATTCCCTTTGTACGTGTAAAGAGACATAATTAATTTGTATACATTGTTTATGCTGATCTATCAAAGAAAGTAGAGTACAGTCAAAACCTCAATTATTCGGACCTTGATTATTGGGACCTTGATTATTCAGATCTTGATTATCCGGATTTCTTGATCGTCCAGACTTTTTCTCTGGTCCCAATTTTCCCATGAATATTTATTAGTCATGATCAAGATACGTAGCCATATTTTAAAAACTACTGACAGCCTTGAAAAGTGAAAGGCGAGTTTGTTTTGCTCTCAAAAAGCAAAAGAAGCAGTTGCTGTTCCTCATTAATATTCATATTCTTGATTATCCTGACTATTTCTCTAGCCCCAACAAGTCAGAATAATCAAGGTTCAACTGTAATTTTTATGCAACTCTTGTACTGCTCTCTTTTTCAACTCCTGGAGTCCCTTGAGATACTCTTTTGTGTTTCCTAGCCTCTTAAGATTTACTTTTTTTGCCATATTTTCCATGTTTCTTCCACAGAATAACCCTGATTTCAAAACTTTTTGAAGGCAAAACAGATCTTGTAGAAAAATGGTATGAAACAGAATACTCTAAAAGCAAAATCTCTCCAGAGTACATGAAGGTAACAAAAAAAAGTTCTTTATCTGGTTGATTCCTTCATAATATTGAGTGATTATAAAAATTCTTGGTTATAGTTTACCATTTTGTACAGTATTGATTGTTTCATTACGTCTTACCTCTTGTTCCTATTTATATTATAAAAGGCTGACTGTCACGTAATTGATTACTAATTAATGCACAGTCTTATGAGACTTATTGATGAGCCATGATAGCTTCAATCAATCTTTGCTTGTTTCACTGGGTCCAAACATTAGAAACCCCCCACCACCCCCCCCCCTAAAAAAAAGAAAAATTAAAAAATTGACATCCTCTCCTTGTAACAGTCACAAACATTGTCCATTGAATGTCCTGACCTGACAGAGCTAAATAACTGTCAAGAGAATAATGTTAACAGAAACTACTGATTTACAAAGTTTACTCTTTCTTTCAGGAGTGGAACAATGTGTTATTAAACCCTTCTCTGCAACTACCTGAGGAAAATGAGTTTATCCCCGCAGATTTCACATTAAGGGAAAGGCCTCAAGATGTAAGGACTAAATTGACCGTGGTGAAAGTTAATGTCAAATTTATGCTTTTATTTTTTAAAAAACAAACTGATGATGATATAGAATCATGGATGGTAAACAATAATTTAATTTTTTCATACTCTACCATATCAAAACTTAATTTACTTTTAAATTAATATATTTATATTCATTTGATTCCATTGACAGTTTCTTTCCATCAATAGAATTCACCCTGAGTTGAAACTGTTGTTTGTACATAAAAAAAGACTATTAAGAGTAAACAATTGAAGCTCTCTTAACTGTATTTACACTTTCCCATGAACAGCAACAGACATAGGCAATTGCTTTTTTTAAGCTCCTGCAATGAGGGAAAATAAGAGAAAAAAATCCCTCTAGTACCTGCATCTCATTTAAATCCACCAACTTTACATTACAGTATGTTAAAATGATTTTGTTGTGCATTGGTCAGAGCAATTTTCAATTGACCATTGGAACTGATGTTGGATCAGGCTGGGCATGTTCAACTGTGGTCTGTGATTGTTCAAGAAATTTTATGCCACCTTCTCAACCAATTAAGTCCAAAACTGCCAGCAATAAGATACCTCTTGTTATTACTTAAAGGGAACAAGAACTTTGACCAAGTAGTGATAAACTATCTCTTCCCTTGATGTTGCTTTGCATTTTTGTGTGGAGTTTTAACATCTTCATATCCACTATTCATGGAAACATTACAAGAAACAAAATGTGTCTGAAAGAGAATATTAGGGTTGGACTAACTTTACCTTTCTTTTTTGTAGTCTTCATCCATTCCCATACTCATTAAGGTATGCGTAATTTATGTAAAGTACAGTACTGTATATTTTTTACTGGGTAACTGGATACATGTAACTGGATACACATACATGTGGATACATGCCTAGTTTTTCCTTAAATGGGGAAACACATTTTAAAAAGCTGGAAAATGTAAATGTTTCAAATTGTTTTAGCCAGTGCACACTTCAATTGGTAATACTTTTCATATCCTCTTTCCGTGTGTTCAACATATGAGAGAATTGATTTGTTTTGGACACTTGTTCATTCTGTTCACATTATGGCACAACATTTTCATATCTTAACAGGATGATTCTTTGTTGAAAGTTTGGTTTAAACAAGACGACACATTCCACCTCCCCAAGTCGTGTCTTCTGTTTGAAATAACAAGGTACTGTACCTGAGCATAAATTGTATTCATTTGTTGAAGTTGTGTACCCTTTTACAAGTTTATAGTCAAGTTTGTAGCTTGTCAGTCTAAAAATTTTTTTACCTCAGCTCAATTTTCTTACTCCTAATGTAAAAGTATGTTTTGGCTGACCAAAATATCAAATAATTTATCATCAAATTGCTTTTTTTCATATGCATTTGGTTTTTTATCACAAAGGTTCTTTTTCGCAGTGAGAAATAACCAACTTTCCAAATAACCCCACAATATCGCGGGATTTTGAACTCGATTGTACTCTACTAAGTGCAGTTGGATAATAAAAGCTCTTAGGAGTGAAGTTTTTTATTCATTTGATAATTTACGGATGATGTTCTGTATCTGTTATAGTCCTTTGGCGTATGTGGATCCGTGCCACTGTAACATGGCGCACTTGTTTGTAGAGCTGCTGAAGGACTCATTAAATGAGTATGCCTACGCTGCCGAGATTGCGGGAGTGCATTACAAACTGGAAAACACCATGTATGGAATCTTTGTAAGTACAGCGCACATCTTTAAGAGTGTTGTCCCTGACTCGTGACAAGACGAACAAAACATCTTTCTATATTTCTTTACTGAGCTCAAAATTTACCATCTCTCCTATTCTGTTTACAAAACTTGACGCTATCGACATAATTGATCCTAGCAGTATGCAGGACGCGTGTCATATATGAACTTCGTAAGGGGCCTTGTTCACCGTAGAGTCTCTGTGGCTCAGTGGTAGAGCATTGGAGGGTGGAATCCGACTTTCTGAGGTTCGATTCCTCATGGGAACTCAAAACTTACCGTCTTTGTTATTCTGTTTACAAAACAATTCTCCCTGTTGAAAATCAGCCAAGCGTATCAGTTATTCTTTGACAAGGGCTCGTCAGGAGAAGTATCTGTTGTTAAGATATGGTGTACTGTGGTGGCAGTGATTTCAGGGGAATGTCACACTCTGTTACTTTACAGTTAAGTATCAAAGGATATAACCACAAACAGCCTGTTTTATTGAAGAAGATTTTCGAAAGAATGGCAAACTTCCAAGTAGACCCTAAGAGGTTTCCACTCATCAAAGAAAGGGTAAGACATTTAATATTATGTAGAGGTTTATTTACTGTGCAGTTACGACAATTGAAAATGTTGAAAATGTTGTTGAAAATGTTGTTGAAAATGTTGAAAATGTTTTTGAAAATGATTTCTTAAGACTGGATTGATGTTTTGTTTCATGGTAGTATTGAACCCCTTGGGCAAGAACACGAAATGATCTTTCTACTGTTTGTGGAGATTTCTTTTGCTGCTCTCTTTAACGCTGTTTTTTTTTCTTCTTGTCAATTTATAGTGTGAGATTGCACTGAAGAACTTTGTTGCTGAACCTCCTCATCAACATGCTTTGTACTACACGTCATTTTTGTTAGAAGAACTAGCGTGGCATAAAGATGACCTGTTAGAAGCATTAGAGGGTATTTTTAGTACTTTTTATTTCCTCTCATGCAGAGAGTGAGAATCAATTTATTGAGAGCAGTTCCATCTTGCTTGAAGTTCATCAAAACGAAACTATAGTAATTGCATTTTAAAAAAAATTGAAGTGGGCCAATAGAACGAATTAATGAAAAATTCTAGGATATACAAACGGCCATATTGCAAGCGGAAAAACGCCGTTGCGCTGGAAAGTAGTTGCTATTACAGTGGTGTTTTGAGGGGTTGGTGGGGAAGGAGGGAGGGAGGTGAAATAGGAGGGAAGGGGGTTGGAATGAAAACTTTAGTATCTACTCTCATTTACAGTTACTAATCGGAGATGTTGATTGTTTGTCAGAGGTAACACTGGAGAAGCTGAAAGCTTTCATCCCTGATTTGTTAGGGAGACTTCATATCGAGTGTTTGTTTCATGGGAACTTGACCAAAGAAGTGAGTTTAAACATCTAAAAGTCCAAAGTCACTTGAGTTCTTTAACTCCGTCAATATTCTTAATAATCAAAACTATAACAGAATTCTCGAACGTGATTGGTTAACACTAGCCCGTTTTGAGCAATAATAGGACAGTATGCGCATCATGCTTGTAATTGGACACTGTAATAGGACAGTTAAAGGGACAGTTAACTCGTCATGCCTGTGTAAGTGGACAGAACGCGTCATGTGCGGGCACTGTTGTCTCGCAATTTTCTCAAATTTCGTCAAAGTTTTGATTAATTGGTAACAGGACTTCGTGTCGTCCAATTCTGTCTGTAATCATACTCGTGATTAACAAATCGGACTCCCGCTTCGCGGTCGTCTGATTTTGTTAATCACTCGTATAATTACAGAATAATGATCCTGAATCTCACCAGTTGTTTGTAAAAAAGCGTTCTGAACAAACCGTACATACTCATAACTTATGCAGTGTTTTTAGGTCAGTTGCTCGAAGATGCATGACAGGCTACATAACATGCTTGTGATGGAAGAGAAACTTCAACCGTTATGATTGTGGACTTTGCTCTGTTTCAGGAAGCTTTGGACATCGCACAGCTGGTAGAAAAGATCATCAAAGAAGACAGCAAGACTAAACCTTTGTTACCATTACAGTTAATTCGGCACAGAGAAATACAGTTACCAGACGGTAAGTGTGAAGCCAAAAGTGTTCAGCAAAATGCCTTGAGTTGCTTCAAAATGTGCACCATTCTGTGTTTCCTCTCTTAGTAATTAACTACTCTTCATCTTAAGTGGAGATTGATTGGACCAATTGTTATTGATTTATCGTTGTTTGTAAAACTGGTCAGGACCCAGACTCCTCTTTCTTCCTCCTTTCTTGAGGGAAGAAGAGAGAGGACACTGAGAACGATGTTGAGACCTAACTAGGCATATGTGAATGTATTTAGTGCTGTCTATATCTTTCTTATTCGTCTCTGTTTCTGCCCTTTAGGTTGTTCGTATCTTTTTGAAGTGCAGAATGAAGTTCACAATAATTCAAGTTTGGAAATATATTATCAGGTACACTTGCATGTAAATGGAGTGCCTTTTGAGGGGTGGGGAGACAGGAGACAGGAGACAGGAGACAGGAGACAGGAGACAGGGCAGGGATACAAAGCCACCTTCCCCCCCTTTTTTTTACTCAATCGGTGTTTTCTGTCCTAAAAAGTCCTGTTTTAAATGTAAACGTGATGCAAGTTTACTGCAGTTTGATACGTTTCTTTTCCAATTTGTCCTTGGTGGTTTCCTCACCAGCCTACACCCTCGGTCAGCCCATATATGTGCTTTCTGTTGCCTGACAAAGTGGACTGTGATGGAACAAAGGGTTGCATCCTAACGACACATCCAAATGAAGGAAATGAAGATAGTTATTTTATTTTCGTTTTCAGTGTGACCTGCAAGCCACCAAAAGTAATGTACTTCTGGAGTTGTTCTGTCAGGTCATCAGTGAACCATGTTTTAACACTCTTAGAACTCAAGAGCAGTTAGGTTTGTATGCTAAGCCAATAACTGTATAAAATGTATATTTACCTCGCACACTCCGTGGCTTGGTAGTCAGTGCACATATTTTGGAATCTAAATATTCGGATTGGAAGCCCGGACGTGTCATTTTTGCGATGTTTTTCGGCAAGACACTTTACCGCCCGCTCCTCACTCTACCCAAGTACCGGCCTGTTTTACGCTTTGTTTACGCCGTTTCTTCGAGGAGGAGCGCGGGCTCATTTTCTCATTTTCGAACCAAAGCGAACTGCTGTGTGGGGTTGGGGGTGGGGTTGCGTATCTTCGGTTGGTTTAGCATCCCAGGCTGGGCTAAGATTACCTAGGGTTAGTGTAAAATCTGATTTCAGATCTAAAAGCTTTATAGGAAAATTCAGTGTAATTTCCTATTTTTTACAATTTGACGATTGGATGCTCTTAAAAGAATAAAGGAAATTCAAATCCTAAAAGGCTTTTGAACTAAGGAATAAAGAAACCTGTATTAAAATTAACCTTAGGTTAGCGCTCATCGGCCTTCGAACAACTGGGCCCAGTTTTGGAAGAATAACAACAGTTTAAGTCGCTTAAAACTTAGGGAACCGGAATAAGCTCTGGTAATGTTAAGCTTTTGGACTCGTCATGTTGTAGCCAATAAACATTTTTGTTTGTTTTTTTTTTACATTTCAGGGTATATTGTCTTTAGTGGAGTAAGAAGATGTAACGGTGCTCAGGTTGATATGGATTTTACTATGAATTTTCTGCAAATTCAAGCTAACACTATTTCGGATTTATCCCAAGCGGGATAACTAGATTAAAATTAGCAACTTGGTGTAACCAAGAAGGGGGAAGACATTGTTGTTCTGTTCTTGTTGATGTTCTTGTTATTTTCCTTTTTTGCGCCAATTAGGTCCTTAGCAATTATATCGTGTTTTTCTTCCAGGCTACTTTTTTTCTTCTCTCTATTAACCCGTTTAACTTCAAGAAGTGATTAATGTGTAACTGCCTTATAATATCTATACAATACCTTGCAAACAGGTAATGAGAATTGTCAAACTTACCAGGTAGAAGTTGATATCTTGATCTAACACCAAAGTATCATTACTAGTTTACAATGAAATGTGTAGCAGCTAGAGGGGAGATTGAACAATCAGATCTTGGGAGTTAAAGGGTTAATTTCCCAGGTATGGAAATCTCAGCTTTTAACTGGTTATTTATTAAGGCTATTTTTCTCTCCAGGGTCTCCGTGTCTTGATACAATCTGAAAAAGAACCTTCTTTACTAGATTCACGAGTTGAAAACTTCCTTCAAGGAATCGAGGTTTGTTTGGTATTTGGTTTCAGGATACTTATTTAATTTCAGTTCAATTAAATTAATTAAAGTTCAATTTTTTAATTTCAAAAGGATTACATCAAAACAATGTCGGAAGAGGAATTAAAAAACCATATTGAGGCACTTGCAGTGAAAAGGATGGACAAACCCAAGAAATTATCTTCGGAATGTATGAAACACTGGAAAGAAATCCTCTCCCGACAATACAACTTTGACAGGGGTGAGACCAGCACTTTTCCTCTTTTGAGTAAAATTATTGAAGTGGCTTAACGTTTCTACATTGCTGGGCCGTTGGAGGCCAAAAGCTGAGCTAACAGGCCGCTCTACGGTTCATTTCTTGCGACACGGTGAATTTTTTCCAGATTCTTTGCCAATACGACTGTGTTGCTGCGATCAGCAACGAGCATATCTACCGCGGTAACTTGCCATCTAATGCGATCGCATGTCGAAATAACCAATACATTTCAGATTTGGAGACCCCGTCGGCTTGTGTCAACTAAACCGTGACACAATGTACGTACGTGAAAATATGAATCTACCAGATTAAAATTCTCATGAACGTAATTGGCGTCACGGTTTAGTTGATTGAAACTTGTTTCTTCTTCAGATAACATTGAGGTGGGATTTCTAATGACTGTCACCAAAGAAGATGTTCTGGCATTTTATCGGGTAGGAGTGTCTTATTTTGTTTTGGGATTCCTCGGATTAGATTGTTAGTAATTGATAAACTTTGAAAAGTGCCTACTCTGAAAACCTAAGCTGTGCAGACTTGTCATAACGACCATCGCAATACTAATTTACATGTAAATGTTTCATGCTCGGATTTGCAGGATCTTCTTGCTTTTAAAGCACCTAGACGGCACAAGTTGGCCGTCCATATTCTATCTAAGTCAAGTGAGTAGAACTTGTAACTGAAATGTAAAAGTCTTTCCCAAGTGATCAATAGATTCCATTTTCCTCGTTCATGTTTAGAAATGGATCACAAATGGCGTTAAAATATGAGAAGAACCAAAACAAAAAGGCCCATGATGACGTCATACATGTCAGTCCTCAAACGGTTCATGAGAAGGACCGATCCAAAATCATTGTAGAATTGACGCTGCTTATTGTTTTCAGGCCATACCACCTGCCTTTGCAAGCTTGAAGCGCAGCAAGCATTAATGAAAATATTAAAAAATGGGTCTTGCTTCTTGTATGAACAAACCGGACTTTGCTCTATTTGCACGTCATGTGAACCTATATTTCACATTAGGAGCTTGCTGACTCCACTGACGAAAAAGTGAGAATAATTGTTTTCACAGCAAGAACTCCAACCAGCAGTGAATAATGTTTGACTTTTTGTTTCTTCCAGGAAAGACTAAGAATGCAGATAACGAGTCTAAAAACGAATACGATGAAAATGAGAAAACCGAAGATGCTGATGCTCTTCCTCCGGTATGTCTTTTTCTTATTCAAAACATCTTTTCTCCACACTTTTATCACAAACATTTTTCAAATTGTACATGAAATGACTGTTTTTTTTCTCCTTTTAGCAGACCGTTATTGATGACATCACTGCATTTAAGAGTAGTCTTCCATTATTTCCACTTGTGCCACCATACCACAGTCAACCTACGAAATCCAAGCTGTAGAACAGAGAATCAATCTCAGTACTTTCGCTTTCCTTCCTTTGCCTTCCATTTCTCTGTGGTCGTCTCTCGCTAGAGTTCGAAAACTGTTCTTTTTGCGTTAATTTGCTACCTACAATGTTTCTTGATGTGGCGAATGAGCATTTTGACCAGCATCTAATTTCTCTTCGCATTGCCACTGCTGAATCTTTCACTAAGATCGTGAGATTAAAGGAAATGATCGCCAACCTAAGAAGCTTTGATTGTTAAACGAATTCTCCTTGTCAGTACTTAAGGAAATGTATAGAGAAGAGTGTAGAGAATATGGGTATTGATGCAAGAACGAGGAGGGTTTAAGTGTTTGAACCTGATTGGAATATTGGTAATTATTCCGTCTCCTGCGAACCCCATTTTTTTCTCGTCATGGAACATGTCTTTGGGAGCACAGAATCAGGGCCCGGACGCACGGTGTATTTACACACGCAGTATTACGTTCGTTCTATTAATAGCTCAATGACCAGCGGCATGTTCGTGTGTACATGTAACAACATTACGTGCTGTGTCGCGAAGCAGAAAGCTCGTGCGTCTCAGAAGTACTAACTGAAGTGGCAAAACGGTATCAAGAATATCAGTGAAAACTGTGGTTTTGTATTACAGTGAAAAAAGGGTATCTAATATCTTCTCTATACTAATGCTTTTTTGGTACATCAGCCTTGGTTTTTTTTTTCAATTGTGCTTTTTTTTTTATTAACGATTGACGCTTAGGTGATCGCTTTCGAGACTCGAGAACAGTTTATTCGACACATCTAGAACACTTTTTGTAATCATTGCTTCATCGTATAGCAATGGCGCAAAGAAATTCCATCAGTAATGATGAAAGTTGCCGACCTCTGATCGCAAAACAGAGTGAATGTGATTGAAGATAATACCCCCTGAAGGAAAATTATGTCTGGCTGGAGACACGTTTGACATGGTTAGTCGCATGTTCAAGTGGATAATGAGAGCAAAGTATTTAAACGTGCACAAGGTTTCAAAGAATATAGACCTAACAAAACTAAAAAATAACGAATTAAAATAGTAAATGTAATCGGAACGAAGCGTTACGTGTGATCATTTCCTCCGAACAACAATTAGTTAACTCCGAACTGCAAATTTTATCAGGGTCGTGACCAAAAAACCCTTATGGGGTAACAGACTGGTTAGCCCCAGTAGTCCACTTTGTATGGCTCAGATCACTCGGCGTATGGACAATTATGAAGTGTTTGCAAGGGATTTGCGGCTCAAGAAGCTCAGACGGTTCTCGTATGTAGTTAGTGACAAAAGAAGCCTCCTGAAACAGAGATGTGCTGAGAGGAATAGCCCATATTCTCTCCAAGAGTCTCATAGGGGTGTCACGGAACAAGGAAGTTCGATAGCCTGAATGTTAAGCACAAGGATGGGGACTGTCAGGCCCTCTTTTTCTCCTTCTCTTTTTAATTGTTTTCCTTTCTTTCTCCCCCCCCCTCCTCCCCCACCAGTAGCATCTAATAACTGAGGGGAGAAGAGGTGCTGCCCCGAGGTTAAAGCAGGAGTGTAGGAGTTTTGAGTCTCCTTTGATCTCATCCGTAAACCTCATTTATGAGCCTGTATCGAGCCAGAAGTAGATGCACTTACTTTGACCGTAAATATGATTAGTTAAAACACCAATGGGAACGATAACTTGATTTTGTGCTATTGGCATTAATAACAGGATATCATGATGCAAAATGAAGTAGTTGGTGCTTTCTCTAGTGTTATTTTATATCATACCATACAAACCTTATGTAATGCCCGAATTTTTTGTAAGATATGGAATAATAAAAGATTGTTTTACGGAACTCGTTGCCTTGGCCTTAACTAAAATCTCCTTTGGTGTCTACTGTCAAGTGCGAAGCTTCTCTTTCACCGTAAACGAAAGGTTTGATATTAATACAGCAACCATAAACAGAATAGACAGGATAGAATGGAACAGAAAGGTTTTAGTCAAACACTACTATACATAGCTTTAGTTCAGGTGAGATGTTGTACTCTTCGCTATCTGAGGCGGAATCAAGACCTAGTTATGGCTTAGTTCAGCTATGGCTCTGAGACAGGGCAGAGATTTTGGTCAAAGTTTCAATGCCTCATGGGGAATTAGAATTAACATTTCAGTGTCCCAAGCTGGTGCCAAGATGAAATAACATCTCTCTCTCTATTTCATTAACGAGCTCAAAATTCATTGTCTTTCTTTCTGTGGCTCAGTGGCAGAGCATCGGAGCGTGGAAGTCGAAGGTCTGGGGTTCAATTCTTCATGGGAATCAAGATTTGTTTTGTCCCACGCTTGTTAAAAGAAAAAAATCCTTCTCCCAGAGCAATCATACTTGAAGCTGTCACTGACATGAAGCTTAACTTTACTGTGAATATAATGCTTTCAAAGAGGCAATTTTATGTTAAGGAAGCAGAATGGAAGCTAGACTGAACCAAAGTGGAGGTGTTAACCTTAACGTAATCGGAACAAAATATAAAGCCCAGTCAAATCTGTGGTCAACTGAAAAATTCTGAAACCATCGTCGGTCGATTGCCCCCTCTTCCACTCGTCTTTACTGATCGGGAGCGGTAAAAATTAATTTAGATATTCACAGGAGCACAACGTTGCCTGTTTTCTCGCCAGCCGAGTCGTGAGTGTACCGTGACTGTTGAGTCTCGAAGTACATGCATTCAACAGTGTTATATCTGATATCTAATCTCGCTCATACTCAAAATGCCTGATTTGAGGAAATTGGGGGATTTGGAAACAAGTATTTGCCAGGTTTGTCGATGTACTGTGGCTGTTTTAGTTTCGGAGTATTTAGTTTCAATTTATAGACGAGTAAGCAGTTTTACACTTTTCATATTAGAAGGAATGTCACCTAATTTTTTCGGGAGGGGGGGGGGCTGGGAGGCTGAGGTTTCACTCTGAGAACGGTGATAATTTTGGAGATTTTTTTAAAACGTTTTAGGATATCTAGAGGGTTTTGGGGAGATTTTTAAAGTACAAAATGGGAATTTCCGGCACTATCTCAGCAAATAATTTCTTGATGTTTATTTTGTTTCCTCCGTTTCAACGGCCGATCGTCTACTTAGTCCCCCACCCTACCCTGCTAGACCCACTAGGACTACGCTCAGTTAGAGGGGAGGGTACATTAGCGTTTTAAAATGATGGCTGACTGAGCAGAGTTATTGTTAGAGTTTCAACGGAATCATATCTTGACATGCACATGGATCGTGATGCAATATTATGCAAATGAGACAAAGGGAAAATTGTTGTTCCTCCGTCTCTGTTGATTAATAATGTAACGCTGTATGTCAGCCGCTGTCAGCGAAACAAATTGATTGGTCAGGCGATTTTCTTCTTGTTCGCTTATCGCTGCGTTTTACTGCAGTCTGTAGAACACAGAGGAACAACCCCAGGTATCAGACACAAGTTTCATGGAGTTAACTTGGCATTGTAGATTTTGACATTAACAAGCAAACACAAAAAGGAGATACGGTAATCTATTTTTCTTTCTTTTGACCTAACGCTAAAAATTTTCAGGCTGGGGTACTTTCTATGGGTCAATATGTTGTCTTAATTTACAACAAAGACTTCGTCCCTGTGATGAGTTATACTCGTCATCTGCAACGTTATAGTGCAAGTTCACCAACACGAATAGAACAAGGAATTGCCACAGAACTTCACATAGCGACTTTTAGTTAATTATAATGCGTAGTTTTCTTCTGTATGGTGTGTTTACATCGTACGATCGTGAGGTTGGTTCTTGTCACCCTCTAACACTCGATTTACAATCATCAAGAAACGTTAAATTTCACAATAATTAAAAATGTAAATTCCGTAGACTAACTGCGAAACAAATGAAATTATACGAGGCGTTACCATCAAAAGAACTTTAGTGTCAAAGGTCTGGTTTGCCGCAAATTAGAAGACCGGAATTATGTATACGAGGCAAATATTAAGCTTACCTCTTACAGTTTCTTTTTTTGTCAAATGGTTTATATGAAATAATTTGTGGTTTTTAATAAAGCCTAAAGAGTGACCTTTGATCGATCGCATTTACAGTCCTAAATTGTTTCTTTTAGTTGTGCCGATTTTTAACGACTTCAGAAGAACTATTTGGTAACCCCTGTGTAATTTTCCTTGTCCACCGCTGTATTTAGAAGCTATACTCTAAATAGAATAAGAGAGATGGTAAGTTTTGAGCTCGGTAAAGAAATAGAGAAAATTGTTTTTTCATCTTGTCACGAGCGTGGGATAAAGAAACAATTCTGAGTCCCCATGAGGTATCGAACCTCGGAACTTCCGATTCCGCGTTCCTCATGGGAACTCAGAATTGTTTCTTTGTCCCATGCTCGTAACAAGACGAAAAAACACCTTTCTCTACATTCTAAATGTTGTCTTTCATGTATTTTGAAATAATTTTCTCCTTTAATGAAGAAATGTTATTTGAGTTGGGAAAATACTCATAAATGTGTAGTTATGTTCACATCTCTTACATTAGCATGATAGTCATAACTAATTATATACTTTAATTCAATTACTATTATATTTCATATGTAAGACTTGCTCTCAACCTTATCAAATATGAAATGGATGACCAAAAAAAGAATAAATATAGTGAAAGATAGAAATTAACCAGTGTAATATGCATAAATATCAACAAAATATATCTAATAGTATATAAAATAATTATATAGCAAAGAACCAGTAATATTATTGCTTGTTAAACTTAATGGTACGGAACATTTGATGTCTCTTGTTGATACCAACAAATATGAGGCAAGGTTTCTGGAAAGTTTTTTGTTTTGTTTTTGTTGTCATAATCTTTTTTTAAACATTTTACTGACAACATTCAATACATTACATAATTTACTTACAATATATAAAATTCCAATAATAAAAATGTTCAATACACATCTCGGAACAAACTATTCCAATGTTATATTAACCAGACAACAGACTAACTTTTGAACTAAAAGCCATTGTTGTTACACACAGGAAAATGAAAAGTTTATAAAGTGAAATATATAATGCTTTTAGTTTTAGTATCTCATCAAGATTTTAATTGCATATTTATTATTTTTGATATATTCATTATTATTGATATATTCTGTGAATTTTAGTTGCAGCCTGTGTAATCTGGTACATGTCTTGATGACATCCTTACCAGGAAGTCTTGGTTGGCCTGTCACTGGTGACAAAACACTTGAGTTTGCCAGAAACCCAGCAGATTTCATCCAACGCAATATTAAAACATGTAACTCAAGGGTTTTTCAAGTACGAGCACTGAACAAACCCCATGTACTTGTTGCTTCAAATCAAGGAGTCAAGGAAATTCTAGAAGGTGTTGCAAATGGATTTGCATTACAGTAGAACCCTGCTAACTCAGACTTGGTTCACTGGTAGCTCTGTCAATTACAATCAGCCAACTATTTTTTGTTTCCCTTAGGAGTTTGAGTTGGTGGAGTTCCACTGTATCTATGTCCAACAAGAATTGTATTTAGTCTGGTATTGAGGGAGGAGATGGTGAATTCCACCCTTTAATTTATTTAGTCGTAGTCTTTATTAGCTCACCTTAACCTTTTGATGGCTAAGAGTGACCAGCATTTAATTTATCCTTAAAATATCACCCCTGAATCACATAAGGGTCAGGAGTATAGAGGAAAAAATGATCTCCAACTGTTAAGAGGCTCTTGACTGTTGAACAAATTCTCCTTATCAGCAACTTTGGAAATGTCTCTAAAACAATATGGAGAATATGTATACTGATGTTGGAGTGTAGAATGTTCGGTAGTTCTTTCCAATTACTATTAAGATGATGCTAAATGTTTAGAATCTCACTCACTTCTTATTCATTTTTCTCCTCAAAATCCCCCTCTCTACCCTTATGTTCTCTCCTCTTGATAAAAATATTTGTCCCACATTTGATTTTTCAACCTGTTAAAGTACATTTTTTCTGTTTTTTTTTGTCAGATAAGGATGGTGTGCTTGACATGGGCTACAAAGATTTTGGATATATGTATAGTTTATATGGAGATTTAGTAATTTTTAACAGTGATGATGAAGCTATACGGCTAAGAAACATTCTTCACAATGTCTTTCGGCCTGAAGAAGTGACCCGTTACATGGGTGATGTGGAAGTTGTGTCCTCAAGATTATTGAATAGTATTGAAGACAATGACATTGTTATTCCATATAAGCTGTTCAAGCAGCTCACAACTGAGGTATGCTTGCGATTATTCCTGGGACTGGAAATGGAAACTGCCAAAAGGGAAGCAGAATCTGTTGTTGAGCTCACAATAACTCACTGGCATGGTAAGTCATTGATGATGTAAATTTTTCTTATGGAACAACCTACAAAATAAATAATTATGTGATGAATTTCAAATGAAAATCATACCAATGGCCCAAAAACTTCTTTCATAATACAAATCATGTCATTTAAAAATAGCCTTAAAGTTTGCAATTTATCTAAGTTGAATCAAATTCAAACAAGGGGGTTTTGGGGGCATGCTCCTCCCAAAGGAATCAACATTTGAAACTCTCTGGGAAGTGATTTTCAGCATTCTGGGAGAGTCATTTGTCTGACTAACTTTTTTAGCAAGACATTAATGGTAAAATAAGTTCAAAGATAATTATTTTGTCTTTGATCACAACTGGTGTGAGATCAAAGTGTTTGTTTTGCACATATGATGCTTACATTGAAAAAATATTGCCAGCTGAGGATATTGTGATCAAAATTTATTGTTGTGATTTAGGCAGTACTGATAAATGTGCCTTTTTTTCCAAGGGCTTATTTCTGTTCCAGTGACTTTTAATGTTTATGGTTATAAATCAGGATACAGTAAGGCAATGGTAGCAAAGGTATTATTTTGTTTAATTAATTCTCTGGTAATATCCAATACTGTGTGATTCACTACCAGTCTAAACAGCAGCACAACTTGCATGTGTTTACAGTAACTGATCACATCTTATGAACATCAGTGACATGATAAAGTGCACTTTGTGTGCTACTTTCTAGTTCTTACAGCATTTGATGTCATCTATGATCAATAACTGCACAGACAAATGGTAAAATAATTTGTTTAATGAAGGGACAATAAACAATAGATTGTTTGCCAGAATATTAATATCTCATGTCAATTATAATTGTTATAGTCAATCACATTGCACCTTTTGCCCTTTATTTAGCAAACAAAAGGTTGGTTTAAAAGTAAACAATAATAAGGAAAAAATTTTTATCACAAAGAAATGTCATTTTGAATCAACTATTTTTAAATTAATGCAATTTTATAATTTTTCCACAGTATTTCTATGCTTAGTGGCACTGTATTAAGCAGTCATCCTGTCTATTTAGTGGTTGATTTTCAAATTCCTGACATTTGTTCCTCTTAATTACTGTAATGTTCACTAAGCAGTCACCTCTGTTAAGGGGTCATGGTCACTTTTACTGAGTCCCAACAGCCTGTTTGGATTTTTCTCCACCTGTATTGATCTGTCACGTGGAGCGCGACCATTCAGATAACACTAGGAATAATCTTTCAAGTAAAATTTAGTCCATTTTTATCTCTCAAAATCAATGTTAGTAGTATCTCTAGAAATGTCTATACATTACAAAGTTAATTAGGGCAAAATATGGCATTTTTGTTGTTCTTTATAGTAGTCCTATTCTGTAGAACCAGTATGTAACAGTCACCACACCATTCCCTGTGGGTGACTGCTTATTAGAAGTTCAACTGTAACAAATATTTCATTTGTTTTGTAGAACAATCTGTTGACAATTGTCAGTAAACGTCTCTCAGAGGAAAAGAATGGGTGAGTATGTCCATGGAGATTTTGGTACTGTTACTGTGTTAAATAACAAAAGCAAAAATGTGCTTAAGACAGGCCCTTTGATGCATGCTTTTCCGCTGAACACAAAGTGTGTGAAGGTTTTGCACATGCATTGGGCATGTACCTTTGAGCTGTACTGTAAGTAAGTTATAATGTTAGAAAAAATGATGCTGATACATTTCACAAAATCTTTATTAAGAAATCTATTCTTTTTCAGGTTCATAAATGTTATGAGAGAATCAGAATTTAAATCCATGACTGAAATGGCAAATCACATTTTGTTATTTGTGTCAGCTCTGGTTCCCAAAGCATTGGCTTCCCTCATGACCTCCTTTTGCATTGAGCTTGCCAAGCCTGAGAATGTAAGTACATTATTGAAGATCTACATGGGAGCAGCTGAATTTGTTTATCTGAGGTTTTTATCATCCCCTTAAGTCTGAAAAAAAAAAAGCTCAAAGATTAAGCCATCCCTCAGGCTCTCATCCAGTTGGGAGACAAATGAAAAAGAACAAGGAAGGAGAGTGTAAAATGCTTATAACATCAAGGTGTTGGTCAAAGAGATCTGGAGACTGAGTATGAGTTTGCAGCAAAACATCATAGGCCAGGTGACTTGGCTTTTTAATTATTATCGCGTCAACTGAGAGATCAATAGAACAAATTTCAAGTGTTCTGACTTCTCTCATAACTCTAATTTGATTGCTGGACAGACAGTCAGTCACTCATTCATTTGCCTTGACATTGGGCTAATGCTTGAAACATCAGCTTTAGAAACTCTTTACCGTGGCCAATTAACATTATCAACTTAATTGATAAAACTGAATTATTTTTCCATACTCCCCCACCAATGCAGCATCACAGTTTTCTAAGAAACTTACCAGTACCCTTACAGTTAGTCAGTCAGTTAGTCAGCCAGTGGAGGCCTGTCTTCTCTGTTTAGTTTATGTCACCAATTTCAATTCATATGTGTTGTTGTGACTGATTCTCCAGCTTGAGAAGAGAATCAAAGCAGCCAAGGATGATAGGTATCTGGAAAATGTGCTTTTAGAGATAAAACGACTTTGGCCACCCTTTCTTGGTGGACGAAGACTAGCAAAACAGGTGAGCATTTCACATATTTAAGACTGCAACTCTCTTGATTTAATCCAGAGCTAAGTTAAACCAACGTGGTTTGAAAACTCAGTCTATTGCCCTTAAAGCAGAATGTTGTTAGTACTGATTATGTCCACTATCACACCAAAAGCATTTGGCCTTAAGGGGGAAAGGGTTGGGGAGATGTAGCTATGTAACAGCTCATTAAATGATGTACCAACCACTATCTGTGTTAAATTTATATCAAAATTTCTATTCAGTCCTGTGGTGGTGAAGGTGAAGCAATGAAGATTGTAATGATGGAGGTTGTTGTGACTTTTTTGATAAAAGGAAGATTGCAAAAACCAAATAAGTGACTGAAATAATTGTAGTTGTGAAGATGCATGATCGCACTGTTACTGAAAGTGAATCTTAACTCTTTGCCTTTGGTTATTCTTCTTCCCACAGGAAGTCATAATAGATGGTTATAAAGTTCCAGCAGGTCACTATGTGGGAATTCTCACAAGAGCAGCAAACTGTGATCCAAAAATATTTCCTGAAGCTGAAAAGTTTTTACCTGAAAGATGGGACACTTGGTGAGGTTGCTAAAAGAAAACTCCCTTTTGGTTTACTTTTTCCATGGCATTATTTTTTTCCTTTAACTTAAACTGCAAAGTTTTGTTAGATCTTGTTTATAATTTGATATTTTCTTGTTCTACAGTAACCAGTTAGACAGGGATCGAGTGTGGACATTTGGCTCAGGTCCTCGGATGTGCATAGGGCATAAGTTTATTCACAAGATTATTAAGGTTTGTGCTCAGGATCAAGAAAGGGTGAACAGAACCCTTAGTCTCTTAACGACCATTCCTAAGAATGTCACACTTCCCCCATTGTGTGACATCTTAAAAGAATGGCTGTGAATGAGACAGTGGTCCATACAATACTGTCCAGCAAGGGTGAAGTTTTAAAGTACTTTTCCATGTAATTGAGCTGTTAGGGATTATCATAGCTTTTTAGCTACGTATTTAGTTTTTTTATCGAAGCTAGTATTTTTAATTTTTTGCAGCTTCTTGCAAAACATCTTCTCCAGTCATACGAGTGGGAACTGGTACCCGGTCAAGATTTGACATACAAATGGCTTCCTGTGTCACGCCCCAAGAACGATGTGCAAGTTGTGTTTACGAAGATTGCGTTATGAAATTGGATTGCCTGGTAACATTTTATGGACATTTTTAATTTTTTTTCAAAGGTTTTTACTAAATACTACTTTGCTCAACTGATTCCAAACTTCTTTTTAACACGAGTGAAATATATTTTTTTCCTTTTAAAAATGGATGTAACATAAGTGACGAAAGTATTAATCAAGTGTTTTGGACAAATTATAATGAGTATTGTAATCATTAGAGCCTTTCAGTAATAAATGCGCTGTTGAATTTCATTCCTTTGTTCTTTTCTATTAAAATTTCCCTTTGCCCAAAACGTAACAGACTGCTGACAAGGTTCCCAGCTTTTTAGATTGAATCATTACCTAAGCAGAATCATGACGGAGTGTTCCCAAGTGTTAGTTCCAGAAACAGTTAGTTATACTCAACGGAGAGCTCCCTCACAAATTGTTGGTAGGTTAATTAACTCTGAAACATTGCCATCCCCAAGAAATCAAACGAGCTACATTAACTAATGCACCTATGCACGCACTCACATACACACAAAAAACACAGCTTAGAATGTCTTGGTAGGGAAGTTTACTTTTATTTTATCAACTTGTTGAAAACAACTGAAAAAAAACCTAATAATTTGAGCCATTTCCTGGTAGCAAAGGTGTACAAGACAAGTGGCCGAGAGGCCCAACGCGCCGGCGCGCATGCCCTTCATACAAGACCACTGACTTGAACCTCAGGTAAACCAGTAAACTTGAACTCAAGAAAAGCACGAGCCTTAGATATGGCATGATAGCGGCATTCCACACTTAGAGCCCGAAGTGAAACAAAAAATTAAAAGGCCAGAAGTTCAAAGAGACGACAGAAAGATTAGGCCATGAAAACAGTGAAACAGCACGTTATCGACGAGCGCGTTTTTAAAAAATTAAAAATCCAAGGAAAAAAAACAATCTCGTAACTAGAAAAAAACTATGAACATTCTCTGTTACTTTTGACCAGTAAGATAACACAGAGAAAGGACCATTTTTCAGTGAATAACACGCTAATAATGCAGGCTCGTGCTTTACTCGTTAACAATATTATTGAAATTGCTTACAAGAAGGTTAAAATACAAGAAAATTTCATATTAATCACTAAATCGCAATGTACGATGTTTTCCCATAGGTTCTATACACAGTGACAAATTCTACAAAGTAAATGAAAGTCCTTTAAAGATTGGAAAGTAAAAAAATGTACAGAAAACCACGAAATCACAAATTGCGGTTCTCGAAATGCAAATGATAGAGCAGTAGAAAAACATTTCACCTATTGAATTAACCGTCAAAAATATCAAGTTTATTTCCAGCACAAGAACCCCTGACGAGCCCTAGGGGTGAAGGAAATTGAATCCAAATTTTAAGAATTTCAACGCACTTTAGTGATCTTTAAATCATCTTAAAGCTCAGTATTGATGCATTAAAACAGTGAATATGATGCTCCATACTACCCAAAAGAGATTTTAGAAAAAAAATAACTACTCTTGAGATATCACGCCTCACTGACACACCCTCACTTACCTATCTGAACCTAAACTGTTACTAGTATCAAAAATAAACTGGTAAATATGTATTAGCAATCAATTTCCGAGATAGAAGAATAGCCAAGTTATGACAGAAAGGGAAAATTTGCATTGAAAAACTGACCAAAGAGTATAAATTGTTAAATGTCGCTCTAAAATTGGAAAAAATTCTTCATTTTGGAGAAAGCTCCAGTTTAGATTCTGTATACTGTTTCTTAGCTGATTGAAACCAAGGTTCAAACTACAACTTTGGATTGGTTGATTTAATCTACATCTTTGAATGTGATTGGCTTATTGAACTGTCCAATAACAAACTTTCCGCACGTGAATTTGAGGAAAATAGGAGTTTTTTTAAACCAATCACAATCGAGAAAGTTTTAATTTTAATGATAAGCATTGTTAAAAAAAGGCGATAGGTAAATGTATAAAACCGGATTGTCAATCCCACCAAGATAACAAAACCTCAAAATAGAACAATAACTAAAGTAACAAATATAAAATTAAAAAAACGAAATACATGATGTGCTACCAACATCAATATAATAATTACTCTATCTTTCTAATAATTTCTAATATTTTTATTTACCATTTTAAGTGTTATTGACCAATTAATTCGATTTAAAATCAAATTGATCGTGTTGGACAATCTTTTTATGACACGAATAATTTGTTTTAATTTACCATACCTAGGCCTCACTCGAAACCAAGTGAGCTAAAAGAGGGTTTCCCTTCAAAACCCCCTGAAAGAACGGGTGGTTAGTAAGTTCGATATGAACAAACATCGTTTGACCAAGCACCAGTTATAAAGCTACTGTAGATGAACAAAATGCCAAGAAAACGTCATGTTTTTTTTCTTTCTTCAAATATGTTTTGATAATTGGCGAGAATCTTGTGGACTTGTTTTTGATCTAAAAATTTGACTTTTACAATTGAGATCTTACAAATAGTAAGAAGAAGGATGTACGAGAATCTGAAAACGTAAGGAAATTATTTTTTTTTCATACATCGATGGATTTCTTCTTTGAGTGTTAATTTATCAATTGCAATGTGAAAATACAACCTAAAATTTGTATCTGTTTTAACACAACGTACAATATATCTCAAATCGAAGACTCAATCTGACCGATTGAGAGAAAACTATTTTGGCTCTCTTCACCTGCATTCCTAAATGATAGGAACACGCTGTCATTATCAGCTTCATACCGTGCGAAGCCAGGAACTGGGGATGAGTTTTCTCTGTCACGATCAGCCTCTGCAAGAGCTTCTCCCTCTGGATGAGTCTGCTGACCAGCTGCTCGGCGCTGTAGGCGGAATTCAAAACCAGGCACTGGTGTCTGTGGAGGACTGAGGCGAGTTTGAGACGAGGCTTGATCATCTACATCTGGTATATTGGGGGTGAGAGGGTCGTTTGACTTGCAGAAGAACCACGAACCAAAGTACAGAGCCGTTGAGAGAACTACAAATAGCAGATCAAATTATAATCATCTTCACAAATAGTGTTTTTGAAATAAAAAATGTTTTTTGGAGAATAATCACGCCGGTGCGTGTTGCACATGATAAGATGTACATCAGCAAACGTGTTGCACATGATAAGATGTACATCAGCAAACGTGTTGCACATGATAAGTTGTACATCAGCACGCGTGTTGCACATGATTGTTGCACATGATAAGATGTACATCAGCACGCATCGAATCAGAGTGCGATATTAGGTTGAGCTATTTTAACCGTCAGGCTTTATTAAGCATGTCAGATACGTGGGTAGCCCAGACAAAGAAGGACTACAGACTCACTCTGAAAGAACAGGCCTGCTGCTACCAACAAATAGCTGAGAAGTTCGTTGTTGTACTCCAGGCAGCTGCCTCTGCCGCTACACGTCTCTTCCCACAAGATACAGGTCTTGTCAATAAATGCACCGAATAATACAGGACCAGGCATGGAACCAAACATACACAGAAATAGCCACTGAAGACCTAGAGCGTATGTCCGTTGATTGTCTGGTACGCATCTGAAATAACATGTAAAGTTCGCAGTTATTAGCAGATATTATTGGACAACCTAATGAAATCTAATTACAACTTTAACGAGTTTGAGCATGACGATTACGGCGAGATCGAACTCCAGCTCAATTTGCTTGTTTTTTAAAATGTAACACTCAAGTACAAGCAACACAAAGTTCAACTTTTGCCGTTTGTTGCAAAGGCCATGTGCAACCTCTTGTGTGTTGTAATTCCAGTTTAAGTCAGCAGTCCGTCGAGAAGTTTTGAGACCGCTTCGAAATGCGTGATCTCAGTGATAACGCAAGCTTGATGGAGATCACATCAAAACAACAAAAGCTACTACACAGGTAAGAAATAAAACAAATATGATCTAAAAACATACAGATTAAATATAAACCCATAAGAAAAAGATGAGATCCTCATCATAAAGACAACTGTTTCATTCGAGAAAACAGAACATACATGACATGAAATTGCAACGATTGGTTGGGAAATATCTTTATTCTGATTGAGGACAGATAGAAAATGTCTTTTTGACACGATGAAAACATTTAAGTACCCACCTCAACACGACAGTTTTGTTGGGCGTGGCATTCATAAAATTGAAGGTAAGTAACACCACAGCGCCGAACAGAAATGGAATCAAATTCTTACAGTCTCGGTCACACGTTCCCTGTACAGCAGAACCATGCCGAACGGTCCTATCTTGAGGCGCAATACAACGGCAGTTCTCATACATCTGCAGCATAACAGAGAAAACCAAACAATCAAAACATTACATACACCAATCTATTGGTCTGTCGGTTACCACTAATCACTTAATCGGTCCGCTAATCGGTCCGCTAATCGGTCAGTTTGTCGGTTAATCGGCTAGGTAGTGAACCACTCAGTATGGAGCCAGTCCGACAGGCCAACCAGCAAGCTAGTCAGCCAGCCACCCGGCTGACCAGTTCGTCATCTGGTCAATAGTCGATGAGTCTGTCAGGTCAGCTTGCGAGCCACTCAGCTTCCTGGTTAGTTCGTCCGCTGGTGAACAGTCAGTCAGTCTGTCAGGTCAGCTGGCGAGCCAAACAGCTGCCTGGTAAGTTTGTATGCTGGTGAACAGTCAGTCAGTCTATCAGGTCCGCCAGCGAGCCAGTCAACTGCCTGCTTAGTTCGTCTGCAGGTTAATAGTCAGTCAGTCTATCAAGTCAGCTGGCGAGCCAGCCGGCCGGCCCAATCCACAGGTCCGTCAGTTACCAAGTTTCCGACGAATTTTCAGTGCAAAGTGAGGAGTCACTTTAACGTTGTTGCTACCTCTCTGTCGGTAACTCTTTTCAATCCCTCGTTAATAGTTCTTTTAGTGCAGCCAGCATGGCATGGTGAGAAGTAGGACACCTCATCGATTCCACACACGGGGTCATACTCAAGGCTGTTACAGTGACACAGGTTGTTACAAGGTGAAGACTTGTTTATATCCACAAGAGTTCTGTAAGATGGACGAAACAACATGCTTCAATGAGGGAAATACAACAAAAATAAAACAAATATAATCACGTAGACCAGCAACCTGACAGAAAGATTTCATATTCATCTATCCTTACAAGTTTTACATTCAGTGAGGCCTACTTAGTGCACGCAAGTAAAATTGAAACTCATGTGGACAAGGGAAACCAATCAGTTGGCTACATGGCAATAGCGGTGCCATGTAGCTAATTTCCAAAATACTTTCAGAACTCTTGAAATGCCAAGCCAAGCAATTCCGTTATTCAACCTTTAAAAAATTGAAAGCAGCGATGAAGTAAAAATTCGTTACACGTGAAACATTTTTGAACAAATGATGTGGTAGGAATGAAAACCATACATTTACCACAACACAAACCCCTCATGAAGCAGATTCTTCCCAAATCTTCATTCGTAAGACTTATTAACAGCAAATGTATGAAGGAATATACATCTTTTTGTTCACCTGTTGTTGTAAGGATGACTGATACCAGCGAGCAGTGTCGTCTTGCAACCGGGAATTAGAAAAGTAAGTACAGCCCAGGTACCGATAAATTGAAAGATAAAGCAGTACTTGGCAGCTATCTTACACGACCGTCTTACATCAACTCTCTTGATCAGGTAACTGCCCAGGAATATACCGCCGGCAGTGCCTGGGATGATGACAATACCTGACAGGATTCCTGCAGAAAAAACATTTGTACTGTCATGCAACCTGAGGTTATTACACTGAAAACAATTTACTAATTTCCCGTACCCCGTCATACTCGTCGCTCTGCCAAACGACTGACGTTCAAAACGTCAGCATTGAAACTCTTCTTGGTGGCCAATTTACATTATCAACTCAGTTGATAAAACCGAATCATCTCTAATAAGTCCCCCATTTAGAGCATCAAATTTTCCACAAGTCTCTTTTCGCTGTAATAATCAAAGATTTCATTTAAAATAGAAAAAAATAAACTCACGCAAAACACTAATCCTTAAGAATTGTCCGAGAGTTCGTCTGTATTCTACACTCACCTGCTGTCGAGGAAGATTTCCCAAACTGCGACTGGATAAACTTGGAGACAAACGGCCCCAAGCCTGTTGCAATGAGAGTTGTACAACAAAATGCACAAGTATTGAACATGAACACTTTGTTTGTAAGGATAGCTTTAGTGGCTGGTAAAATATCCTTCAGTCGGCCTTGAATGTGCTCGTCGCTAGGCGGTAAAAGGCCTTCCCTAATGGCGGCCAATCTTTGTTCACGGGCTCCTGGCATCTCTCTGGGGTAACCAAGAAGTGCTATAGAGGTACATAACAGTAATAGACCCCCGAAAAAGTACCCTAGCCACCAGGCCCCAATCCAGCGAGGATCATCAGGCGTCAAGTCAACTCCAGGAGGCTGGAGAAACAAAAGTGAGAACAAATTCGTTCAGATTATAGATAAAGTATCCATTATTGCGCATCTAAACAAGATGTTTGAGTCTATGTACTTTCCACAAGTAAAAAATATTAAAGTTGACATTGTGTCATGATACCATCGAATAGACAGCGCGACGACAGGTGAAATATGGAGTTATACAAAGAAATATGAAGTAAAGAACAAGAAAAACGATTGATAAAGAATAGGACTATCAATAACTGATCTTGTCACGACTTTCTGCTCAATGGTTTACAGCAATTTTTCCCTTACCTGAATTAAGTCCACCCACACATTAAGAAGAGACCCTCCCGCAACGTAACCAATTCCAGGACCAAAGAAAGTTGCTATAAACCAGACCCCAAGATACATGGGCGCCGCCTTTGGGTTCACATTCTCGTCAATATAAGCCGGACCAAGTGTAAACAAAGGGGTGGTTCCTGCCCCTAAAAGAAGCTTCGCCCCGACAAACACCAGCATATACTTCCAAGCTGTATAACCTTTGGCTTCAGCACACACAGTGTCATCTTTAGGGATCTTGGTACTATTGAACCAACACGTTTGTTCGCTTCCACTCGTCTCAACTTTAAGAGGGGTGTACTTGCCTACAAGGACGTGAGGTAAGGCGAACATCAAACATCCCAGACTAGTTACCAGTGCTCCTATGCCCAGCCAGCGGGCTTTGTTCCTGTGACCTCCGAAGTAACTAATGAAGATGATAAGAATCAGTGCGGATACGTCATTTGCTGCAACAATCATACCACTCTGCTTGCTGGTTAGTTTGAATCTCTTTTCCAGCGAAGTAAGACCAGCAGCCGTTAGACCTGTCGCAATCATACCTAGAACGACACAACAAGTATATTTTGACTTCCATCAAAATTTTTATTTATTATCATCAGATTTTTGGAAAGTAAAAAGTCCAGCTCAGTTCACAAAGTGTTTAAAAACGAAAGAACAATCTTTTTCCCTCAAAAGGGACGCTTGCCTGGTGCAACTCATACTCAAATACCTAGGTGCTCCTCTGCGTAAAGAATGATCTATCTGACAGCAATTCTTTCCCCAAAATATCAAAACCGACAGGTAAGCAACGAGCTGTCGTCAAGGACTTCAAATTAATTCCTCAACAGTAGCCACCACTATGATTTCAAATTTGAAGTGGTTCGTTAGCATAATAAGGATCAAATAGTCCCAACAACAATCTGAAACAATCAGTTCAATCTAAAGGAGTGCTTAGACGAGATTACACCATAAAAAGTAAAAACAGTAAACAAGAACAAAATTAGGAACATTTCTTGAGAAGAGTTGTCTTACCTTGCATGAAGGAGTATATGGTAAGAAACACAAGAAACCATTTTGGTGTGTTGAGTCTTTGAAGAACTTTAGGCCTAAACGATCTCCAGCCGCACAATAAAGCTCTCTCGTCAGGCTTCACTTCGTCAGCTTCCATATTCAGAAAAATGATAGAATTTACCGCTTATATGTCAACGTTAAAGAGAAAAACATGGCCCTGAGAGGAAGAGAAATCATAATATCAATGCAAAATACTACAGACTGAAAATTACATGGAACAAAACTTACTCCAAACGTTTGCTTGAACAGCGCACTGAACTTTTCGTTATCCAACGCCTACCTAAAATTCATGCATATTAAGCAAAACGATGAGCACTCCTTTCATTTTCCATATTTATGAAATAGCACGCATACTGAAACAGCCTCTAGGGTAAAAAAAAAAGCTTTAAAGCACACAACATTGTTCGAATTTTCCCCATTTTTGTAATATTTGCAAACTATTGCTTAACCTGCGTGCATTAGTCCGTACCATCGTCAGAATACAAGGGAAATACTTGTAAGTGATTTCTATGAGCCTACAACAAATCCACACCGTTGATTTCCTCATGGCGAGATCATCGTTTTGGCAAGAAGACAATTTATGTTAGAAAAACAACAAAGCGAAAGGATGGTTTGAAACGTGCTTATTCCAAACTAAGAAATTACTGAAGCAAATTTTTAGCTCACAATTTGCATGATCTCCGGTCACAGACCTTTCTAAAAGTCACTGTATCGGGAAATTCCGCTCTCGACAGAAGCAGAAAACTTATCTCCCTCGACCACACAAGGTGGTGATTGGTTTGTAGATAAAACCATGAATTACACTGTATATTAAGAGGGTTTACCGTGTGTTTACACAAAGATAAAAATTGGGAAAATCTGGATGAAGCATATAAAAATCGAGCAAATAATATTACTTACGCAAGAACAGCCGGTGGAATTTCCTACTAAGACATAGTAATCCGGAAATTTGGCTTACGGAAATCCCCCTTCCCACAATTAATACCTGTTCTTGACAACAAATCTGCCAGTCTCTCCTAATTCCGAATGGAACCTGGACTTTAAGGCGAGAGAAAAATATTGTCTCCATGCACCAGTCTTCGTGTGCGCTACATGATTATCTTGTCTAGACGGCTAATTTTCATTAGAATAATTCCACTAAATACATGCAATAAGTGAAAGTGCTTTCAAACAGAATTATTGCAAGGTCGACGTTGTCTAAAGAAGTTTTACCGATCACAAACTGAATCAAATTCACCAGCTCGTAATTTCAGACTTACCTAGTTCCCATTTTTTTAAAAGACGTGAAGCTTATCGAAATAATTACTAGAGAAGATAAAATGTGTGGACCGCAGTTCGGAAACAGGTTGTTAAAAACATCAAAACCTGAAAACGACTGATTAGGAATTGCAAACAAGGGAAACATCGCCGTTGACAACTAATGATTTGGATTGTATTTTTCTGATAAACAATGTTTGGTGAATTACGGGAAAAGAAGAACGTAACTTGTCTTGCAAATGTAAATTGGTGCATACTTTCAGAGCAAAATCCTGTAAACTATACCAGCTAAATTCCGATCTGATGAAAGCATTCATCTTAAATACAAAGGAATTCCCTCAAACATTTACCTGCAGTTGTTTTTTTCAAATTTTGTTGCGAAATTGATTGTCTCTGGATACACCTGCGCTCTCCGCAGTTGTTCGCCTATTCGATTTTTAAAAGCAATTGTTTGTCAAGAAAAGAGAACCATTTCAACTGATTACCAATCCACCGATAATTCTTACGAGGTTATCTTCTACATTGACAGGTACCATGATCATTCGAATTTTTGCACCGTCAGGAGACCTTTGTCTCTTGGAAGGTTTTCGCGACGTCCGCATTTCAAGGCTACTAATGCAACAACAAATACACCGAGCTCTTGCTTTACTCGTTTCCCTCATCAAACCTAACGAAGTTCAACGTTCAATAAACTGTTTCGCGAATGTTTGATTTCTAATAACTATCCTTTGAATATTCAAAGTTGAAATCTCACCTTTCAGAAACTTCCAGTCGAAGCTAAACGCACTCTGACAGAGCTTTCCTCATCATAACGAGTAAAATCTATCAGAAAAGCGGGCTTACTAATGGATCATACACAAAAACAACACCAGCTGTATTGCTGGGATAATATCAAAACTTTATGTACATTGTTATTCGAAGAATACAAACAGTGGGTTACCGGCTCAGGAGGTGCATTTATAACTACTAGTTAAGTTTAGAAAAATAAAACGAAAATCTAGATATACTGATAAGATGAAACAAACTTCTCGCTTTGAAAACAAGACAAGTTCACGAAACTATGTCGTTGTGATGGCTTATTCACGAATTGGTTCATTAAATAATTCTAAAAACACTCTCATTGGAAATTCCTCCATAACATACCATATTGCGAAACAACGAGTGCTGTTATTGGTTAATCAATTCGTGTGCTTGGATCTGTTTAAATGATGGTATGACGTCACGATAATTCTTAAACCTCAAAAACAAACTGATTACATTACATGCTTACTTTAAAAAGCGTCTTGAAAATTTAGCTTTAAATGATTTGTAGTTCGCATCTCTTTCACCATCCCTTCTCTTTCTAAATATTAATTCATGTGCAATTGTCCTAAAGGAAAATGAAGGAACTTCAAATTCAGAGTTCTACAAAATTAAGAAGCAACTACGATGTGATTTGTGGATCACAAGGACATGAAAAGCGATGTGCGCTTTCGATATCAGTAACATACAGGATTTGTCCTCTTGCAGCTTCGGCACTTACTCCAACGATTAATTATACCTCAAGCCTCGTTTCTTCCACATTCGAGGAAAATCATCAATGAAAAGTAAATGAAACTCAAACTTTTCTTACCGAAAGTTGTTATAACCTAGAGCACAATACGTCAGCCAATCAGAGAGCACATCACGTCTAATGAGCCAATCAGAAACACTTGCCTAACACCTGCCCTTTGTAACCATAGCAATGACAGCCTGTTCAGAGGTGATTTGCTGTTTGGTTTTGACTGCAATTTCTTCAGTTTCAGTACTACCCAAGTTAATATCAGCTGAAACTCATGTACGAGAGGAATTAGCTAAATCGATTCCGCTTTTGCTCGCCCCTTTGGGTGACAATGTTTCACACTATATGTGGACAAAAATATTGTCAGGCAAAGCCTGAGTTTAAGAGGAAAGCATAAATTTTATCAAGCTCTCAAGCGCCCATAAATTTTCCAAAGAGTTTTTTCGAAGGCACAGAGGCCTAGTTCAACCATAAATTTACAGATCAGTTCCATCGTTTGATTTAGAGATAAAAACGAACAATAACGTACAGTCAAATCTACCTAAACTTCTTAAGTAAAACAACCATTCACGACATTGAAAAAGAAACATAACTGGAATTCCTAATAACGATAATTTTTGTAATAATGCAACAAGGAAACCTTGATAAATATTACATGTTCTGAATAAATCATACTCGCCTGTTGAAAAAATTTTACAAAAATCGCTAAAAGATGCATTTGGGAAAAACTATGCACGAGGAAAAGTGCATAGAAATTGCCTAATGCATCAAACGTAAGTGACCGCTGTTCATGAAAGTTTATGGAGCAGAGGAGCGAATATTTGTAAGCACTTTGTCAGAGCATCAAGAAAAAAATTAAGAAATAATAGAGTTGCTATCAGTTATCATTTATTCGTATTATTCTGTGGCTGCAAAGAAACCATAGAGAAACTCTAAAATATCTCAATAAGATGCGCGAAAAATACTTCTTATGCATTCCCTTCGTGTAAAAACTACAGTAAATAATTGATTTCAGTTGGTCTTAATAGCAGTAAAGTATATGACTTGAAACATCCTTCACACTGTGGTCAGTACAAGCAAATACTTCTCATAACAAAACTACGTTCTCCAACGCGGAAATATAACAGCTTGCTGATCAGCGAAACAAAGCGCGTGATAACAAAGCTGAATCCGGCCAGCCCAGCAGAGAAAGTTAATAATTCGACAATATTAATAATGGCAATTTAAAAATTGCAGGCATGAAGGTGAAACAATCATCAAAAGGGAACCTGTCACAGACCACAGAGACATTTCTTCTTTATTACCGATAAAAAAAATCAGCTAGTGACATTCACGTTTGACTAACTAGGAAACATGTTCAGCTGTTTGGTTCAATGATACTGTAGCTAGTTGTAAAACGAACAGTCCTTGGTAAGATCAAAAATGACAGCCACAATATGTCAATACACGACAAATTTTCGGTGGTTTTTACAGATAGCTGGATGACTAACTTTTAGTAATGAACTGATTACCTAAATGATGTCTAAAGAATACCAATTTCACATTTAGATTAGCAAGCAGAGGCTACTTGAAGAAACAATGTTGTTATGGTCAAATACACAATTTCAAATGGAAAAAACTTTTAAATAACTTCTATAGAGGGTACACTGCATTCTTTTTTTTCAAACTAGGAAATACAAAGGTATCCTCATATCCAACCTTACTGTAAACAAAAAGGGAAAAACTGCATTTACCAAATTTGAGATAGCTTAATTCAAAACTCTAGTTAAGACGAGTAGCCACTAAATCGACAGTTACCTTGCGCTTGGAGATAATTACTTCTCTTATGCATGTATATTACCCCAAATGACTAACTGAAGCCGGGAATCATTCGAATCTATTATAAGAGATAAAGGCAGTAGAGCACCTGCCTATGATGACATGACTGCCGCCACCCGGTTACGAAATGATTGCTGTTTAGAAAGAAAATCAACAAGGTCAGAGCCACTAAGCATATCTTACAAAGATTTTTGCCAATGCGTATGTAAGAGTCCAAATTCAAAGCAGCATCACCATCAAGGCACTAAAATTTAAAAGTGTCCTGCCTGTTCGCGTGAACATGCCATGCAGATTCATCACTAATCCATAGCTTTCCATCACACAATTCACAGATAACTACTCAACCTATATGAGTACAGTATGTAACTTCCTGTTTTAAATGTCCGTTCCTGAACCATATAAATTTCCGTACCCAAGTTTACCATCACGGTAGTTTTTCCTTTGCATTAAACAATTTTTTTTCTTCTGAGGTTTTAATTACGCTGTTTCAATCCTTATCGGTTATTAGAATTTTGATCGATTACATTTGACATTCTGGGAAGAA